TCATCTCCTGTTTGCTGGTCATCTATGGAACCAAGTGTTCTTGATGATGTGGGACCTCCTTTTAGCTCCACTCTGTTATGGGATGTAGATGTGGTTCTGGACTGACGTTGAACAGTCTTGACATGCCACTCGAGAAAACCTTTGTTGCTCTGAATGTCATAGAAATATTTCTGAAAGTAAAAGAGTACTTTTGGTTGAATTGCAGACAATATAAAGTTTTTGACGGCCCTAGAGCATATATGCTGCCTAGACACAAAAAATCAACGAACCAAAATGTAACCATGGTTACAATGTAAACTCACATATCCCTTTTTAGAGTATGGGTCCTTCAAGGATGGGAAGAGCGACACAATCCCAAGGGCATGAAACTCCTTTGTCGTCTTACTTACAAATCTCCTGCAAAAGCAAAAGTATTGTTTGTGATAAGATTCTTGCCCTGTCTACAAATGTGAATTTGATGTCATTAACATCAAGCATCTTACCCTTCCTTTTCACGCATGTGAGCCACAATGATGTTCACTATTAAACGCCGGGTGGAATCTTTCAAACTCCCGGTCTCTTCATACTCACATACTTGATCACAGTCATCCCTGCAGGCTTAGAAGTGAGAATTTGCTCCACTGCCTAAATATAAATACAATATGATATAAAATACAAAATAAAATACAAAACAACAATTAACAACAAAATTAAGACATCAATTAAGCTGGGCTTTGAGGAAAGGCCAATTTAAGAACAAAGTATGCAAGTTATAAGATTACATTCCTGCATTTGAGATCCAGCATCACTTGCTGGACTGCTTAGACTGTTTGAGAGGGACAACGAATCTGTTAGACTTGGGGAGGAAGACCCTTCACCATCTAGCTGCAGTAGTTTAAAATCTGAGGACCACAAATAACAACATTAGGTTACAGGGCACATACAATCAAAAAATAACAAACACAAAACTGCCATATACAGTAGGGTGCCAAGAAGGATCAAGAACTAGCACATTTTCATTCCAAAAGATCACTTAACACCAAAGAACACCAAGGTTTAGTTTACTTAAATCACAACTTGCCCCATTAGATGAGAGGGCCATTTTGTATATATAATAAACATATCATAATAAACATTTACTATAAGCCTGCTAACCACAAGGTGTGAGTGTCACAAATTCCGTCAGGTTGAAGCAGTCTGCAAATTCTGTTGGGTCTGAGCAGTCAGCTTTGGATGATTCTGCAAGTGGGATGACTGAAATGCACATGATAGAGGAGAGTTAAAGTACATTTTTTGATTGCTCAGGATATCATCTGCAGGCTGCTGAGATTTCTTTGACAAACATTAACACAAAGCTGTAAAAGCTTTTCTGCAAAAAACAAACAAACCCAGAAATGTTCAATCCCCTTACCATCATCAGTGTAGATAACAAAACACATTGCTTCTGTTGCAAGTTCTGCAAAGACATCCTCATCCACCTCTATGCCCTGACTGTAACTGATGTTGTGACAAGTTCCCAGTGCAATAACAGACATTTAGCAGTGAGCCTCAGTGTTGTTTATTATACAATAGGAGATGATATGAGTATAATATGGAAGCGAATTGTGACCAAAATTTAAATTAAAATGCATTTGCAGAAATGCTTTTTCATTTTAAGACTGTGGCTGCATTATTTGACTCATAATCAATCATCCTATTTGCATTTTAATTGTCTTCTTCAAGACTGCTCATTCTTTTACTTAATTAAAATGAAAAATAAAAAGACATTTGAGGATTAATTTTTAAAATATGCCCCAGCAAATAGATACCAAAATTCCATTTGAAATGTATAATTTGAAAATTAAAATGGATTTGCAGAAATGCTTTTTCAATTTAAGAATGTGGCTGCATTATTTACTTATAAATAAAAAATCATCCTATTTGCATTTTCTTCTTAACTGCCCATTTTATGCCATAATCAAAAAGAAAACAAAGAGGAGATTGCTATTTCGTTTTCGTGGTCTGCCCCGCAAAATAGTTCCCATGATTCGAAAACGATTTGGCAATCTGAGCGGCGCAGGAGAGTGACGTTAGTAGCTGCTCTTCTTCAGTTCCGTGCTGACTGTGCTACCCATCTAATACGATAGAGGGCGGTGTGCACATTTGATATATGGACGCATGGAGTTTAAAAATCTGGAGTTAAACAAAAAAGTGCTAAAGTGTTAGATTTTGGGAGTTTATTCTCTACATTTACATTAGCAAGATACTGAACCCCAAATTGCTCCCGATGCCGTGCATCGGTGTGTGAATGTGTATGAATGAGTTAGTTTCTGTTCGATGGACTTTGCCATCACTGTATGAATGTGTGTGAAAGGGTGAATGTGGCATGTAGTGTAAAAGCGCTTTGAGTGGTCGGAAGACTAGAAAGGCGCGATCCAAGTACAGGTCCATTTACATTCCATTTACCATTTACCATTTGGAAACACTAACTGTAGTGTTCTTCCTCTTATAAATGGCAAGAGTGACCTTGCTGAGGTGTCCTCTTTTTTTTTTTTAATGAATTCTCTGAATTGTTTCATTTCGTCCACAAAATCTTCCTCCAGATCAGCTGCCTATTTCTTCTGAGATTAGCCGAGATTAGTATGAAGATCTGGTATGGAGATGGTTGGAATGTTGATCAGAAATCCAATCCAAATGTCTGCTGAATGTCTTCATAGGACAGAAACCTCGGATTGAGTTCTGCGACAAGTCGGTCTATGACGCTGATAAAAAACGTTGCTTTGAACTTGGCGTTCACAGTCAGGTTTAGCACTTTCATCTGCTTGTTTTATTTCTTTTTCTGTGCCTCTGTGTGTCCACTTTGTAGTGCTGAGACACAGTTGGAGACATGTTTTTTGCATCACCCTCAAACTTGTCAAAATCATCCCGTAGGCTGGCCAAATAATCCCTCAATGAGCTGATCAGAGTAACAGCGTTAGTGCTGGTCTTGTGAAAACGTTGCAGTATGTTGTTCCACATTTCACACAGAAAGGCATTCTCTAGTTTTTCCATTTTCATGTAGTGCCCTGGCTTCATTTTGAGTAGTCACATTTTGGTTCGTATCATCACTTAATTTTTGTAGTGACTTCTGTGATTCTGACGTACTTCTGGTGCAGTGCTTTTGTTGCTTGTGTGTGTGCTGACCATCTAGTGTCTGAAAGACTTTTCAAAGTCTCTATTCTGTGGTTGTCATTGGGCTGTAGACCCGCTGTAATTGTCTGCCAGCGGGATGTGGACTTCGAAAGAAAATTAAGAAGTGTCTGTACAAAGTTGAAAAGTCCCTCTGTCTGCTGATTATCTCTTTGAGGACCTGCTCTCCCATCAGTTCAATGAATTCTAAACATGTTGCTGATGAGAGGTATGATGGTGTCCCTTGCCTGCGTTGCCATATTTTCTATATTCAAGAACGGGTCAAACTTGCTGATAACTTCCAGCACACCCATAAAGTTCCCATTATCAGGTTGCCCAACAGCTTCTGTGTCCCCTGACAGGCACTCCTCCCTCTGCAGTACCTTTTGAGGGGGAATAGAGCAACCATTCTATTGGCACAATTTCACCATTTGCCAGTTTCCTTTCAAACAGGTTTGGAAAAGTACCGTTTTTGGTGTTTGTGCTGTCTTTCTGAGGCAGCAATATCTGCGTCCTTGTTCTGACAAGTTTCAGGTCCCATTTTAACCCAGTATGTCCTCGTGTCTTCATCAATTTTATCCCAGCATGCAGGATCCGAGCTATAGGTAGCGGGATCGGCGGCCTTTTGTGCCCTCTCCGCAGCAACAGGTGAGGCTGTCATGGAGGGGTCCATGGACGTAGTGGCTGGGGCATCGTGGCTAATTCCCGAGCTGTTAGTGGTGCAACATACCAGTGTTTCGGGTAGTTGAAGTGTCAGTCCCTCTGTCTCAGACTCCTGATCTGAGTGAGATTGTGAGGCATTGTCGTGGTCAACATGGCCACTGTCTTTGTCATGGCCTTGAAAAATCCTGTCAATTTAGGAATTTTCTTGAGTAGATCTTGGTCACGCTGTTCTTTCAGTTGTTGTGCTTTTCTTTTTTGTGCTGCGCTATCACATTTCCTTTCTGACATTTTGCCGCTATGCTGTCTAGTAACAGTGAATAACGTATCATTTGAAAACAAAACTGACCTTATGAACCCGGCCACATGATGGCAGCTGATTGGGTAAATGTGTCCCATACCTACCCATTCAGGGACTTTATGTTTCTAAGGTCTCCAATAGGAGGCAAGTTTTTTTTCCCGGTGTAGTAAGTAGTGTAGTGTTGCCAAGGCCAGCCTGTGCATTAATCCGCCTGTGCCATTGGGGATGTGCGAGACCTATACAATACATCATTTTCCACCATGTTGAGCATGTTTCAGCCACCAAAAAAGGGTCCTTGCAGTGGTTACTGCTCGGGCCTTAATTAAACAATTGAACAATCTATGAAGATGTTTTTAAGACTTTTAAAAATAAAATTACTGCTTTTGTTTTTAAGTGAGAAAGAAGGGCCATCAGAAATCAAATGGATGTAGACTTTTACAATGAATTAAATTAAATCAAATAAAACAGCATTTTGGTCTTTGTCTTTGGCCTCTCTAGGTAATCTAGTCCACATTTGACAAGTCTAGGTATAGTGTTTTTTTATCTGGACCTTGTCCAAAGAGGTCTAAGTGTGGGGAAAAGAGTAAAATCTCCCTTTTAGCATTTAGAATAAAGTTTTCACAAATTTGAAAGTGGGTTTCAGACAGAGTTAAGACCTTAGCTAAAGCTATTGTAACAGTAAGAGGAGCAAAGAAAAACCATACCTAACCATATAACCTAATTCTAACCCCTAACCCTTAAACCCTGTCTTAACCCTCAAACAGCCCTTTAATATTTATAGCATTTTGGTCCCCACAAAGCTGTAGGTCCCCATAAGTATAGTGGGCTCCCAATTTTTAGACCCCACCAATATAGTAAAGGATAGATTATTTTCCTAAAAGTGAAATCAAATAAGAATGAGGCAGAAACATGCTGCATATGTATTTGGTTTTATTGAAGAAGAGAGATATGAACAGGTAGCCTACTTTAAGGCACCTTAAAAATTTACAACAAAAGCTGAACCATTTATTTATTCAGAATACAAAAATACACATCTCAGTGACTCCAAATTGTAATAAATAGTTAACCATGCATTCTAACCATAAAAAGGCACAGAAAACAGTCACTTAGTAGTCATAAAAATGATCAACTACTTTACCAAAATCATCCAGATAGTAATACAGGTGACAACTGTAACATTATATTCCAAATGTGAAAACACAATACACACCATATCATTTAACCTTAGGCAATAAATATGCAAATATTTTTTATACCTACATATATATTCTTAAAAATGAAAACTGTGCCATTGTAAACATAATGTAAACAAATGAAACTCACTCTTCTCCCATTACTTTGGGAGCCATGTCAAAGACTATGTTATCCTGTCTTTCTCAGATCCTTGCATGGGTTTCGTTGGTTTTTTGAAAACCAGGCAGTTTGCAGCAATATTTACAGACCACTGGGAAACACAGCGAAGGGAGAGAGGTGGCTACTTCCACTTTGTATGGAAAGGTCAAGCATTCTGGACTCTGGGGCCACAATGCTTGAGATTGAGTGAACCCTATATCCAGAGGTTCTGGCCAAATGTCATCCGATAGTTAACAATGAGTCTGAACTAGTAAATAAATGAAAGGCAAAGTTCTGTCCATGGGACTAAATGATCTTCAGTCAGGCAGAGGTGCAACAAAATGGGAAAGAGTCTCTGATGATTATAAATGTGTGGTTTATACCTAACACCAATCTTTGGTTATGAGTTCCAGGGCCAACATTAGTATGTATGTGATAATGATTTATAGACTTAGATTTCTGCATGCCAATGAGCAACACTCCACTATACTGAACACAACTGACATAAGCAGCAGTAAAATCGTGCTGATTGATGTGTGAGTCTGGGACTGAAGACGTGTAATAGATTGCCCCCTGTTGGAATTTTAAAGACAATACATGACTACTGTCAATTCAGCCCCTTAATCACAACACATTCTATCATAATTTAGAATTTAAAAAGATTTTAGCACTCAATATTTAGGAGGAAAAAATTAAATTGGTTTTTAAACAAATTACTCTGAGAGGGAAGGATTGAAACCAACATACAAGCAGCAAATTATACTCCAAAGGGGAAAACTAAATTATCAGAGTTGAAATGACATGATAAAATGAGTTGGCAATGGTAAGTTCACAATTGCTGATAAGGTACAATATGCATGTTGTAGTAGACACACCCAAACGCACACAAATACATTGTGATACATATTAACACAACAGTCATGTCTGCCATTCTACTCATTCACTGACACAATCCTGCTTTTAGAGTATCATCTTGGAAGCACGGAGGAGCAAAAACTACAAACTAGTGAACCGCTGGAAGAAATTTGGAGTCCGTAAGAAAAAGCAGTCTGTCTACAGGGTCTTAACTTTTAAAATCTAATACCCAAAACCTTGAGGAGGAGTACATGTACATAAGAAACCCTTTTGAGGTTTTTCCCGCACTGAGAAACATCATGTCAGAAAGCTGCAGAGACAGTATCAAAACAAGAGATAAAATATTGCACCATCATTAGAATACAACAGCATTAATCATGTACAAGAGATTAGAACAAAACACAATTGTTATGGTGTAATATACACAATCAAATGTGTAAGCTGTTGACAATGCATGCCATGTCAGCAATCTACAAATGCATTAGACTACAACACTTACAAACATTGTTTGCATACACTGGTATACTGTATATACAGTGCATATATATATACAAACTAAGCATCACATATAGAAATATACCCTGTAATGCCACCAGTCTTAAAAGAAACTAACAAGTAAAAGTAGTGTTCTATCAACGTCTCACTTGTAAGTTGAAGAGAAAATAAAAAGCTGCACTTGAACAATGCTATACAGACTGCAGATCAACTGCGCTATTACATATTCAAACCGATATCTAACTCCTATCCTCATTAGTGTTAAATACTGTGATCAATTGCCAAAAGTTAAAAAGTTGAGGTGAACTGTTAATTCTATGTAATGATATGAGAATTTGCACTTGCATAAAGCAAGAAGTAAAAAGTGCCTCTTAAGCATTCCTTAAAAAAAACTCAACGACCCTACAGTATATGTGGTTGGCTTCACACCAACACTTTTACTCCTTTCCTGGCTAATACTAATCCTTTTTGATAAATGGATTTAAGAACTAAGACCTAACTGTACTATAAAATTGAGAGGTGCGATTTGAACAAAGTCATCTGGGATGGGTTGCACCAACTGATCTTTACTAAGCTTGGTCCTGACTGCTAAGTCGGTCTTTGTTAAGCCCGGTCCGTAGAATGGACTTTATGTCGGTTGCACCAACCAGACTTTAGCCTAGTCTTAAATACGCCCCATCTTAGTGATGCCATGTGAATGCCCACGCAACTATGGCTGTTGTCTATCCTACATCGGTAACAATCTCCTGCTGTATGCTAATTTGTAGCTAATCATTTGTGATTTGTGGCAGCATTATGGAGGATAAAAGAAAAGGAAAATGCAACCTCAAAAGCAAACAATGATTGTTCAGACTCAGACAGCCTTAATTCAGACAATGATGTATGGAAAAGGGTAAAGACAATCTGAGCAAGGCAAAGGAAGCCATTTCTTTAAGAAAAATCCACCTAACTGGCGGGGTCCTCCACTGAAAACGTCAATTTATAGTGATTTATAAAGTGATTTTGAATTTTACACCTGCTTCTAGGTAGATTTACGCTGGTCTTAGCAAGAAGAAGGCTTAAGTCAGATGGTGCAACTGCTGTAACTATCAGGGCGGACTTACAATGCCGAGTTACAATAGACCTTGCTTAATATCAGGCGTATGCCCTGTTGGTGTGACCGACCAGATGATTTCTTCGACATTCACTTTGGTACAGATTTTCACTCCACATATTCATACCCCGTCGACAGCTTTTTAAAAACTTCTTATGTCTACCAATAAAGCACGATTTACACTATAAATGAATGAAAATATGGCACTTATCACACAAATCTTAGACACGCCATTGTCATGCAAACAGAATAAATTAAAGCTAGAAAAAAACTTGATTTAGACCAAAAAGGATGCTTTCAGTAGTAACAAATGGCATCATAATACTTAAGTCATGTAAAACTTGTTCAAGTGTTATTTTGCACACAAAAAAAATCAAGACACTAATCATGCAATTAAACATATGTAAAAGTTGAGCAAGCATAGCATGCGACAGTATGCTACTGTTTTCAGACACCACGCCTACCAGATTCCCAACTAGACTGATGTTACAAGTTCATCCTCTCTGTCTTCACTCAACAGACACTTTCCTTAATGCATCTGCAGCTCTGTAAAGTGAGGCAGAGATCCAGCAAACATCCCATTTTTACACACTACCAAACCCAAACTCATGGAAGTCCTGGTTTTGCTACTAGTTTGTTAACTCCGACAAGTCAACTGTCAACAGTATGGTTAGTTGCATACCTGATTGTGTGCTATGAATTGATATTAACTTAGAAATGGCTTTTATTGTAAAGATCCATGACTTCCTTTTGCACTTCCATCGGCTTTCTTGACTGTCATTTTGGCACCAAAGCACAAACAAACACACTAATGTATCTTGTTAACAACATCACAAAGGCTTTCTCAGCAGGGGGATACAAATCCAGCTGTCCTTGAATACCTATCTCCTTCACTGCCTACGGTGCTCCCAATCTGTCCCACTGATGTAAGGGGAATGTTTGTTTCCCCTCTCGGGTAGCGTCTGCTTCCGGGTTAGAGGTCAACCATGGAGGCCTTGGCCAGATCTTTAGTTCCCTGGAGAATTCTCTTCATATGACCCACTTTCGATATCCCCAGATCCTGACAGGAAACAAGAAGACAAACACATTAAAAACATGTAGAAAGACGTCTTGCAAGTAAAGCACACACTGGCCTTTAGGGCGATGCATTGTGTAACTGACATCATTCAGACAAGTTTCAAGATAAACTAGCAACTTTATTAGCCATGATAGTGGTTGATGACCACTTTGGTCCAGAATGAAATAACTCGACAGCTTTCAGATGGACTGCAATGAAATCTTGTACCCATATCCAGGAGAGTGTCCACAGGTTGAAGCCTAATGACTGGTGATCGTCTGACTTTTCACCATGAGGTTGGTAAATGTCTCCACAACTACATGACATTTTGTGCAATATGAAATATAATATTCATAGGTCATCCTGCACACTGGACCTTAAAGACTTTACACTGAAAAATGCAACTCCACAGCTGCTGTCTAATTTTGATTCAAATGCTGGTCAGTTATGATCGCATGGAAGTACACAACATCATATTTTTCCAACTAAGCCCAGCCCATCTCCATCCAGTGAGCAGAACAGAAAAATGGAAATACAGTTACCAAAAACTTGAAGCAACCAAATCTGCTAATTTTGGCAGAAATATGTTGTTCCTGTTGGACACTGTCACTTATATTAAAGAGACTGTTTGAGAAAATCCGTTTTAATTGAAATGTGATGCTCCAAGCACTACTTTTGCCAAACTTGTGTGAGGTTTGTGTGGTTATTTTGGTTGCATAAGATTTAATGAAGTGCCAGTGGATCTGTGTGTAATCATGGCTTGATAAACTCCAATAGACCAATGATTCTAAACAAGGTTCTGTTCCATTTAGGTCAAACAGAGTCAGGGGGCTGCCATTGTACATGTTGGCTCACTGGAAAAGGTTCTGCTACACTAAATGGAACCAAACCTTATTTAGTATTATTCGTAGCACTTGTGTTTACCCTACTATTTCATGTCAAAATGGCTGCTGTGAATATAGATTATCTCTTTTATCTTTTCATCATCTTAAAATTATTTCCTTGATTAATCGTTCATTCATTTTACACTGTAAGAAATTGTAAAATATTTCCATTACAATTTCCCAGAGCACAAATTCGTATATTCAAGTTCCTTGTTTTGTCTAACAGTATAAAATCCAAAGATGTTCAATTTAAATTTATAGAAAACCACCGTTTGTGAAGCTTTGCTCAAAAAAAGGCTTGATGAAGCGATGAAACATAAAATGTTATTGGATTTTAGGTTTATTGTCAAAAAATCAACTAAACATTTCTGCTTTACTTCTATTCATTATAATAAAACAGGAGAGGACACAGCAAACTGGACAAATGAGATGACTGACCAATAAATTGCAAGATCATGGAATGAGGGGCACAGATATAGACAAAATACAGGTGTGTGTGTGTGTGTGTGTCGTGTGTGTTGTCATTACACATTGGCATTTAGTTGCTGTGCACTAATGTATGTAGAGAATATATGTATATATATTTTTTAGGTATTTTTGGGGTTTTTTTATTGCCTTTATGATAGTAACAGCTGAATACAGACAGGAAAGGGGGGCAGAGAGATGGGATGACACGCACAGGGCTGCAGGTCGGATTCAAACCTGGGGCCTGCAGCAAGGACTCAGCCTCGGTGTCATGGGTCACCAGCTCTACCCACTAAGCTAACCGGGCGCCTGGGAAAATATCGTTTTAACCAACATTTTGCAGTGAAGGAAATCCAAAGGTATGTTTGAGTTACGATAATTTAGGAAATCAGTTTTCCAATAACACCGTCTGTCCACCAGAGAGCACTGACAACTTATTTTCTTCAGCACTGGGTTGTACCAGCTGTGTGTGTCACCCTCTCCACATTCAAGAGTAGGCTTAAGACGTTCCTCTTTGATAAAGCTTATAGTTAGGGCTGGATCAGGTGAGTCCTGAACCATCCCTTAGTTATGCTGCTATAGGCCTAGACTATCCCATGATGCACTGAGCTCCTCCCATCCTCTCTCTCTCTTTCTGCACTCATTCATGTCCCATTAATGCATGTTACTAACTTCACTTCTTCCCCGGAGTTCTTGTGCTTTCTCGTCTCGCAGGCTCTCATGGATCCTGGTGGAGCCTCCTGCCATGGTCCTGATTGACTGCCATTGCCAATACTCTGTCTGTCTGTCTGCTCTCTCTCTCTCTCTCTCTCTCTCTCTCTCTCTCAGACGACCACCCACCTAGAGCCGAAGGATCTGTCCTAGGTTTCTGCCTTTTAACAGGCAGTTTTTCCTTGCCCCTTGTTGCCAAGGTCTTGCTCATGGTGGTACTGTTGGGTCTCTGTAAATAATGTTATAAGGAGTTCGGTCTAGACCTGCTCTATTTGAAAAGTGTCCTGAGATAACTTCTGTTATGAATTGGCGCTATACAAATAAAATTGAATTGAATTGAATTGTAAGTTCTCTCCTAAGTGAGGGTGTAAAGTTAACCTTAGAGGCTAAGTAACTACTACTTAGTGTGTAACTAAATCAGTTACTAAAACAGAAGGTCTAAGGCAGTGGTTCCCAACCTGGTGGTCAGGACCCCCGTCAACAAAACTTCACAGAGGCCTTCTTTATTTTAGGGGTGCAAAAAATATACACAGTAGGACTATATCTCAGCATTTGGTTCACTTCTGTGTATAAAAGTAAATGTGAAATAAACTGTCTAATAGAACAATGGCCAAGCATCAGGGAAAACACTGACACTTAAGTCAATAAAGAAGTTAAAAATGATTTAAAAATACAACCCTAATACAGACAGAAAATTGCTTAAATAGAATATAATCTGCTCAAAATTCATCCAAATCACTTGTTTTATGCAAACTTCCTGCAGTTATTGTGTATTTGGATTCATTGTACAGTTTTGAATATAATATAAAATATCCATAATACATATTTTTTAGTCAGGTTGTCAGTTTACTAAATTATAGAAAAAGGGGTCCCTTAAGAAAATAGGTTGGGAACCACTGGTCTAAAGGAAGTGGCTCTCATCTATCAAAAATATTGTTTCATCACTATGGTTACTGTGCACATAAACAATAAAAAGAAAATAAAAGCAATACACTTTCTGACATGCATGAGCCACTTGGCTCTCTCTTAGATCGATACTGAAATATTGTATTAATGAATTTGGTCACTAACTATCAGTGAGTATAATTCTGTGACATTTTATGAGTTACACTACCTCTTCGTGGTGCAACTGCTTTTAGTTTAGTAATGCACAGATCACAACTTAGTTATAATGTACATTATGACTAAGTTTGAACTTACACTCAGCTGGTGCAACAGGGTACTGTTCAGTATTGTTCACAATTCTTTAATAACCAAACACATACTGTAGTAATCTAAATATGTTTGTTTATACTATGCATTTATGTTCTTATCATATTTTTTTAACTGAGATTATATTGATATCTAATATATGATATTTAAAGGGAGCCCGAATGGTTGTTCATATAGTTTCTTTAGTCATGCTCACGTTTTTCTCAACTTTCCTTTTGTACATCAACATCGTTTCCATGACAATGGTGGTATACATCTACACTTTGAGGAGGAAGGCATCACACAAACATCCCACAGATCAGAACAAATCCAAGTTGGACTGCAACTAATGATTATTTTCATCATCATTTTTCTGCCCTGTGGTCACCCTGCTGTCTCTTTCTTGCCCCCCTCAGGTCACCAGTTCATTAATAAGTGAGCAATGCTGACCAATCCTGGTGATTCTTCTCTTCTTGATTAATCGATCAGTCATTTGGTCTATAAAATATCAGAAAATGTGGAAAAATGTTGATCAGTGTTTCCCAAAGCCCAAGGTGATGTCCTCAAGTATCTTCTTTTGTCCACAACCCGAAGACATTCAGTTTAGTTTATTCTACTATCATAGAGGATTACGAAAAGCAGAACAATTCACATTTGACATTAGAATTTGGATATTATGTCTTAAAAAATTACTAAAAACAATTAATCTGTTACCAAAAAAGTTGGTAAATAACTAATAAACAGCTAATTGATTAATTGACAAATCGTCGCATCTCTAAATTCAAGTGAACATTGTGTGAGTGTGTGATCTGTGTATAAGTGTATAAAGACAGCTGTCTCTGTGAACTCCAAGAGACTGTATGTTGTTTTTTTATTTTTATGGATTAAATACGATCTGAGCTGAGCCAGTTTAAATATCACAACTAAACTCACTGGCTGAATTTGGCCCTCTGCAGTCAGCCCAGCTCAGTTTGGTCTATCCACTCCCTCCCTGTCCTGTAGGCTTCCCCTCTGCAGCAGATACACAGTGTTAGTGGGTTACAGTGAGTCTCTTTTACCAAGCAACGATCAGACAGTAGAAGCCAAGCAGAGCGATGCAGCACAGCACGACAGGTGGCAAAACAGGGAGAACAACTAACAGGTTGAAGAGCGTAAGAAGTACAAGAGACCAAGAGGAGGCAGGAAAGAAAGAGTTGATTGTGGGTTGGACGAGAGGGTTCACAAAGATTCACTGAGGGATCAAGGTGTGTGTGTGTGTACCTTCAGGTCCCTCCTCTCCAGGTGCAGCAGCTCCGAGCCTCGGATGTCGTGTCGGATGAAGGTGTCTCTGTACTCCCCCAGACTCAGCTGTTCCAGCCAGATGCCCACCTCCTCTGTGCCCCATCTCTCCACTACACACACACACACACACACACACACACACACACGCACACACACAACATACACACGGAGCAGAACAGAGAGAGGCTCAGGGCGCCTCACAGGTATGCACGCACACACCAAAAAACTCTCACATCGTCTCTCTCACACGGCACACGTGTGAATGTGTCACCACACACAACCGCACAAATGGACACACTTTGGGGTAAATCATTGAAGGAAAAGATGGAGAAATAAAATGGAGGGAGAGCATCAGAGAGGAAGGGAAGAGAGAGAGCAGTGGCGGCAGCTGGCGGAGGAAAGGGGGGGTATTGACAATAGCCAAAGGTTGGTCAGAACAAGGCGGTGGCCAGTGCCGTTCCAGGAAGACCGGGGGGCATGCATGTCATCCACTGATATCAGAACACACAGAAAAAGTAGGAGGTAAAGGGAGACGGAAGCCCAACTAATCAGAAACCGAGAGAGGGTCTGACTGTTCAATATACATAATGTCTAAAACCATACACCCACTTAGTATGCAGCAGCAAGTGGACTGGCTGGTCATCTAGAAATCTGCTACTGACTTTTTTAATTGATTTTTTTTATTGTAAAATATGCAACAGTTTGATTCATGGTGTTCAAATGAAATATTGGATCCCTGCAGGCATTCCCTTGGTGCAGCCTTGTTCTTCTCCTGCCTTTACGCCTTCTGAAGGCCTGTTGTACAACTGGAGGAGAGCATGAATGGAGGGGATGGGGTGTGAATTGATGGTTAGGGTCACACTGTGGGATAAAAGACCTCCAACATGCACACACATCCTTTATGTTTCTACCAGGGGATTACGGTGCAGTAATACCTTTATGCAAGGGTTGTAATAAGATGGTAGTGAAACGGTAACACTGAGGACTGCTGGCAGAAGTTTTTTTTTGTGTGAATGTGCATCTTCATTGTTTGTAATTGTGTTAAGTTTAAGCACAGTATCGATGAATGAATGAAGGATGGTAGCTAACTGTTCTGGTTGTTATTAGTGGAAGAATATAATAATCTGAGTATGAAATGTGAAACAAAACCAAGTTAAAGTCCCCCTCCAGTCATAATCAGTGTTTGTTCTTGTTCCTACAGCGTGCTGTCTGAATGCTGTCTGTGCAGAGTTTGACACTAGAAGGATGTTTTCACATTCATCTGCTGAAAGTGGAAAGTTTCTCTGAGCTCATTGAAAATCCAATTTTAAGGGGCGGGGCCTACCAGCAGGATTTGTGACATCACAAATAGTCAGGAAGTCAGTCCTGGTCCAGTATCAACTTGTACAGTGTGATGTAGAAACTTGAAGCCACCAGTGCACATCCACTGAGAATGGACTTTACAGTGAAGTAGGAGACATCTTGTGTCCAGCAGGAAAACTTTAGAAATCAACAACATTTGTATATTCAGAGATTCTGGAAGTTTTAATGAGGCAGAAGGAGGAGATTACTGTTTAAGAATTTTTCATTTAAATTAGACTTTTTTGTATATGTCTTAATACATGTCTGGAGGGGATCTTTAAACTTAATTTAAAATTAGTCGAGCCACAGAAATATTTGAGCTTTTGTCCTTCAGTGCATTTTGATTTGATGCCACTAACCAGCAGTAACAATCATCATATATTTTGAGACCGACAAATAAATAATATTCCTGGTTAAAGCCCCATGGCAGATGGGACAGACGGAATGATTCCCCATCCTGCTGATGGAAAAGTGGACACAGCCATACCTGACTGAGGGCTCGTCTTCTTTGCTGCCTTCTCCTTCTTGAACTTGGGCACTATGCGAAACATGCTGCTGCGACTGTTCCTCTTGCCGTAACCCAGAGAGTGTTCCTGGTACATAAGCACAGTCAACCTATAGCATTTCATTTAGCTACTCAGCTCTCCCGTTGCCTGGAGCCATGTTACGCATAAAGACATACAGATTAAGTGTGCACATAGCTCTTACTGTTATGAGGGGCAGGAGTACACAATGTTGGTAATGTTACATGTTTTATAGAAATACTACACAGAAATGTGTGTGCACGTGTTCATCTGTGTGTGAGTGTTTGCTGAGGCTGCTTACCTCCTCATCATTGGGCTGCAGTATATGGTAGAGCCAGGGGATCTCTCCCAGTTTGCCCAGTTCCAGCTCCACACTCTGCAGAGCATTGGACAGCTGCTCCTCCTCTGGTGGGTCCAGTTGCTGCAAGGGGGGAAAACACAGGCCAGGATCAACTAAACGCATCATACTGTAAGGACAATTACTAAAATACGAGTTATACTAAACTAGAAGCATCCTTTAACGCTGCAGTATGGTTGAAACATTAAATAATATGGAGTAGAAGTAAAAGAAAGTAATTAACACAACGATAAAGTCTCTTTTACAACCATAATAACTCACCAGAGAGACTCGGCCCAACAGAAGTGACTCTGTCTCGTTGTACAGAGCCTTAACAGTGCTGGCCACCTCTATAGCTGTGTTTCTCGTCAGACTCTAGAAACAGGACACAACACTTATATAGTAAATAGCACACTGAGCATTTCAATAGCTTAGCTGCAGTTCAAAAGAGGTTCAGTCTAATGAGTCATTTTTAATATGCAGCAACATATTAAAACAATCAAAGTAAGTGTTCTGTTAAAACAAGCTACACTGCAGCTAAAACAGATGTTTTCACATTCATCTGCTGAACGTGGAAAGTTTCTCTGTGCTCACTGAAAATCTGATTTTAAGGGGCGGGGCCTACCAGCTTGTGTGAAATGAATAAGATTGCATATTGTGTTTTTAATGTGGAAATTATACTTTCTTCTCTTGTAGGAAAAACATTTCAGACACACATTATTGTTCCAAGAAGACTATTTTTATATGTGTAATACATGTCTGGAGGGGATCTTGAATTAAACTTTCACTAATTGCTAAATTACAAAATAACATAAAATTTAACAAAATGACATAATTTTTGGCAATTTTAATTACAATATTTGAACCTACTTCTACATAAAACCCCACCAGGTAATGGTGCTAAAATACACATTTTCATATCTACATTTTTGATTTTAATTTTGTTAGACTACTGCTTAAATCTTAGCTGTGAATAAATGACTAAACTGATGAACAGGTAACCTGCCTACAATATACGTCCTCTTTGCACTCTCTATAAATTGGCCTTTTCAGTTTGTCAGGCTGTGAAGGACTCTCTCTGGCTTTAAAAAGGTATTAGCGACTAGAAAGATATTTCAATATCGTGCTATTGTGTTGATAGCTAACCTCTGGGAACTTGGGGTGTGTTTTGTTGATGGCGTGAGATGCGGCATTAACAGCATGAGCCAGCTCCTGCTCTAACAGCCCATTGGTCTTTGCAGCCTCACATATCCTGTGATTGGACAGAGCAAACATCAGGAGGACAATTTATGACAATGAAAAAAAACGGTATTCTTTATAGATCTGTAAAAGCCTGTGGATAATCATGGCAGCACATGTTTACCTTGTAATGAGCTCCTCTGCAGCTCTGGCGCACATCTGCACCAGGGCGGCCTCCTCCTCTGTAGCCAGATCCACAGACTGCTGTGGGTAGAGGTGAGGCCGCAGAGGAGGCTTATCATACTTTAATTTGTCCTCCCATGACTTCAGTGTGTTCTCAAACGCCTGCAGGGGGAATCAAAGGATATATCACGTAAAGCTTTGTCCACCCTCCTCACTCAGGTTCATCTAATTCTCCACACTTTCCACTTTCTCCTACTGCTCTTCACTGAGCTCCACTCTGCTTTCCCCTCCCTCCCTCTTTCTCACCCGGTCTCTGGTGAGCATCTGAGCTCTGTTCTTGTGTTGGATCTTGATGACTCCAGGTGGCTGGATCCAGGCCTCGCCGTCCACCTGAATGGGAACCCCCTCATCACCCAGGATAGTAATCTTCACTGTTCGACACTGATTCGGGCAGAGAGGCTTGGATTAGTTGTACATATTTATTTATGTATAGTTATTTTATTTTCATAGAATTTGTAGTGTGTGTTCTGACCTGTGCTATGCGGTGGTGTTGCAGTTTAATGACTCTGGACACGGCCATCTGCATGCTCCCAAACACAGCCACAACCTCCAGGATCTTGTCATCAAATGATGGGGCACAGAAGATCTGCACAGCACAATAATGACATTCAGTAACTTTGCATACCATATAACCAATCATTTAAATAAAGATTTTAATAAAGAATTAGGCTGGTTACATTGATGTTATGGAGTGAAGTGATCTTGCATATTGCAAATATTCTTCATACTTAATACTCTGATCTTTTGCACATTCCTGCACAAACTGTACAACATATTGTACATATTGTCTGTTATTGTCTTTATAATATTTTTTCTATTTATTCTTCTTTGACTTGCAGTATTTGTTTCTTTATATTTTTCTTGTTCTATGTTTATTGTTATGCACTAATATACGTAAATTCCTTGTATGTGAAAACCCACCTGGCCTACCCTGATTCTAATTTTGAGTTTCTGAGACAAAGGTAAACTATATCCCTTATATAGAATGAACTTATATTTAAGTACTGATTAATGAATAAATATGTGAATTTTTAGCCCTGATGGCACAACTGTAAAATAGGCCTATTAATAAATGCCATCTAAATTGGTCAATTTTTCTATAAAAATCTAGGAAATCTTACTTAGAAAATTTACTTTTCTCTGACTGGTTCAAACTAAATCCTAGGAGAAAGTGAAATATTTGATCTATTCTATTAAGGCAGAAGTCCAGTGTAGAGCACAAGTAGAGGCCTGTATTGGTTAGAAAAAACACAATTAGATATTTTGCCCAAATAATTCAGCTGTAGTCTATGGCACAAAGGATAAGCTTTATAAGACTTTGGCTCCACAGCAAATAGCAGGGTAAATTCACTGCTGCTTCTGGTCTGTTCATGACATTTATTGACAAAACGACAAATATAACATATCACCAGCCTTATCCTTTCATGTTATTGTGACAGGAAGGAGTTGTAAACCAATATATATGTCTTTCTTCTACATTTGTAAAAAATGGCCTCAAAAGGAGACGTTCTGCCCTGTCAGCTCAGTTTAGCTGGATCCTGGATGACAAATGAATTGTTTCTGAAAGAAGAGGTTCCCAACAAATCTGGTATTGATCTCAGCCAGCAAACTGCCTGTGAAAAGGTCAAAGCAATGTGGAGTCAGCATCTGCCCAAGTACATACAGAGACACTCAGCAAAAATAAAATTGCTGAATAGGTAACATTTGATGAAATGCTCAAAGAACATGATAGATGTGTTGTCATGTGGGGTAAGGCCACTAGATGGAAACCAAAACACGTTAAGAAAGAAGTTGTGCTGCATTCAGTGCTACAGTAGAGGTGGTAACATGTTGATAAGCGAGATCTCTCCCTTTATCAATGTGTATTACAACTATATTTTCAAATAAACTCAAACCCTTACTACAGATGAGCTGCAATGTGTAAAAATGTACAACAAAACAGGTACGATAGCTTTTTCTGACACAAGGACAAAACTTTGACTGTATTGTACATCTCTGTGTATGTGTGTGTGTGTGTGTGTGTGTGTGCATGTGCATGCTGACTAAGTTTAACTAAATGTCCTATCCCTGTTGCAGTTTCCACCTCTCCAGCTGAACAGTTACATAACGCCAAATGCACATACTATATGTGTGTTCAAGGGTAACCTCTGCAGGGGCTCGCTAAGGGGTGTGTGTGTTTGTGTGTGTGCAAACTGTCTCTTATCCCTCAGCAGCCCTTGTGCTCTGAGCCTTAAACAAACAAGCATGACTATCTCTCTACCCATTCCTCCCCCTGCCTCCTGGCTACCAGGGTCTTGTTAAACCAGGATCCAGGCTGTCAGTCCATAGTTAACATCAGAGAGAAAGGTGGAGAGACAGAAAAAGAGAGGTGGAGCCTCCATCCAGGAGTATGGCCACCTCCAGCAGGATGGAACATTATACAGAGTTGGTGTGAGCATGTAGCGTGCTGTAAATGTACTCACATCGTCCTCCTTGGTGCCGCCCCAGAAGTTGGTCCCACCTGCGTAGCTAGGAATGTTTAACACTGCGATCCCCTGAAGGCTAGGCAGGGGGATGTACTGGCCATCACACTGCAGAACACAATGACCAAGCAGAGCTCAGCGCAGGTATTGGTTTTTAAGGTTTAGATTATTAAAGACATAAACTTTAAAATGTCTTCTGAAGACAACCTATATCCACAGAGCCTTCACTCTCTGATAAACAGCCTGGTTCTGCATTAGAAAGGTATGCAGTAAGAACAAACAAAGAACTAATAGAACAATGAGACCAAACGCTGAATTTGTTAAAAAGCAAGCATATGTAAGTATGTAAAAAAATTTAAAAATACATAATACAGAGAATTGTATAAAAAATCCCTATAAATACAGGAAATAATCTCAAAATTCATCCAATTCTCTGCTTTTCCACAAACTTCCTGCAGTTATTGTGTTCACTTTTTGGGTTCATTGTACAGTGTATCAGTGTTACTGTTATGCATTGAATATAATATGAAATATCCATAAAATGTGTCACTTAGTCAGGGGTTGTCAGGGAAAAAGGTTGGGAACCACCAGCCTATAGTAGATTTAAAGGTGTCCAATTTATTATTTACTATTATTTATGACTAGTTTTACTTTTCACAGCGTAGTGTTTCAGTACCTGGTTTAATTTCAAGTTGGATGACATCAATAAAAGGCTCTCCTACTCCTGACTAGATGAGCACTGTGCCCACTTTCACTGGGAAGCGTGGCAGTTGTTGTTTCTCCGGAGCACTCCAAATCAGTCTCTAAATAAATCTGAGGTGAGAAATCGGCCAGGCAGTTGCAGAATCATGCTTCACCTTACACCTACAACCCTTAGATTAAATAGTGTATCAAGAGATTTGAGAGTGCTGAGAAGTGGCGAGTCACATCCTCATCTAAATTACTCCCCGCTGTTTGCTGATTGCCTGAGTCTGTATATTTCCAGTAGATTTTAGGCTAAAGCAAGATACAGTCGGGCGTTGCAAGTTGTACGTACAGTTTAAAGGCGAGTGTACTGTGCTGTTCTTTGCCTTCTCACCTCTAGCTGGACCTTCTGCTCCAGGTTCTTGTAGGTTCTCTGCAGAAGCTCCTTCGTGCCCAAAACACCATACCACATCATGTTCTTGGTACGACTCCTGTGTAGGAGCAGAAGTGAGATTAACAGTGTGGTGAAAAAGGAAAGGGTTGTGAAATTAACTGAAAACCCCTTGTTGTCTTAGCACTGATTTCTAAAAAGTGCAGCTATAAACCAGCCAGATACTAGTAAATGTTTCTCATCTGCTCACATAATAATAATAATAATAATAAAAAAATATTTTATTTATAAGCTTTTTTAAAAAAAAAAAAAAAAAAATAAAAAAAAAAAAAAAAAAAAAAAAAAAAAAAAAAAAAAAAAAAAAAAAAAAAAAAAAAAAAAAAAAAAAAAAAAAAAAAAAAAAAAAAAAAAAAAAGTTTTTTTTTTTAAATTAAAAAATAAAAGAGGAAGAAAAAAAAATAGGGGGGGGGGGGGGAAAGAAAAGGGGGAGGGGGGGGGAAAAAAAAAAAAAAACCCCCCGGCCCGGGTGGGGGGGGGGGGGGGGGGGGGGGGGGGGGGGGAAGGGATGGTCTATGGCATGTGTGTAAGCATTACTAGGGGATTATAGCCTACAGTGATTATATTTCTCTTTTTAAGAGAGTACAGGAAATGTGTCTCACCTGCATTTCTCTGGATGCTCCTCTCGCTTGTTGTTGAACTCTAGGGAGATCTTGGCATCCAGGCCGATGCCAAAGTAGTTGTTCATCACACACTTCTCCATGTAGCCCTCTCTGGGTGAGAAAAACAGCCGTGCAGTCAGACAAACAGTCAGTAAACTGGACATAGTAAGGAGACACACAACAAGTTCCAGCTCTTACAGTGAGTCGAGGTCGGGGTCGATGAAGGGTGTGGCACCAAAGGGGTCGATGTTAGCCAGCAGCATCTTGCTAATGATGGAGCTCCCAGCGATGGAGGCAGCCAGACCAGCCCGCAAGCCTGCACGACCACACAAAGAGACATGTCACGCAAGGCTAGGTTGGAATGTCCACGTGATCCTTGTGTGTTATGCTGAGGTCAGGTGAAGGAAAATGAGTTGTGTGCACGCTTTGATGTTTACCAGGGCAGATGATACGTGTGTTGAGCACAGGGAGGTTCTCCTTGCTGGTGGTGAAGGGGGTGATGGTGAAGGAGCCACAGGACTGGGTGCTGCGGCTCACCCTCCTCTCCGTTGGAGAACAGGGACTCTTAGCAGCTGGAGACATGGAAAGGAAAAGTCATATCACTAGCCCGCCTTTTTCTACTCAAATTGTTTTAACATTGTATATTCCTGGTTGCTTGGTGCAAACACAATGGCATTCATTTCTAATGTGATACCACACACTCATCCCACCAGGGGGCATAACAAGAACTGCAACTGCTATGAATTAGTAGGGCTTTCATATCAGGAGGAAATTGAACAAACATATAGTAAATGCCTTCTGAGTGAACAATAATCCACATAATCAAGTTGACAGTCAGTGGTTGAGTTTTGTGACATTCATTCTTATTTATACACAGCTCAACACTGTCCAATTAACTACTGAATTAATTACACTTAACAGTAGGACTTCTGGTAGTGGATTCTGGCATTCAGAATAAAAGCAGGAAATTATAAAAGCCAGTAGGTAGAGATGAGCTAATACACTATTATCCATACTCTGAGTGGGCTGAGCTGAGCTGAACTGGAAGTTGTACATTTAAGCCTGTATTTGATACGATTGATCAGAAGTTGCTCTCTTTGTTGGATAACCATTTACAGAACAGCCTCAGAATTGAGCTTCAGAGCAATGTCTTTTAATCACAAGAGTAACAGAACTATTTACAGAACATTTAAATAAAAGTTGCTAATTATTTGTTAGGAAACAGATATTGACACTTGACACATACTTGTTACAGGCGAGTATTTGCTCCGCTCAACACTAGTAACACAGTAATCTCTCCCTCTCCTCTTGTAATTTTAGGGAAAGGTGTAGGGTAACAGGAGTGTTTTGACATGTGGGCAGTTTTTGTTATTTTTTGTCAGTTTATATTCTTGAAGCTGCTTTTACTCTAAGAAAATTGGGGGCTAAGTTTTATTGTTGTTGATGTTAGAGCCCGACTGTTACATCGGTCAACCGTTATTGACCTATTATACACATTTTGGCATTGTGAAAACTGTTATATATTCAATTTTATATTTTATATATATTATATATATATATATAATGCAAAAAAAAAAAATACTTGAGGTGGTATTTTGGTGTCACTGCAAAGTTTATCCAGCAGAGTGCACTGTGATTTACAATACTGTGGCAAACAGCACAGAGTAAGAGAGAAGCAGCTCTCAGCAATGTCAATTAGAATTGGTTGACAATTTGTTAAATTATATATAAGATTTGAAAGATTATTCAAATGAAATATTCCTTAATTAAGTTATTTGCAGCATTTGCATTGTCATATTGGTGCACAATCCACATAGAAAAAGTATATTTTCATTCCAGCTCAAAAAGTCTCTATATTGGCCGACCTATCTGTAATTTATGAACTTTTCCTCTCTAAAATCAGTCTCAAAAAAATCCCATATAGGTCAGGCTCTAATTGCTGTGCATGTACCAAACTGAATTTGTCAGAAAATCATTAGGATTTAACTAGGGCTGGGCTAGGCTTTTTTTAAACTATTCTTATTATTTGGAAAGTCTGTTGCTCACTTTCTCTGAATACACATCCAGACAAACCATGGGTCACAGTAGGGGAGTGGAGGGAGGCTTCGGCAGACTACGTTGGATGCAGCGTGTGGGAGAAGTATAGATAAACAAAAGCAAGACAAGCTAACAAATGCCCCAGCGAAGTGGATAGCTTCAAACTGCAGACAGATTAGTATTGTGGAAGATAGGTATAATATATTATATTATAATATAATAGCTTCAAACTGCAGACAGATTAGTATTGTGGAAGATAGGTATAATATATTATATTATAATATAATAGCTTCAAACTGCAGACAGATCTGCAGACGGTACGTATGAGCCTCCCTCAAGACGCACCATCACAAAAGGAATGCACGAGTTGTATGAAAAGGAGAGGACTACAAAAGTGACAGCCTTACAACGTCCACCAACTGTTGCTCTCACTGGAGACTACTGAACATCGCTGGGTAACCATAGTTACCTCGGAGTTACAGTGCATTATATTGATGGACAGTGGGAGCTGCATTCACATGCTCTGACTGTAATGAAAACAGAAGAGAGACATATTGCTTGCACAGCAGTGGAACGTTTCAAATAAAGTCAGCACACTTAGCACAGATAGTGCAAGAATTATGTTAACTGCAAAAAAAAAGCCACCTATTTGTTTGAAGTGTAAAGTTGTGTATAAGTGCAAACCAAATGTTATTGTACTTTTGTTCATATAGCAGTACTTTTAAAATAAAAGTGCGCAATACACTACTTTTGAATTCGTTATTGAACTTTGCGTAACTATGCCATTTATCGCAATAAAAAATTGTAATCGTTGCCCAGCACTAGATTTAACATATATTCCAGGTGACAAATTTGCATGCTTAGTTAGGTAGTGATACACACCTCCTGAGTCAGTATAGCTTCAGCTTTCAGCAGTCATGCATTTTTCCATGTGAATGCACAATGACAGCTTCTGAACACTGTGTATTTTGCCACATAGCAACTTTTCTCACATCGACATCACGCAAATCCTCTATGGGGAAACGAATCTGTGCAAGACTGGAAGACTGGGACGCTTACTGAAAGATGGATTCGCCCCAAACCGCGAGTCACAATCCCTGCTCTTCACGTCCTCTACTTGCTCAGTGTGTCTTTTTTTATTTGTGTCCAGGTCAGGAAGGAGTAAGGAGGAAATAAGAGGAAGCAAGGAGAGGATGCGTAGCAGAGGGTTTGACTGATACCTCCTAGTCTTCCAACGGCTGGAAAATGCGTGGAAGGAAGGAAATAGCCCCATGATAAACAGGAAGAACTTCTGCCCCTAAGACAATAACACATCCTGTGGCTGATGCACACACACTTACAGAGGCACACTAGACGTTTACACTCAGTAACATGCATGTGTGTCCACATACAAAGCTTCACATATTCACACACACATAAACAGACTTTATGGCTGCCCAACCAGCATGGTGTCGACAGGTACAATCATTTATTATTATAGAAAGTTCTCCATTGCCACAGACGGCTGTGGAGACCAGAGATGGAGAGATAAACAGCTTAGCCTGGAGCAAGAGGTGGAACATCACAGGAGAGCAAGCTTTCTCCTGCACTTTTACCACTAATCCTTGAGTTTATTTATGACAGGAAACATGATTTGCGTCAGCAGCACTCTTTTTCCATTAGCTATGTGTCTGCTTTTCTGTGGTGCAAGAAGTGCAATGTCCACAAGGTGGCAACATATAAATCCTGTGTGACCTCGTATTGCATCTATGCTCTTCAAAGTAGAATAATCATCTTTTAGATCTTTTTTTCAGTAACATCTTCTGTTTACCATTGACAGAGAACAAAACTGGCTTTCATATCTTTGTCTATCCCCAATGATAGGAATACCGTGGTAATGTTTTCTTCTTTCATCCACTAGCTTACTAAATTCTACTCAACTCAATGTTTGAGGCCTATCTAAAGAAGGCCTCAACCTCTAATCAAAGAAAATGTCCTTTTAAGTGACAGTCACTGGGAACAATGCCAGCTGGCCCAGTGGAAGACTTGGAAATCCGACAGGTTAAGTATTTTGGTAATGGCTCAGAATGGAAATGCATCAGGGCCAAGCAGGTAAAAGTTTTAACAGCAGGTTCACAGATTTGGAACGGGACTTGGCAGTTTAGGGATTTGAAACAGCAGAAGAAGTAGCGGTGAACTTACATGGCACTGCTTCCAGTTCCTTAGTATCCTCATCCTTCTCGCTGTCTCTGTTCTCCTCCTCGCTGTCCTTTCTGAACTCCAGGGGAGATGGCAGCTCGCTATCGTCTGTATGGGCATTCTGCTCATCGACCACTGAATGGAGGAAACACAGCAATGATAAAGACAATACAGTATGCATTACATACTTTTTTTGGCTTATTGTAACACATATTACGAGAGGAGGCAGACTCTGTGTTTACATCGATGATGCTTGGTGCTCAAACACAGTGAAACTGGATGGACAGTTTCATTTTATGTGAAGATGAAACCATATTATCATCACTATTTTGTGGTTGTATGTATATGTATACGTTATAACGGTATATATTGGTTTATTTTATTTTATTTATTTATTTTCTATGTTATTCTATGAATTTAACTATCTTTTCCTATGTGTGTAGCATGAAGGAACTGCAAACTCTCATTTCGTTATACAAGCTTGTGTTTTATAATGATAGATACATTTCAGGAAACCTTACTTAAATTGTGCAGTTTGTCACTGTAGCCTTATCATCTATGTTTTATAAATAAAGTTGCTTCAGATAAAAGAGTGTGTATGCTATCCAGTGCTCGACAAGCAGAAAGTCTCTCTCGTGTGGTGGCTGCTTTGTGTGCTTGCTGATAGTTATATACACACACACAGGTGCCATTCTTTGCTTCTCCCCATGGGTTTTTTTCCCATTTGCAGCTGCCTGTACATACAAAGACCCATCAGCCATAACATTCTGACCACCTTGGCCGGTTGTGGTCAGAATTTTCTGCAGCCCCTTGTCAAAGTCGCTTAAATCCTCACGGTGCCCATTTTTCCTGCTTCTAACACATCAACTTTGAGGACAAAATGTTCTCTTGCTGCCTAATATATCCCGCCCACTGACAGGAGCCATGATAACCAGATAATCAGTGTTATTCACTTCACCTGTCAGTGCTCATAATGTTATGGCTGATCAGTGTATATTGTATTTTCGTCTTTATTTGTATGTTTATTTAGCAGGGACAAGGCACAATACATGTATTGTACCACCTATAGCTAAAAGCTCATTTTCATCTGTTGACATCAAATCTGGCATCTTAATAACTCCACTGACCAAAAAACAGAGGTCATTATAAGGCAGATTACCTTTTGCATGATGGTAAGAAATTCTACTTCACATAAACATTAATTTCAGCCTTTTAATCACAAAAATATGCATCTCATACAATTTCCAAAGAAGATAAAATAAGAAAACTAGCATGAAAAGAAAAGGTTGTGTAAAATCCCTCCACAATAACTAACAAAAGGTGTGTGTTACCTCTCTCGGCCTGCTCTATGATCTGTCGCACAGCTTTCTTCAGACTGTTGGCCCTGAGCATCAACTGCTCCCTGCTTTTGAACAGCTGGTGTGAGGAACCCACTCCTCCTTTCTCCGTCTCCTCCTCCTCCAGCTTCTCCTTCAGCTCCGTCAGGCTGTCCTCGCTGGCCTCCTCTTCTTCCTCCTCCTCTTCCTGCTCCTCCTCCACAATGGGAGGGGTGGAGTGGGGCAGTGGAGGCAGGGCCTGGCACTCTGCGTTGAGGGTCTGGAGGAGGGAGTCCAGTTTCTCGTTCAGGATGGCACACTGAGGGGAGACACAAGCACAGGCTGGATAGAGTGCTGTGGCTGCATTCAGAAGATGGCAAATTAGCAGAAATTGAATACACAGGGAGAGGCTTTCAGCACAGGCCGGTGATGGATGTTGTGTGCGTTTGTTTTGAGGCTTACTTTGAGAGACATTGTATCACACTCCTCAGCGTTCTCTGTACTCTTTTCATAAGCTTTCCCCACTTTGGCAACAAAATCCTTTACTGTTTCACACAGGATCCTAAAAAACAAAAGGAAAACATGAGTGTGTCTTGGCATAATACACGAAGAAAGAAACGATGAAATCAGTCAGATGGCGGTTGTTAAGACTAAGCCGATTCAAATTTAACTCTTTTTGTAACATTCATTATGAATGCAATTTAAGATCTATTTTACATCCAGATCAAGATGGATATGAAGGAAAATCGGTACTGTTTCCATGTCGGTTTTGTTTTGTAATTGTTACAGCATGATCAATACAAAAAAAAAAACACATTTAAAAGAGACTGAAAAATGCCTCTTTATGCAAGTAATGCTAACTTTATTAATTTTATTTAAGATGTTTAAGAATTTTGGATTTTAGACTTCTTAAAATAAGACCCTGCAAAACTTGCAGCTCTTACAGAGTTTAAAGCTCTGCTTTCAACAATATACCATGTATATAACTGAATAAAATTTAAAAAATTAAAAATATACAGAAAATGTCTTTAGTTTTAATATTTGTCAATTTGGTCAAATTAGTCAACACAACAAGCATTGGTGCATTTGACAACTGAGACTGGGATGTCTACATGACTGAGTGTGATTGTACTGTAATACCTATTCTGTCAAATACCCCCCCATATTATAATAAAAAGATATTAAATAAATATAAAAGGTATTTTAATTTTCATTTAACAATGCAAGGTTGTATAATGAAATTTAGGTTGTAGTTCCCTTTTGCCACTGGTAAAAAAAAAAAACTGAACTTCCTTAATCTTGCCTCGGACAAATATATCGTAATTAAAAATGTAAAATTACATTAATACTGCAACTAATAAAAACTAAACTAAAACTCTAAATATGCAAACAATTAAATCTAAACTGAAGGGAGAAACCCCACTCTGGAAACTAACTGAAACTAAACTGAAACTGACAACAACAAAAACATAACAAAACATAAATGAAAATAATGAAAAATATAAAACTATATCAACTCTGGTAATAGTTGTTGAAATTGTTGTTGGTTATTTTCCGCCTGTTTAGGCTCATGCTGGTTTGCTAATACCACTCACTTGGCAGAGGAGATGACCACAGAGTGCTGCTCAGAGTTGAGGATCTTTGTGAGGTGAGAAGCTACTGAGTCTTCATAGGCTGAAATGTGAAACTGGAGAGAAACACACAGAAAGTATACATGTATATAGTTTAAAGCAGTTAGTGCTTGAAACATAGAGAAATATATAGATACTAGGGGTTGTGGTAAAAAACTCCTTGTTCAGCTCTGAACCTAAGCCTAGGTGAGGGTGAATTAAAAATGACAGGCACTATTTCCAGCATGTGCAACTACCTCCTCCTCACATCTGTCTGTCTGGAAGCCCTGCTGGGTTTGATTGTGTCTACCGATGCGTGTGAATATCTGTCAACTGCTGTGAGTACCTGGCAGTCGTCGGCTCCCTCAGGCGTGGTGGGGCAGCTGTGTTTGGGTGGGATCTTAATCTCGTAGGTCATGATGCTCCAGCGGTCCAGCATCTTGGTGCTGGCTCTCTCCAACTTCTCCAAGATCTGGGGCAGCTGGGTGTCGTCATCGCACGATGGACCCCAGCCCAGCACCCGTGCCAAATCGTTACCCGTGCCTAAGGGCAACACCCCCAGCTGGCACTGAAAAAAAAGCTCAATTAGCACCTTCACCAAGGACACATTGGTTTTTATCTGCTTGTAGCTTACTCTCTTCTGGCAATTTCTGCATTAAAGGCAGATGATTATCTACATTATATGTTTATGACAGTAGGCAATTATAATATATATATATAATATTTATATAAAGTAATATTTAAAGTTCTGCCCAATGTAACAAAATGTTTGCTGACATCACAATGTACCCTTTATACTGTTTATCGCAGTACCTGTTTGTGTAGATTGAGTTTGTCGATCTCTGAGAGGACCCAGCCCACGCTTCCATCGCCTCCACACACCAGGATCCGGAAGTTGTCAAATTTCTGAAACAGGCGCAGACTGACAGAAACACACACTTAACACTATTCACTTATTCTGTTGGTCAGCCATGCATATATTTATGGCTGCATCTATACACATCAGAATCTGGTGAGCTAATACTGTCTGCTTTCCTCACCCGAGGTGTGGCCCACCATTGACTAGGTCAAAGACTTGAGCTGGGTTGAGGAGCTGCTTGAAGCGTCGTAGGAATTTCACTCCCTGGTTGTCGCCACTTTTGGAGTTGACGAAGACCAGGAGGGGACTGGCACATGATGGGGGACAGGTGGCCTTCCAGAAACCTGAGGAGAATTGGCAGCAGATAGGGAAAAAGTGAATATCTGCTCCAAACTGAACTTCATACGACTCCATCCAACAACTGGCTACAACAGTGAATAAAACCAAGACAACCTGCATGATTAAATAACACAATGGGTAAGTAGAAAAATATGTTTTTTTGGTGATATTTGACTGAATTGCTGTACTGTTCATGCCACAGACCCCCAATTTTGGTTAAAAAGGTTAAAATTAGAATTACAATTAAAATTAGAACAGAAGAATTAGGGTTAGGGTTTTGTTGTATTTACAGTTAGGGTCGAGCTGAATTAGGGTACATGCACCTTTTTTGGTCCACTTCAGGTACTGTCTATGCACCAACATGGCTGGAGTTGAGAATCTTTGTGAGGTGAGCAGCTACAATTTGCCCCACAGTTTGAGGACCACCAACATAAGCACAGAGGGCGTCGTACTGTTGTACTGTTGTCGGCTGTGCAGACTGTTATCCCCCCTAAGGACAATTTGTAATATCGATCCTTTAAGGTTGTATAACCAGTAACCAGGGTATAAGTCAAACCACAGCAGCAGAGCTAGACGCAGAGGCTGGTGTGAAGCATCGCTAAACGACCTCATCAAGTGCGTGAGGCTGAGCGTAATAATATGTGGAGGCACGGCACATGCCAAAAACACGTGTTCTGCTTTATAGTAGAGCACGAACACACACTCACAACCAACTACACACACACATACACCAATCTGTGAGAGGTAATGCAACAAGAGGTTTCTGTACTTGCAGCATAATCTGTATACCCCCACTGCGTTTACAGCTTCGTGCATATTAGGGCTTCCACCGCGTGTGTGTAGCACTACTATCTCCTCCTGGCACTCCCTCTTTTCCCTTTTCCCCCCTTGCATCCTCCTTCCCTTCTTCCTTAATCTCTTTGTCAACAATCTTCGATTTTTGTTCCTTTCTGAATGTCTCTCTCTGTGATCTTGTCAGTGAAGGATGGATTGAGGGAGGGTTGAGTGGAAGAGAAGGAGGGAGGAAGGGAGGGAGTCAACGCACCAACACATGTTACAGTCTGCCCCCCAAGCCAATTACAACCAAACTCCCCCCTCTTCCCAGCCTGCATTTGGGCAGAGGGGGTACTGGAACGTGAGGAGATACAGAGAGAGAGAAGGAAGAAGAGAGGGAGAGGGAGCTGAAGGATATGTTTCTTTTTTTTTTTTTTTTTGTCTTATCCTCCTCCCTTCATCTGGATTCCCCATCCTCATTTTCTCTCCCTCTCTTTTATCCATCTACCAATTAGCCAATGCCAGCTTTTTACAGACTCAGTGGACTGCGTATGTGTACTGCATATGTGCGTCTGTGTGTGTGTGTGTGTGGGAGAGCCACTGGATTGGGCAACAGTAATCCAATCACACATGCTTATCTGAGTCTGTCTCACAGGTGCTGAGCTCCATCTAAAATGGGTTTAATGTGGGCTCTGGCAAGGGAGGGCACACACACACACACACCGCACGCACACACACACACACACACACACACACACACACACACACACACACACACACACACACACACACACAGATGGACTGAACACAGAAAAAGAGTCGTCATGTATGAAGAAAAACAAAAATTCAGACATCATGTTGGACAGAGAGCCTGAAGGGAGCCTCGGGGTGCATTCAAGCCATCTGCAGAGCTCTTCTTCTTCCGTGATGTGCGCTTTCATGAAACGATAAGTGTGTGTGTATGTCCATTTTCTCAGCAAGTTGGGAAGCATCCAATTATAATTCTGCTCACACACACGCATCTCATCTCAAGATGCAGCTCTATTTTAAGCCCTCAGACAGGTGTGTGTGGACCTGTGTGTGTGATGGCTATTTTTAACACATAATTTCCTGGAAGACATACCAGTGCCCTGTGCCTCTCCCTAATACCTCATATGACAAGCAGAGAGCTAATAAGAAAGTATGGATTTCATGAGACCAATTACCCGTATGGCAAATAATGATAAAGATATTGTCTTTTGCTTTCTGTTTTCCAGCCTGGGCTCCAGCTTTACAAGAGAACAGAGATCATCACACCCTCCCTCTCCTCCCTCCTGCCACCATCCTTTCATGTCACAGAGCAGAAGGTCAAAAGTTCAGAGAGAAGACATCAGCCAACAAAATGGGATGAAATCTCTGAAACGATTGCTCATAGGTGCTGTCAGGAATCAACCTCTGACCCTTTGAGTGAGTCAGTGTGATTGCACTGTGTGTGTGTGTGTGTGTGTGTGTGTGTGTGTGTGTGTGTGTGTGTGTGTGTGTGTGTGTGTGTGTGTGTGTGTGTGGGGCCTACCGTCTGAGTCGATGCTGTTGAGCGCGGTAGGGGGGATGATGGAGACTTTGCACTGACCTAGAGGACACTTGCGAGGATATAGGTCCATACAGGCTGTGTGCACCTAGAAGAACCACAGAAAATACAATACAACATGTATGGAAGATTCCAGACTTCATCATCTTTTTTTCTTATATGGATGTACTTTTTGCCATGGCAACAGCTGCACATGCAGATGCAGTGGTTAGTAGTTGCTTTGCTACATTTCTGTTTCTTTTGTCTATTGCTGAAAACATCATTGTATGATGTCTGACTGGATTTGGGCTGAGCCAAAATTTTTTAAAACGATTTGATCAGGAGTTTTAAGACTCAGCTCCTGGCTGATAGTCCTGACGAAATGTGACTCAGGTTGGCCAATCAACGGTAAAACAGAGACTGTTGTGCCCACATACCTCCATCAACATCTCAGATCCTCTGATCTGACAGAGCGCAGGACAAGAGTACGCAGACTCTGTGTTTACAATGATGAGCTGTGCCGTGTCACCGGGACGAAAGTATCAGGACTATTGCAACATGGACTTTTTCTCTTTCTTACAGCAATGCTGCAATCGCTGTGACTGCCCAACTGTACTCACTGCTGCCACTAGCTAGATAGCGGTCAGCTGACTGTACCCGGACCGGGGCCAGAAAGAGCATCGTAGCCAGAGTGGGGCGAGCGAGCAACGGAGCCAGCCCAGTGACCTCCCAGTGACCACAGCCGGGACCGAACGCAACCTCCGGCTCTATCTGAGACCAGGTGATTTACAGCGGCTCCGACCAGGACTAGACACAGCGGATTCAAGCAGGGACAGGAGAGGCATAAAGAGAGAGGAGTGAGTTTGTAGCAATTGTAATTGAGTTCATTTGTATCCTGACGACTAGTCAACTATTGGCTTTAATTAACAACTGCTAGTCGACTACAAATATTTTAAGTGGGGAACAGCTCTAATAAATAATCTTCCGGGTCACTGTGGCAGCAGGCTAAGAAAGGTAGCCCAGACCACCATTAGCCAAAATCCTGGCAAATCCATGCCAATATGACTGGCATATGTTCATGAAATGTTATTACCTAACTGTGGCTGCCAGCATGCTATCAAACGGTTGCAGTTACAAGCTTAAATACTGCAAACGATGAACAACACAGTTTGGTCATTTTGAAATATGACTATTAAAGCACATTCAATGCTGAGATTATGCCTTTTGTTGACTTAAATGTTCTCATTATGATTCAAATAATCGTCTTCTTGTAAATGCCAATGTAATTCAGGAATTTACAATTTATCCATGTGACAGATGTCTTACCATAGCTTTGCACCAGAGGCAGCGCCAGTCCTGCAGTCTCAGCACGCTGCCACATGTCTTATCACACACGGCACACTTGGCACTGACAGGCAGGTTGCCTTCCAACCACTGGTGAGGCATGGCAATCTGGAGGTTCAACACACACACACACACACACACACACACACACACACACACACACACACACACACACACACACACACAAACACACAGTTGAAGAAATGCAACACTTATATGCTGTCTTCTTTCATAGTTTCTTTTAGGAGCCCTTTTCTCTGTTGACCCTGGGCAAACAATACAGTCAGTGTTCAGTATTATCCAAGATTTTTTTTCTTGCCAGTTATCTTAACCACTTTCTATATAAAACAAGGCTAATAAGGTTCCCAAACATTTTCCTTTAGTGGGCCAAAACTATAACTTAACTAAGCTAGGCCGAAACACCTTGTTAAGTTGTATTGTTAAGATGCAAAATTGCACAAGGATCCCTTAACTGACTGACTACTCAACTGAAGTGTTACTCTGCCTGCTGTGCTCAGATTAAAAAAAACAAACAATTTATGATTAGGGATCCTACATATTTAAAGAGCATTTTTAACTCACGAAAATAACTGCATGAAACAGCAATGTAATAATTTAAATTAATATTTTGTTTTCTTTGACTAGAAACATCAAGCGGCCCAAAATTAATCTTAAAACAGGCCAACTTTGGCCCATGGGCCTCACTTTGGGCAGCCTCAAAGATAAACTCTCTCAATACATGGATGCCTTTCAAAAAAGAATGGATTTCAAGAAAAAGAAACCTACCCCATCCTCATCCTCAATTATATCCTTCCCTATGGAAGCCAGGGTGGTCCATTTACAGTTGTTAGTGGCTCTGACTGCGCAGCGTTTATGGGCTTTGAATTTGCACACTGAAAAACACAAACACACATATCAATCTGACAGTGTTTTCTACCTTTAACAGCAGTTAACATTACTCAGATGGATGCACTTAAAAAGAATAAAACCTAAACATACATTGTATTACAGTAAATAGTTATCAACTGTTTTTGACTACATGGAATAGTATTTCATTCTAAAATACATTAATTTCTAATGGTGTGATGGGAATGGCTTTTAGTTAATGCCCATTATCAGATACTGAGGTAATTTAAAAATGTTCTCAACCCTGATGCATGATTCACAAACAGACACACCCGGCAAACTACAGTGTGTGTTAATGGATGGAGTCCTAATGAGATGTCAGGGGGCGTAATTACTAACCTCCCTAAGCCTGTTTTGCACTTACGTATCAGAAGCCAAGCGTGAGGACTTAGCTCCACATCATAGGTCTCAATCCATTTATCTCTAACCAGCAACAGGAAGTCTACAGCCAGGCTAAGAAAGACCCAAACCCTGGACCACACAGAACAGGTTGATCCAGATTTGCATTAAAAGCTACCTTCTGTGCTGTCTGGATTACATCTGTACAGCCTCTGGTGACAGTGACTCACATAATGCACATAGATGCATGTGTTTCTGTCGTCTTTCTTTAATTGATTTCAAAGGGAATATGACCGAATCCAACATGTTAGCAGGCATTAAGAATAACTATATAGACATAGCCAATCTTCTCACTGATTGTCTTGTTTGTTTTGTGGTTTCGGAACTGGTTAAAAACTCCTTGTAGTTTAACTGTTCCTTGAAAAAAAGTGTTTATTTCCTGTCCTGCAAGTGAAACTTGTGTCATGTACATCAGTTCACACTGTATAAGAAGCCAGCCACTGTAGTGCCAGGAAATTAAGAAATGTCACATTTTACTTGATTAATGTGCTTAATGCAGGTTGCTCTGAATAAGGAAAATGTAACGTAAATAAAACATGAATGCTTCCTATAAAGATGGAGATTGCTCTCGCCTTTTCCTCCATCAAGGATGAGGCACTTAGCGGACTCATGAATAATGTCTGTACACCAGGGAACTTTGCTTCTAGCCACTCCACCCTTGCACACACACAAACACACACACACACACACACACACACACACACACACACACACACACACACACACACACACACACACAATCTGGTCATTAGGCACTCTACACAGATATACAAACTAAGTCAAAGTCATATCCGGGAGCAACAATTGATGTTTCAATCTTGTCTACCGCTAAAGGCTGTTAGAGAGCATTAGCAGAACATTAAGGGAATTCAGAGGACATGATACCACTGCCTGTTAATGGCCAGGCTATACCCTGAGCATTCACAAAACAGACTGGAAGAAAACATTGTGTGAGGGTGAAATAGAGACAGAAAAAGCAGAAGGGTTTGTCTATGTGTGTTTGTGGCTGGGTAGCACAAATCAATCCCCGCCGCCCGTCCTGTGCAGAAAATCGAAGGGAAATTTAAGCTGCGTTGATTGCTGGGGAAACTGTGTGGCTGGTTGCTCTCGACTTTTAATAGAGACGCTCTCCTGTTCTCTTCTGTGTTTTTTTCTCTTTCTATCACTTTCTATCGATCATCCCTTTATCACTGTCTCTCAGTAGGCTTATGGATTGTAACAAACAACTTCTGCGCTCAATGTATATCTATAGCTTCATCTGGGTGCTATTTATTAATCAGTATCAGTAATCAAGTTTATTGCAAATACACAGTTCTATGTATAGTGACATTTACGTAGAACATAATAATAAACACTAGACCTATGTTATATACTTTGTTGAGTTGTGTACTTACATCATTAGTGATGTTTCAATTCCATTTTTCTTTCCTGATTCCTGAACTTTGTGTATCGGCCAATACCATGTACCAATCTGATACATGAGCATTACAAGAATATATATAGTATTATTTCTTAATATGAGTATACTACTTTACCTTTCTTTTCGCTATCATTGTTGTATGGCCTGGTTCAGGTTAAACCCTGAGTCAGAGAGTCAAGTAGCAGGGTCCTGTTTGAGGGCTAGGCTGAGGGTTAAGTGTAGGCAGTATCTGAGGAATTTCCGCTACTTAAATCTGCAATAGAAACTAATAGAAATAATGATTTACTCATGTAGCGATACCTTTTCTACTTTCCTCTAGTGGCTGTAACTTCTGGGTAAAAACGGGATATGTCAGAAAGTGACGAAGGAAGTTAGTGAACGTGACTACATAACCAAACTAGAGCAATGGTGGTTTCACAATAAAGACGACAACTCCTGTGATCCTACACAACTTCACATTGTCATATAAAGATTGATTTTTGTTTTGGCCTAGTGGCAGAAATGACATACTGTATGTTTAATGGTAAATGTGTTACTAAAACTACATTGAAAGAAATGTGGGAGGGAATCTTTATGAGGCTTTGTGTCTACTTTAAGTCTTGACTCCATGTTTTGATGAAGGCTGTGCAATTTCAAATGACCCTTGAACCTCGGTCAACCGTGTCCTTTCCTGGCCAATTTCAATGAATCGTTAGTTAGCTAATGAGCTAGCATTTAGCTCATTAGCTAATGTTTAGCTAACAATAGTTATCAGATATAACTAGCTAGAAAGTATTGCTACCATTTGCTAACTTAAGATGTGACTTTTGTCTTTTAACCATCTTCAAAATAAATGTAGTTGTCTTTTCAACATAGATTAGCCTAGCACATAGCATACACGTACAGGAGAGGAGGAAGCTGACCGAGGTTCTGACCGAGGCTTGCTCAGCTGTGATTGGAGCAGAGTGAAAAGGGGCGGGACTTAGAGTGTTTATGTGTGGAGCAGGATTTAGATCATAAGCTTTAGTCTTTCCTCTTTCTCTCCGTCTCTCTATGTCTATTCCTATTGCCTTCTGGATATGAGAGGGCCACATTGTAGAAGATAATAAGCACTGAGTGGAGAGGCTCTTAAACCAAGCACACATCTACAGGATGGACTGTGATGCGTGCAGACGTACACGCGCACGCACTCACAGGGGAACGTTAGCATAATTAGAACGGGAGGATATGCAGATGGTGCTCATTAAGGTCTGCTGCCTGTCACTGACATTTCACACCAGATAACGGAAAGCAAAAAAAATGTTGTCAACCTCCTTCCCCTTAACACCCCAACTGTTCTTTCACAGATGAGGTGAGGAGATGTGGCGTCATTCACAGGTTCCATTAACAGTTTTTTATGGGTAAATGGAGAGACGTGAAATTACTAAAATAAAAATTCAAATAGCTTGAGTCCATGCTTATCTAATGCCAGTGTGACATAAAGGCTTATTGATACAGGCTGACATATAATTCATAAGTATGTGCAGTGTTAATGGAAGCTCTACTTCAAGCTAACAGTTTGATGGACACCCCACTCCACAGCCCAGAGCATTTCAAAGACTCATGCTGGCTCCAGTATATCCAACCTGCTCCACTAAGGCAGACATTTAAACAAAAAGTGTTCTCACTTAAATGACTCACAAGTCATTATGCAACATATATACCTTCTCAGAGTAGGTATAGACCTGCCAGATCGCAGTGCTTGCAGCCTGAAATGATCTGCTGCAACGCAACAGTATGTCTGCTCTTTAAACAGAGAGGAGGAATCTATGAGCCAGTAATGAAATGTAAAAACGAGTGAGAGCTGCTTCAAAACTGGCCATGGATTAAAATGGTGTTATGTAAGAAAACACTGTGTGTATATACGTCAACAACAAATCCGCAAATTAGCATTCATGTGTTTGACAGTAAAGCGTGTGCAGTGTGTGCTACCTACCTTCACAGGAGAGGCCGTGAGACGTGACGCCAGATAAGCTATCTTTACAGACGTTGCAAAAGGTGGGCCGTGCATGGGAGCAGGCGTACCAGTTGTGCATCCCTGAGAAATGTTCCACATTAAACTGTGCCGTCTGACAAAGGAGAGGTTAAAACAGGTTGGCAGCACTGGGATGACAGTCACAGAAAGGCAAGCACAGTGCACTATATGATAATAAAATATAACATATGAAATATGACTGCATATTACCATTACTGGCTGTTTTCAGTCTAATTGCAAGCTGAACATGAAAATTAAAAAAATGCAAAACATTTGTCTACCTGTTTCCAGGAGAGCTGCAACAATTAGTCGATTAATTCATTAGTTGTCAACTATTAAATTAATTGCTAACTGTTTTGATAATCCATTTTTTAAGTCATTAAGAAAAAAAAAATCTAAATTCTGTAATTTCACCCTTTTTTTTAAAGTATTTTTTTTGGCCCTTTATTGGATAGTGACAGGTGAAGACAGACAGGAAAGGGGGGATGACATGCAGCAAAGGGCCGCAGGTCGGATTCGAACCCTAGGCCGCTGCAGCTTTATTTGTGATACAGAAATAATCATCCATACACTAATTGTGAATCATTCTGTATCTGTCAAAAAAATGATAATATGATGTTTTTACCATATCAAGCAGTCCTAGTACAAAACAAGACATTTGAGAACGTCACCTTGGGCTTTGGGAAAAAGGGATAACTATTTTTCACCCTTTTCTGACATTTGATGACCCAAACAACTAATGGATTAATCGAGAAATTGATTTTTATCAATCATGAAAATAATCATTATTTGCAGCCTTGGTTTCCAGCAATAAACACAAGTCAACATGTTTTCAACAAGTTCATTCATTCCTGTATGTATTGCCCTAATCATAATAATTCACTTCCCCCCCATAATGTCTGGTCTTACTGCTCTGTACGAGCCTCACTACCTGGCATAAGGAAAGAAGACAGCAGGACGTACATGAGGACTCTACTAGCTGACAGTCATTAGCGCTCTGCTGCTCCATGATTTTATAAAAGTAACACCTGGTCAGGAAAATTGGATACTTCTCTCCACATCAGTGTACGGAGAGAGCCCACTGTGGACAGCGAGCTAATGCGAGTACTGTACAAGTGTGGGCGTTGCGTCTGCAGTAGTTGGCGCAGCCCTGGATACAGTTTCTCTTTCATAAGTAGAATTGTAACAGGTGCTTATGAAAGTGGGACACTCACCAAGACATCCATGGTGAGGGCGCGTGCACGTTTCATGTGCGCACATGTATGTACCCTGTGGTGTGTGAGCTCTGGGGGTGCTGCTGCATTGCAGTGCAGTAAGGGGGCGAGGGGATGGGGTCTTATATAAGATTTCCCTCCCAAATCAAAGCCATTAAAATGCAGTGCTGCATTCTCCCTGCGCTGGCCACGAGCCACCACTGTCAACACACAGCCCAGATTTACTTTCGCTGACCGTGGAACATTCTGAACGTTTATGGCTGGTTGGATTAGAAAAATTGGCACATAAGTCGGCAGTCATGCTGTTGCCTGTTTTCTAGATTCTCCCAGAAACAATGCCTTCAATTAAAATGAGTGTTGTGGTGAAGTGGCTGGACAGCAGACAAAACACTGCTTTGTGTGTTTTTATCAGTCGTAAGGGGGAAAGGAACTGGGATGTTACGAATTCCGACATGTGCTTTGTGACGGTCAACATGTGTCTGTGTGTGTGTTGATTCTACTGCTTTACTGTGCCTCCGACTATAGAGTTGTACACCTGTTACTGTAAATGTGGGTCCATGTGTGTTCCTGCATTAACAACTTCCTAAATCCCCAGTTGCCTTCAGTGTTACTGTATATTATGCCACACAGCATGCAACTTTTATTCCTGCTACACTTTACACACCCATCTGGGCTCACGACTAGTCTATGTGGACTTATTTCTGTAACCAAACCACACTAACAGGATACATTCACTTCCAGGAGCATCCTCGGGTAGAATGCATCACTGTCCAAATCTCCAAAAGAGGATTTGCCACACAGATCTATTGCCTATCTATTTCCTGCGGCACTATCTCTTAACAATCCCCATCCCTCTTCCCCCCCTCCCCACCACACACACACACACACACACACACACACACACACACACACACATACAAACTCGCACGGTTCTGTCTGTGTGTTGATTTGGAAAAAAGGGATTCTTACCTCGTAATGTTCTCTGGACTGGACGGACTTCAGCGAACTGATCCAGTCCTCCATCTCTTTTCTGTTCTCGGCACAGAGGATGAGCCTACGGAACGGAGTGATCACCTGGAGGGAGAGTGAGGGATGTGTGCAGGGGTGAGTGAGTGAGACAGACACTGTAGCTAAAGCGAGAGAGAAAAATGTTTCCAGTGCTTTCCTCCTCAGCCCTGCGGTGCCACTGAGAGGAGAGATCGTTCAGCTCCGTCTTTAAGGGAGAGAAAGGATGACAAGCCCCCTCCCTCCCTCCCTCTTTCTGTCTCTCTCTCATCAACTCTAGCTCACTCACCCCCTAACACCTTCTGGAGTTAGTCTTTTCCTCCGCTCCAGCATTTTTTTCATCTCGGTCTTAGCTCTTCATGTTGCTTTGAGGCAGATATGTACTGACAGGCGAAGCGCCTCAGTAAAGGCTAAGAGCCCCCCCATCCCCCTCCTCTCTCTGTGTGTGAGTGTGTGTATGTGTGTTTAAAGGACAGTCTCCCTGTAGATAACCCTACAGACATACAGCACCCTTTCAACATCCCATCACTTATTTATGCTCCCTCATCTCTTCTTTCTCTTTGTCTCTCTCTCTCTCACCGTGTCCGGAACATCGCTGTTCACCTCAGAGAGAGAAAGGAGTTTGCACAAACACACCCACTCACACACATGTGGGCAATATCACACTAATCAATATTCATATGCTAGCAGTGATGCTGATGTTTCTACCTGTGGCCAGTCTTGCACAGGTTACCGAACACCTAAACACAGATGTCCTTTCAATGTCCTCTGAATGTGAAGTTCGACACAGCTTGTTGTTGTTGTTTGATTTGAGTGGCATCAGATAACATGAAAAAAAAAATGAAAAAACCTGCAACGATTTAAAGGACCAGTGTGTAGGATTTAGTGGCATCTAGGGGTTAAGTTGCAGATTGCAACCAACTGAATCCTGCTCTCCTTCCAAGCGTGTAGCATGCTGTGAAACCAGCTCCCACTGTAGATATAAACTCATTCTAAGGTAACAAAAACACAATGATTATTATTTTCAGGTGATTATACACTAATGAAAACATTCATTATACGTACATTATATTCCATTTCTGCCAATAGATCCTCCTAAATGTTACACACTGGACCTTTAATCAATTTGAACTTTGAGAGATATTTACTAAACCAACCAGATCTCAACACATTTTTTTTTTGTGTCACTACAATTCTTAATCTAGTGAGGCTTTTGGAGACAGCCGACGTAAACGAGCCCAGCTGCAGCCTAGCTCATTAAGATCTGAAACAGGACAGTTTAAGATCCTGGAAGTCGGGGCACCCTGGTAGCTCACCTGGTAGAGCTGGCGCCCCATTTGCAATTGCTGAGTCCCTTTGCTTTGTGTCATCCCCCCTCTCTCCCCCCTTCCCTGTCATTCTACAGCTGTCACTATCAATTAAAGGCAATAAAGGCCCCCTAAAAAATCAAAAAGATCCTGGAAGACTGGAAAGCAACATAGTGCAAAAGTACTGAACCTGAAATACTGGCTGAAGAGAAGACACTGTTGGAACTATGTGGATGTAAAGGGACATAGCAAGAGCGGCTGGTAATGGTCAGAAATCGTGCAAAAATGGGATTAAGAAAACAGTCCTGTGCAGGGCTCTACTGTCGCCTTTCCGCAACTATATGACAGGAAGCATTAGCTGAATAGTGTAATGTTATCAGCTTAACAAAATTATCAGTGATCAATTAGGGAGACCTTTTACAATTTTGGAAATGTTTTCCTGTAAATAACAGTCTATAGGGCCTCTAATAAGTAATGAACTGGCTGCTCCAATCACGTGACACCCTTAACAGCCCCCTGCTGTGGGCTGTTAAGGGTGTACAGCTGATGAAAAACATACGCTGCTCTCTTGTCTGGTGTTGTAGTGAAGCTGAACTGAGAGCTTCTCTAAAGTCACTTTAAATGCATCTTTTAATTTACTGCAGTATTTTTTCTTGCCGTCACTGAGGTGTTTTCATTATTCTTAACTTTTACTGAGGCTTCCTTACTTGAAGTGATGTTACCACTCTTTGGTCTCCCACTCAACTGTTTCAACCTGGCTGCAGTTTGTCAGATTATATAACTTATATCTACCTGTATTACATTTCACATACATTTTTCTTTGCTGCAGCGGACAGCTGAATATGACAATTTAGAAGCAGTGGCTACTCATAAAGATTTCTATACCCTCCTCCTATGTAATGCATCCCTAAGAAGAAACACATTTTTTCAAAAGAAAGAAGACTGACAGTAATAATCAATAAGTATTACAGTACGTCACAACATTTTTGTGAATGAAAATGTAAAACATTGGATGGTATTACTCTGCAGTTGTTTCTTATTCTTCCTAAGTGCTCATCGATTTTTTGACACACCACTTCAGACCAACTATTCGCCATAATTTGACGCCATACATTCAGCTGCTGCAGAGGCTCCTTCTATTCTTGAATTACACCCATTCTGGCAATAAGTTGTAACTGTAAAAGTGTAACTGTGCAACCCACTGTGATTCTGATTCTGTGATGAAGTAAATTAGTTTTTTTTCAAGAGACTAATCTCTCCTCCCTCTCTCCGTCCACAGGCCTGTTTAGACCAGCAGCACCTGAGGCTTTTATGAGGTGTGGAACAAACAGCAGGTGCACAACAAACACCCACAACACTGCGAGTGCACGTGTGCACTGTGTGTAACGTGCATAAGTGCAAGTGTATGTTGGGGAGTTTAGGATGCATTTGCTGTAACACTCCTTTCCTTTCTGTTTGAAGGCTAGCCATCAGGTTTACAGCCACGTGCTGCCAACAACAACATCAACATTCTAGACGTTATATAGATGTTAGATAGATGTTATCTACATTATTAAATAGATAACTTCAGAGATCATTATCAAAGTGATTATCCCATCTGGAACAGACTGCAGGGCAAAACCACAATGCAACCTATTGGCTTTTGTTTTTTTTCATCACTTTATATGAGGAAACATCTCCAAAAGACATGTGGTATGGAACCATAATACAGTTTAATGTCCCATTCTGTAACTTTTCTACCTTAAAATTCTAACCTTAAAATAATTGTGATGCTACACTGAGTTGTTATAGGGTGAATGGTGTTTCTGTCATTCCCACTCTCAACCTCAACTTGCACTGTGTAACTTTTGGCTCCAGGTTGGGACAAGTGTGTAATGCTTTACGGCAGCAAGTCACACACCAACAACTACGCCACTGATTTTGGTGAAACTGAATCATACTTTATGGGGAAAATGTGTTCTGGTTTTCCCTCTGGTGTCCTCCAGGCTGCTGTGCCTCTACTCTCTGTGATTTACAGTTTCCTGATGCACAGTAAAGTAACTGCTGCCAAATGGAGATTCTGTTAACTAGTTAGCTTAGCCATACTTCCCTGGACGTCCGGGACTGGGTGCTCAGAGCACCGGGGGAGAGTTTTGGTGTTTACACTGGTAGCACGGGAGCTTTGGACTGGGGGAGGAGGAAATTATCAGGACTGGGAAGGGGGTTAATGCTGACAGAGAGAGACATCAGTGTTGTGCCAGAACCAGAGCCGGGCGGGTGGGCAATGTAACCAGCAGCGGGAGAGGGATAGGGACCTAAGAGGATGTTGAAAGACTAAGCTAGGACAATAAGGGAGAGAGAAAATGCTGGACAAGAGTAAATATGTCCGGCTTTCAGTGGTTGTTGAGAGCTTGGTGAAATAAAAAGCTGCATCTACCATAATGCTATTGCAACTGGGGGCGCCAAATCATAACAAACACCAAATCTCCTCTTTTGAAACAAGTGAAGACCACCACTCCTAAATGACTGAATGTGTGTTGTGAGAGTTCCCTCAGGTGCTTTAGAGTGTGTGTGTTTGCAGTACATGTTTAACTCTCAACCAATCAGCCGTTTACAATCCTTCAGCGTGTAAAACAAGAGTAAATCTGTTGTACTCGCTCTCTTTCTCCTGCTTACTCTTTCAGAGAATTGTCGGCTTTTCTCAGTTGTTAATCAAAATACAGTTTTCCACCAGCAACTGCAGGGATTTGAGTGAGTGTCCATTTGTGCATTGGTGTGTGTGTATGCGCATGCACATGTGCAAATCGATCCCTTTGGACATAGATCATCCTGCCTCTGTGCTGGTGTACTGTGTCCGCGTGTCTTTGTATGTGTGTGTGTGTCTCATGTCTGGAAGCGGGTAGTGATAAGATTGGTTGCCAGGGGAAACAGGAACGGCTGTTTCCTAAAATGGCTCTAGGTATCCCTCAAGTGTGGAAAACCTCTCTTGATGACTGACCTTCAGAGCTGAACACATCAGATGTGTGTGTGTAATGACAAGTGACAACAAGAAGTGGCTCTTTGATCAGTATCTCTAAACGATGACAACATGTAATCATAGGCCTCATTAGTTCTTATAGAGGCAGCCACCAACTGAATATTAGTGACACCCATCACTTTTTACACACACACGCCCAAGATTGGAGTCAGTAGTGCACAGATCCTGTACCCCACCTGGAGCACAATAGCAGAGTGGGTGAAACACAGCTGCTCACTCCCCACAACACACAATCAGCTGCAGCTTTGCGTAAACAGTGTACAATATTAACTACAAAACAAATCAGAGTGCCGGTGCGCCGCCGATGCAAGTGCACAATTCAAAGCCGATCTGAATTTCCTTGAGATTCATTTTGAAGATTTAAAGAGGATGGTAATAAGCGAGCCAATCCAATAAGCGTGAGTGAGTCAGTGAGAGAGGCGGTGCGTCCCTGCAGAGTCTGTAATGAATTTAGGGGTCGGGTTGGGCTGAGCTCTCTCCCTCACGTGGACTTCAAGGTGCTCCCTCTCCGCGCTACAGCGACGCTGCCTCATCGTATATTCACACGCCTTTTCAATATGCAAGAGAAACAGCGGCTTACGCAACAGCACAAGAGGGGATCAGGTGGTCACGTACATTTTATGCCAACATATGCATACACACGCATATATTTTCACACCTATGTGTCATTAGCAGTCATGGAAAATGCATGCACATAGTAGTTTAGTTGCTGAATAATTAACCACTCAAAACTGTCTACACTGTACAATGCACTGGAGAAAATGAGTGAGAGTTAAATTATTCCCTTCTCTAACTATAATTCAATTCTAGTGACATTTAAGTTTGCCCCATGCTGCTGGTAGATCCAGATTCCTGAGGGAGTCCTTGGTACCCACTATGTGAAAACAAAAGCATGCATGCTGCGCACCCTGAGCGCACATCTGCAAAGCTCCTACATGAGTGAGCCAAACATCTCAGAGTCAGTCGCTCATTCAAAGCGTCCAACCACCAACCTGCATAGCGGACGCCGGCAGCAGCTCTCATCCTCAGCAGACACACCGACATACAGACAGACAGGAGACCAGGCAGACAGACAAAGACAGCTAGACAGACACGAGACAGAGGCTGGTTTAGTCTGCACGGTCAGAGCGAAGCCCTGCAATGCATCCTCTGCAGTGGTCTCCCCCCTCAGTCGTGATCACACAACCTGTTTGGTGAAGCCTGGTCTCCCCCTGTCGGTGTGCATGACTGTGTCTGGCTTGATGCTTTACAGAGATTGGCACGTGTGCGTAGGCGCCGCAGGTGAGCTACCATCCGGCACGTCACGTTACCTTTGGTTTAATGTGTCACTACTCCTTCTCAGTAAGTCGCCGCTGTGCTGTCTTCATTTTCTCTCCACTCTCCCTCACTCTTCCTCTGCATCCGTCTCTCCTCTCCCGCTCCTCGATGCTTGCTTGTGCCTCGACCTCGCTCTACCCCTCTCTTTCTCTTTTCCCCCGGGGGTATGTGTGCGAGTGCAGTTAGCGCTGCTGTGACATCACTCCAGGATTTCCTCTGCTGCACTACCTTGCTGCGTCTTTCTCTTCGTCACTCTGCAGTAGTTCCCCATAGATTATTTATCTTTTTTCCCACTGTCTGTACATATATTTCTCAACTCTACATTGTCCTTACTTTCCTGTTTGTATTTTTTTTGTCTTGCCCTCTCTCCCCCCTTCTCCCTCACTCTCCCCTCCCTCTCACCATCCTAGTGGGATTCTGATGCTCATGAGGGCATGTCAAACTCACCTCCAAACCTTTATCGCAGCATGTTTTTCAGCCATGCAATAAACACACACTGTGCACACATGCAGTGGGCACACATAATCTCATTTATGAATATGGCAGTCGTTAAGCCATCCCAGGCATTCAGTGAAGCATGTCAAGGCGTTGCTAAAAATAGCTGCACACTCTCCTCTGGGTGCTGCTCTCCTGCCAACCTCCTCCTCCTCCTTGTTTCTAAATATAGCAACACCCGGGGAGAGGAGAGACATTTATAGAAAGGACAGGGCTCTACTAGCTCTTTCACTGTCTGTTTTCGTCCTCGCTGCTCATAATACCCGTGCTCATTTCCCTCCACCTCCCACACATCCAGCTCATCTGCTCATTTCTTTCTCGAACAAGCATCCATTCACAGGGACATTGCTTGTTTTCTCCCAATAGATGTGCCATGACGTGCAGCATGTGACAAGAACATAAGGAGTAATGCTGGGAAATGTATTAAAATATCATCTGAAATATAATTAGGACTGACATTTTCAGGTGTACAATATGCTGGGTGAATTATTATCTTTGAAGGGCAAATCCTGTTTTTTTGGTGACATAAAACCAAATCTGCACGGGGTCCTGCATTTACAGATGCTGTAACAAATTAACACATTCTGATTGGCTCACTCATTAGCCACTTCCCTAAGTGTTACCATACCATATCTGTTGCTTCAGAAAGTCATCCAAACCTAAAACTCTTGAATCAATCAGAATGAGAATCAGAAATACTTCATTGATCCCCAGCGGTAAAATTTGTTAAACCAAACAAAAACAAACAATAAAGAAAGAAAGAAAGTCTGCATTATGAATGTGAATCTGAATATATTGAATTATCACAGCATTGCACTGACATGGAGATCTAGATTGCATACCAGATGTTCATGTGGTTCTACACTCACCAGTGATATACTGTGACACATTTAGTCTCACGTGCCTCTCCCTGTGATTCCTTCACTGAAACCCAGCGTGAGTGTGTGTGTGCATGTGTGTGTGTGCGTGTGCGTGTGCATGTGTGTGTGTGTGTGTTAAGACTGTGAGATGCACTCACTGTGAAGCTGTTGTTGACATTCTTTGTGCTGGACTCTGCAACGCTGGCATCCGATAGGTCCACCTCGTCAAAGATAAGGGACTGCAGAAAAGAGGAGGTGTGTGGGGAGAGAGGAAAAAAGGGAAGTCCCGAGAGGAGAACGGAGAGATAGAGGGCACAAAAGAGAGAAACGGGAGAATGAGCCTTTGGACAATATTTTTAACACTGGGTTGAACTTAGCTTGTTGTAACTTATACTAGGGTATGAAGAGGCCTAAAATAAATAGGTAAAACCTCCTAGTATAAAATGGAAGATACAGCAAGAGCCATGGACATGAAAGGGCAGCATTTAAAATGACAAAAATGACTGACCAACAGTCTTCTTCTGCAGTTAACATCTATTAGGAGCTTCATATAAAAAACAAGATTTCCCAAATACTAAATTAATGTATCTTTATGCTGCTTTAAGTGAAAATGAGACAATGTAAAGGTCAGCTTGAGGAATTGCGGGGTTTAGTAAAAATAAAGGAAACAGCAGATGTTGTGCCGAGGTTCTGACCCGCGCATATCACAGAGGGCATTATGTTATGGTTAAACTAATCTAAATTTAGTGGATCATTTTTATGATGGCGATTGTGGAAAATAAAAGTCGCCTCATAAGAAGTCATTAACCCCTTCAGGGTATTTTTCACTGGGGGGGTGAAATGAGCCTGAATCAAAATATCACGTATATCATGTTCCATCAATATATTTTTTTCATGTCCAGTTAAGATAATGATTTTCTTTTAATACAAATTGTATTCAAAAGTGACAATAAGTAATAAGTCTTTTTAGCCATTTTGTCACTGTAGTCATAATCTATTTTACAGCTGATTTAAGGCCAATTAGGATTCTGATAGCACCATTTGGATGCATTTCACTTTTTTCTGTCAGTCATCAACTTCAAACCATTTTACCATCAAAGAAAGCAGCCTGATACTTATTTGACACGCTGAAAAAACGTTGAGATGCCAAATCAGAAATGTGGCCAGTAATTCAGATGTCTGGGACCAAACTAAGGAACCTCTCCACTTTATCTGTTCTTCCGTGAAGTCAGTGAGAAAATATGCATGTGTCTTATACCTCTCCTCTGGGTCTTTTCAAATATTTACAGAATTCAACTCCTCACGCGCTAAATCACACATCTCTGGAATATCTGCATTTATAAGTTCAGCATCCTCTTTGGGGCACTCTAAAGGTGAATATGACTTAATAACTAAACTGAGAAAAATACAGCACCTCCTTAAAATCAATACACTTGTACCTTTTGGACATTTTTCGAAATGTAAGTCTCCCAACCAACTTGTAATTGTTTCACATACCTGTACTTATTTAAATTGCTTTAATTTATCAATAAAATAATTAACGGCAAACTCTAAGGGCATTTTACACAACTGTATTTATTTTACATTTTAAGTATCTAAATAAATCAAATGTATCTTCCCTCATCAGAAAGTTGAGCTTTCTATTAGCTAATTGTGGTATTGTTTTTATATTTTTTAAGTTTTCTCTGTTGACTGGATGTCATTATAAATGAGGGTCACCCCTCAATGATCTCTCAAGTACAATGTAAATGACTATTAGTTGTAAAGACATGTTTTAAGATAGAAATTGCACTTCATCATTCAAATTAGTATTTTTTTAATGACTTATCAATCAAGTTTTATTTGTATTGTAACTAGTATAAAAGGAACTATATCTAAATTTCATTATACAGCCCTGCATTGTAAATGACAATAAAAAAAACTTGTATGTTGGAATATGATAGGATGGACATTCAATTTTAATAGAAACCCTGTTTTCTTCAGGTTGGAAAAATCTTAAAATTAACTTTGAATTTAAAGAATTTAAAGACTTTGAGGTCTGCATTCTGCATTCATATTTTGTCTGCCATGCTTGTCTCCTGGGGAGTCTGACAATCATAATACTAACACTAAAATGCAGACATTATGCTATATTTTGCCACATATTTCTATTTTTATGTATCTCTATCATCATGAATCATGTGTAAAAGCAGGCTATTATCGATGTTCTGTCTGTATGTCATTAACTGATTATTAAATAATGGATGTGCTGACATTTAGCAAGTAAGCATACATGGTTGCAGCTATGAGTGTTTCTTTGCAACTATTAAGTAATTAAGTACCGGTAAACTCCCCCTAAAAGCCATGGTATAGTTTGCACACTGCTTATAAGTTGCATTTATTGTTCAGTCTATTTAGTTACTGGGCAGAAGTAAAACTTTTCATTGGCATACAATTTTGTTTCTATGGCAGTGGGTGGGTCTGAAGGGGTTAATAAAGTGTGGAGGAAAAAAAACCAATGGCTCAGAACATTCTGCTCAGAACAATGAGTCCAATTTGTCTGGCCCTCTAATAGATAACTTGGTTTGTTCCGTCTGCCAGGAAATGCACTTCACCACAACACAGCTACACTATAAGCCTACACCTAGGATTACAACCACAGCCTAGGATTTCCCTCTGGAGTTTCCTTTGTTTTGACTCTGTACCTAAATGAGAATAGTGCAAATAGCAGGACTGTGAATGTTAATATGTTTTATTGAATTTCTATGTGGCTGGAGGAGCTGGAGCCAACTCTATGCAATAGAGCCAGCAGACAGACAGAGAGGAGAGCCAGAGTCTACAAACAGGAACATGATATCCTAACAGAGCTGTGATGCGTAAGGCACGCAGCTGAGCTCTTAAAGGGCCGTGGGCCTAAAACCCGATGCCGTCAAAGGAATGCCCTCTGACTCTGTGTGTTTGTGTGTGTGTGTCTGTGTGTGTGTGTGTGTGTGGGAGGAGTGAGCTGCTGCAGCTGTCAGAGGGAATGCCCAGTTAACAACGCTTTCCCCAGGCCTGGCTGGAGAGGGACACCAGCCAACCCTTACTCTGTGTGTGTGTGTGTGTGTGTGTGTGTGTGTGTGTGTGTGCGTGTGTGCGTGAGTGTGTAGAGGGAGCATGTGTCTCAGCACTTCCACATATGCCTACAAGTGTGTGTGAATGTGTGTGGAGTGTCGGCCAAAAGGGCCCAAGTATGAATGGCATGTCGATACAAACACTGCCCTCCCTGTTACAGCGCTCTTGGCCGCTATACCATTGCATCACATGTGCGTATGTATGTGTGTGATCACTTTCTACAGTTCTGTCGACACACTCCTCCTTCTCCCCTCTCTCTCGTTCACCACGCCACCAGCAAAACACGCACACACATACTTGTAAATGTGTGGGCACACACGCTCAACTGTCTTGAGGGAAGCTGTAATGAAAGCTGACAGTGAATGGTGGACAAAGGCAAGCGTCCAGACCCCCTGTTACCCATAGATCCAGAGCTTGGCTCAGTGGCTGCATCTCAGCGACCTTGATAAACCTCTTCCAGTGCCTCTCTCCTATGCTTCATTTTACACCAGGCAATGTGATTATTACGTGCTGTTTTAAGAAGCAAGAAGCAGAACGCATACATTCTACCTATGACTCTGTTATCTTTAACTTATCTTTGTGTGTTCAGTCAAGAAAGGAGAGTAGGGCAAACTGCAGTGCCACTGAGATGCAGCCTCCCTGATGGATCAATGAGGAGGTCAGGCTTCCAAAGCACAGGGCAGCACAGCCAGCCAGGCCACCTTGGAGACACCAGAGTGGATGGACATGTTGGGAATGGGCAGTTATCTATAGGGGCTAATGTCATTGTCTGGCCATGACAGAGAGAACTCACAAGTTATAAATGACTAATGCTTACCATAACGCATACATACCAAAAAAAAGAAAGTATTGCTTCATTTATTTTTTCATTCTTCCAGCATGGCCAATCAAGAGACTTTAAGCTTGCAGGGAGGGGCAAGCAACACACAGTATAGAACAATAAAAGCCTCAGTCACCATTGAGGTTGAGTTAGTTTAACAAGATAAACTCATACAGGTGTGGCCTTATAGTCTATACACATGTTTTGCTACCCTACCTGGGGTTATATTCATATTATATATGTGCATTCATATCATATGGTAATAACGATATGGTAACAATTGACCTGTCCCTAGCCTTTTGGAACCAATAATCAGTTTTCTCCTTTCCTGTAGTTAGAAATATGCTAAATGCTAGGTTTGTCTATGTTGAAAACACAACCTTGCCAAATCTACATAGTTAACTACCTAATTAGCAAGAGTTTTGCAATATACATGTCACTTTCATCTTTTAACCATCTTCAAGATGTGGTTGTCTTTTCATCATAGATTAGCCTAGCACATAGCATATCTATCTACAGGAAAGGAGAAAGTTGTCCGAGTCTTGCTGAAATGTTATTATACAAAAAGGTGTGGGACTTAGGAAGGGTCAATTGTTCACCTCCAAAAAGCTGGAATGTGTGGAATTTGCTAAAAAAATGTCCTCAGTTCATCCACAAAATGGCTTTCCAGAATGTCTATCTATGTTATTTTGCATCTAATCCTGTATTTTCAAACCTCAATGTTAAGATACTAAACCTGTCTTGACCAGGTAACACCATATGACACAAATGCAGCACTATCACATATAGGTGAGAGGGTAATTGGGAAATGGTTAAGCTGCTGTGGTGGTCTGGCCCCTGGCCCCTGGCTGGGCTGTGCTGACCCGAATTCTCACTAGGCCTTCCTCAGATCCGCTGGCACCCAGAGGTGGGGGGGAACGTCGCGCGCCCGTCCAGCACACGGACAGAACTCGCCAGCACACGCGACTCCTGGACACTCTGCGTAGCGCCCGCTCCTGCCAGCGTGCCAGGGCACTGCCAGACTAGTGCATGTGCAGACACATACACACAGGCACGCACACATGATCCAGATCAGGGAGGTTAGGTTAGAAGCAAAGGGGAAAGAGATGTCAACAACAGTAAGAAGTTCAAAAGTTCAAAACAAAGATGCACTTAAAATAAAACACAGGTGAAAAGCTAAGGTATTGAAAAGGAAAAAAAAATTCAAGGAAGGCAAATAAAGGATCGTAAAAAAGTTGATCAGGAAAATGTGAGCTACTGTGCAGTGGATGGATTACATTAAGTATGAAAGAAGATGAAGCTAAAGCTAGCAGCAGCAGGTTAGCTTAGCTTAGCATACAGACCGGACACAAGGAGAAATAGCAAACCTGACTCTATCCAAAGGTAACAAAATATGCCTACCAGCTCCTCTAAAGCTCACTAATTAACACATTATATCACCAGGCTGGGGCCAGTTGCTAGGCAACCAGCAGAGGCCCCAGGAAGTTACTGGTCCTGGCCAAGAGATAGTCTGCAACATAACCCCTGTAAAACAGCAAACTGATATTTTTACACTTCGGTTTCTGTACAGATTGAACAATCAAGATATGAAATATTAGTTTAGAAGCTTTGGAGGTGCTGGAAGATGGATTTTGCTACCTTTGGACAGGAGATTTTCAGCCATGTTTACGACTTCTGTTCTAAGCTAAGATAACCAGCTGCTGGCTCGGGCTACATATTTACCGTACAGATATCAGAGTGGTATCAATGTCATCTGACTCTCAGCAAGAAAGCGAATAGGCATATTTCCCAAATTGTAGAAACACTTCTTTAATATGGTCAGCTTGTCTCTGAACCTCTAAAAGCTACTTTGCCAGACACTTGTGGGATTAGAGGGCAGACACTGAAGAGCAACACTAATAGCAGTTTGGCAGTTTGAGCTTTTCCATCCAAACTAAGTGAATTAATAGACAGAAGGCATTTATCCTGCTCACCTGTGGCTACATCCAGTATGTACGTGTGGGGATACACAAGCTTACCTTGGCATCTTTGGCGTAGTAGAGAGTTCGCCCTCTCAGTTTGAAGTAGCGCTTTTTCCACCTCTGGAACGAGCTGGTCTGTTTCAGCAACAATCCCTCTTTTATACTCGTCTGGGGGGAGGAAAGACACAATGAAAAAAAAAGTAAAAAGTGAAAGGTCCCATCAGAAAATAACACAAGGTCTCTTTCACACACTCATCTTGCCTCTTGCTCTCAGATGCAGGACACCCGCTTGTTTTTATCTACAGGAAACTGTCAAGATAAAAAAGTGTGTGCCATTCATGCGTGTGTGTATGTGTGAATCTGAGCAGCAATTTTACGCATGGGAGACAAGGAATAGGCCAACAAGTGAAGAAGAAAGGAAACCCATTACATACATACACACACACACACACACACACACACACACACACACACACACACACACACACACACACATACACACACACACACCACCCCTCATTTCTCTGAAGAGCTGTAAACACACATCACTGTCACTCAACCCCTTCCCCCTGGGCCAAAGGGAAAAATAAAGAACAGTGGACATAGAAGGAGAGAAAGAAAAGAGAAGGGGGGGGGGGCATCCCATTGACTGCTTCTGCTGCCTTGGCCATCCACACACTGGAAACATTTCAAGGCAATTTTGAAAGCAAGGCAGGAGAAAAATGCAAATTGATTTTACACTTGAGGTAAGTGTATGTGTCACATCAGATCAAACTTTCTACATGTAAGACACGGTAGAAACACGCTCATCATCATTACAGCAGGCATCATGTTGCACGCATTAACACACACGCTGGACATACAGAGCAAATACAGTGAGACATGGAACAGTGGACATGGGGAAGATAAAACACACACAGATGGAAATGCCGTGTGGAAGAACATCATTCTCTCTGGGCACACAGAGGAGAGGTGGGGCGCGCACACACACACACACACACACACACACACACACACACACACACACACACACACACACACACACACACACACACACACACACACATATGCAGAGGCTATTTATAGCAAAGGAAGGCTGCTCTCTAAGGGGAGAATTACAAACAGAGACAGAGGCCTGAAGCTGACATCCTGCCCACCAGCTGTGTCAACTTAAACACAGCAGCAGAGTACAGGCTCACTGTGGGTACACACTATATACAGCACACACACACACTGGCATGTCACAGGGATGAAGCAGGCATATACAGAGGCATAATGGGACATCATATAAATTGTTGCAGATGATGAAAAGAGATGAAAAACTCCATTCACAAAATTTAAATTGCTGTCTTTCAGAAATAGCGTCACTGTCACTCAGAGCGCACTGTAGATAGTTTTCATTACTTCTGAAACAATGAGTCAATTCATTTCTTTGTTGATTAACAGACAATTAAACTATTTTGATAATTATAAATATTCCCTGGTTTCAGTGTCTCAATGAGAGGATTTGTTGCTTTTCTTTTTGCTGTATATGACAGGAAAGTCGATATCTTTGGGCTTTGGCTCAGGTAAATGGTAATAGACATTTTCTACAATTTTCTGACATTTCGTTTGTACCATCAACCATCCGACTCCACAACGCCACAGCACCCAGTACCTCCCATCCCCGATGAATAAGGTCAGGTTTTAATTCAACCTAACATATATAATTTATCATAACTTGCACATGTACAGTTTAGTTTTTTAGTCAAGCTTAAAATATTTTCCACACCATTGTACTGCACATTGCATATAGTGTATATATTTTTCATTTATAGTTTTAGATTTTCTATTATATTTTGTAATATTCTTATTTCTGATACTATTGTATGTACACTGTACTCTTTTTATTGCACGATATTCACCAATGCTGCTGTGTGTAATTTGAATTTCTCCTATGGGGGATAATAAAGGTATATCTTATCTTATCAGCAATATCTGCTGATTTAATCACAATCAATCACAAATATCAATATTTGCTTGGAATAGCTCCTAAATGAAGATCTTTGAAAAAACAATATTGTGGCACATTAGTAAAACACTGAATAGAAATATCTAAAGGTGGCATTAGAAATCAATAAACTGTTTTATTTCCAAATCTTCAGACAGTTTTCCAAATAGGTATTTTTTATTGAACTTTGAAAATTTGAAAATTTCATTAAAATAAATCATTAATTTAATTTCTGTTTTTGACATGTTCAAAACAAATCTAAATTAATGTCTTACATTTGACAGCATTTGACACCAAACACCAAACCCAATATATGGTGTTATCTACGTTATTAAAATCTACTGCATTAGTGTTGTTGTTTTTTTAATTATTGAATTAGAACATAATATTTTTGTTAAATTATAATAAAGAGTTTGTTCAAAACACTGCAAATTCTCTACAGCTGTCTACCTACGCTAATTCCCAACTTCCCTTTCCGTAGGTACGGCCTGAAGACTGCATTCCTGCAGTGGATTAAGGTGAAGTACCTCAATGCTCATTACCCTATAAGGACTTATACTTTCCTCTGTCTGCTTGAAAACAGGGTTGAAATACAGCAGCAAGGCAGATGAAGTCATCTCCTCATTTAGACGTGTTGAGGCTACCGGAGAATACTGGAGGTTGAGAAGTGCATTCGGGGAACTGTGTAATAAACACAAGGCAGAGTGGTTTCTCGCAGTACCACTGTTGACATGCAAACACATGCACGTAAACATATACACACAGCCTATATGTGTGTACAAAAAAAAGTATGATCAGCTGCTTGGACAGCTAAACCAACTGGAAGAGGGGGAGTGCAGTGATAGCTGAAAAGCTTAATGAACACCTCATGACTGACTGAGACAAACACAGAGAGCGGGTAGCTGCGCTGCGTACTCTAAGCTGGGGAGTTGAGTCATTACACAGCATGAGTATGAGCTGTACTAGTATTGACACAAATAGACTCAATTCATATAATCTTCAGGAAAACCTTCAGTGTGCAGTGGTTGATTTGGTGCATTCAGTGGGTTTCACTTCAGCAAAGTCAAGCTTTTAATAGCCAGAGGTTGTGTTTTGGTGTCTGGAGAGAAACTTTCAGTCTCCAAGCTTCCAAAGTCACAAAGTGGAACTTCTTCTCTGCCCGGCCAGAGGAGCACAAGTGACTTTGCTCTAGTTGGATGTTCAATTTTCTATTTTGTCCCTCCTTGGCCTCCATAGTTCCTTTCCTTGTCTTCATCTCCTTCCTGTTGCCAAGTAGGCCAGAAGTGATCTATAAATAGTCCTTCTTGCTTGCCTCTGTGCACTGCTCCTCTCTTTGGCTAAACTGTGAGACAGAGAGCGTGTCCTGTGCCAGAGCAAAATGAGTAACCTGAGCACCATGTACCTTACACCCACACTCTGCCTGGCCGCTGACGGGGTGACACACACAGACTCCAAACAGCACACACACACACACCACACACACACACACACACACACACACACACACGCTTATACAATGGACAAAGGCACAGGCAGTTCAAATGAGTCCAGCAGCTGTGGTTGGTGGATAAGAGCAGAGCAGGAGCAGACCTACGTCCTGCCTTTGACGATACCCAGAATAATAGTCAGTCAAACAGTTTACTCACATAGCTAGTTCATGCTGGACCTGACCATTTATGATCTGAAGATAAGGCTAACTCATCGACAATAGACTCCGTTATACTAATGGTATGGCCTGTCTCTCACCTTAAAGCTCCAGAGCACTATGTCCTAAACCAATTACCAGTCCCTCCTGGGCCTCACTGAGATTTCATTCTAATTAATCTGATAAAAATGCCTGACTTTACACCTCCTTTTCTGGTTAATTGTTTTATAAGTGTTTTAATGGGGGCTGCTCATTGTTCTGACAGCTCATTATACCGAAACCACAATAGTCTAAAAAATGTCCCATTGGACCAAAACCCCATTTGTCCGAAAACTTATCTCAGGAAAAAAACGTTCATTGCTGCAAAAATACCAAACCAACTAGGCTAATACACACACCTGTCCACCAGGTACTTTTTACACCAAGCAGAGGCAAAACATGACACTAACACGGTATTCTCTAGTGTGGTCAAATTAGCAATAATAAATCCGAAACGCCTGGTTAGACTTCTGTTATAAAGCTTGCTGAGAAACATTTCAGGTAACGGGTGCAGTTTGGTTCAGTTTGGGAAAAGATCGTGGTTTGGTTTAAAATACAACTTGTGTTACAACCAATGATTATGTTCATTATCAATTAATCTGTTGATTATCTTTTCAATTAGTCAATTACCCATTCAGTCCAAAACATCAAAAAATACTCAAAATAGAATGTCCCAGAGTCCAAGGTGCCGCTTTCAAATGTCTAGTTTTTGTATGACCAACAGTCAAAAACACAAATATTTCCAGTTTATAATGAAAGAGACTTAAAAAAAATATTTAAAATAATTAATCTGTCATCAAAAGAGTTGCAGATTCATTTTCTGTTCTTAGACAGAACTGAATAATCGACTAATTGTCCAAGCGCCAGATGTAAATATTAGTTATTCTAAATGCAGAAGCTTTTGATAACACATATACACATGTATACATGTATGCTCTTGCACCTACACACACTTGCACACATGCATGCAGATAACTCAACTTGTCTGAAGAAAACCTGTTCCTGTCTGGCAATTTCAACTCATGACTGATAAGACTAAACTGCTGTGACTGTAATTGGTCAGTCTATAAAGACAGCTGCTTACTTATTTGTCCCTAGTGGATGCTGAGATGCTGAGAGAAGCCCACTGTCTTAGGAATCATTCCATGTAGTTAGGCTCTGTTATACCTCCATTAGTGACTCATTTGTCATTCCTGAGTAAGACTGGAGTGCCTGTGTGCAGCCAGGACAATCAAATCTTTTACAGACCAGTGCTGAATCTCTCAATTCCTTCCTTGGTTCCCTTGCACCTCCGCCACTCTCCTGTAGCTGTCTTAGCGCATTGTCCTCTCTGTTGGGTGTAATTGTAACTCTATGCCTGTCCTCCTCCAACTCCCACCAGATGCTAAAATTTCACCATGGTGATGGGAAAATTACAATCCAGTAGCTGGTAAGGGGTAATTCTGCTGTCTGTGATCTCCTTTGTGCAACTGGACTACATACTGTATACGGGTAGTAATACATGTGTCAAGTGGGTACAGTGGATGTTAAGTGATGTTGTTGAGAACAGCAATTTACATACAATTACCTCAATTGGATTCAGCTACAGCTTTGGACAGAAAAGGAACTCAAAATATACATTGCTTCAGATTAGATAGATAATTATGTACATTTACTATTTCTGCACATGAAAGTACGGTATAGAATACTGACAAAGTAATTACATAATATTTAGAAGCAGAGTTTCTTTGGATTATGGGAGGAAGCTAACCACTGCACCACAGCGCCAGCCCCATGGTCACATAACTTAAATTGAAATGTAACTTTTAAATGGAAAAGTAGTCTTTCAGAAGAGACAAAAGTGTTTGCTTATGTTTTCACTTTCAGAAAGGCTTTCGGTACATGTTTCTCTATTTGAGTGTCTTCCATATGGTAATATCACAAAGAGCAAGTCAATGAAATGGGCAAAAATCAGCAGGTAGATTTTATGTAATCTCCTCAACACTGCCATTTTGGCCAGATCTCTCCTGCAAAATAGATAATGTATCTCAAAAAAGTAAATATCCACCAACTGACTCAGTCCAGAGCTGATTCCAAGAGTATTTATCCAAACAGTCAGCCTTTCTTCCTGTAAATGTAAGTCACAATGCATGGAAACACGGGCTGAAGAGGAATATTCTCTACAAGGGCCCATCCCAACCCCACTGAACTGATCTATCTGATCTGGGTTATTCTATGCCAGGCTTGCAGAGCTCCCCTGTGCAACAGCAGCAGGCTCCACCATGCCATTAGCTCGGCTTTCAATCACACAGCTACACTATTAGTCACAAGTTTATAAGTCCTCTTCAGCAGCAACAACACACCCTGAAAAGACAGAGAGGGGGCTGAGAGTGGAGATGACAGGAGAGGAGAGGCTATGAAAAGACGCTTATTCAACCTCACATTTTATGTGAGCAATAGATTTGACGGATTCTACCACATGCTTTTCTATTTATAGTAATAAGCTAGTTTAATGCAAAAAATGCATTCAAAACAATACTCCTTACTTCATTCACATCATGAAACAGGAAGAGAGAAATGGCAGTGTTTGATAGAGTATCAAGTTCCCTTTATGTGCGGTCAAATCCCATCTCTCTCTGTCTGACATGAGAGCTCTCAAAACCTCAGGCAGGGATAATCTCATACCTGCTTCAACAACAACTATTCACAGCTGCCAATATCTTGATTTGCCAGGATGTGTTTATATGTGGCTATCAACAATAGTTGACAAAAGGCATTTCACCTCAGCCAAGAGTTTAGACTTTCTTAAATTCAAAAATATGTTTCAAGAATGGGATGAAATGTTAAATAATTGTGATATTCATAAAATAGCATGCTTCCTTATGTCTAAATGCATGACAATTCTCCATACACAGGTTGCATTTACAGGTAAACAACCACCCTCCATTAGGCAGGTTTACTTCATTAAATTTAGACATTTCTGCAGACTTGCTGACTTTTCCTTCTCGCCCCTTGTCTGCTTTGATTTACTGACATCTTGAAATGTTCCCAAAACGGAAACTAAATTGAAACACAGAGGGCACATCTGATAAGATAGTAGATGTGACCTGTTGTGGCATACTTCAACCAAACCAGCTGTTTTTACAGACAGCATTGCCATGGAGTCAGCCAATGAGGGACGAAAGATGTAGTTGTCTGTGGCAACCAAACCAGAGAGATAGTGGAGCGAGAGGGATGGACATGGACAATGTGATGGGCCAGCATACACATGCATGTGCATACACACACACTCACACACACTCACACAGTCCAGAGCTGAGCAAACAACCCAGTGGAACAACACTCAGTGAGTCAGTGCCTGCATGATCCATTAGTAACTCTCAGCATACACACACACACACACACACAGGCCAAACCCACTGACCCACACGACAACAACTCTGAGACCTTTGTTAGCACAATGTCAACATGCTAAGCACACTGATACAATTACAGTAGAAGTGCTTTATACCATCGTGATAGCGGTATGAACTAGTGTACATGCAGAGCACCGTATATAGTTTGGAAGGACAGATTAGGTCTATCTGGGCTCTCTGCCAACATGTCAATCCATCTTTAATCCACTTTGAAAAACTCCCGCCATAACTTCAGAGGCGACAGGTGAGTAAAGAATCACTGCGTGCGTGGAAAAATCAACTCGCCATAAACGGTCCTTCAGGAAATTTCAACAAACATCATCAGCTGAATCTGTGTTTACATTTACACTGTGTATTATATCAGCCTTTGCACCGACTGGGGATTGAGTCCAACATAATAATAATGCTGAAACTGTCAAATGACAAAAAAGCTATCTACCACACTTCTACGACTTTGGTAATACATTATTTATTATGTATTGAATTGCAGTTTGCTGGTTTTACCTTCTCAGATGTGAGGACTTGCTTGCTTTTTTTGTTTTATGTTGGTCAGCCAAATAAGCATTTAAAAGACTTCAGTAACATCTGATGGGCTTTTTTTTTTTACAATTTGTAGACCAAACTGTATTTAAAACTAACAATATTCATATAAAATGAGTATAGTGTTAGTTGCAGGTGTGCACCATATCCTCTAGGTAGCACTACAGTCACTGGTGGGGGAATTTGCATAAGAAAGGTTCCACCAGACATTCCTCAGTCCAGAGTCTCTAAATATACCCTTGTGCTGAATAATGCAGGTGGGTTGGAGTAGAGCAGTCTGAAGTGGAACCATCGGTGAGGGAGCATGGCGCTCATTTACAGAGTGGGCCAACAAAGCTTAGGTGTCAGAGGTGAGAATTAGCACAGCATCCTCTTACTTGGTCCTCAAATGCAGCAAATCGTTTTATTTGTGAAACAATTTATTATTTAAGCTGATTTAAATCTCCCACATTGCATGTATATACTTTACATGCCGTCTGGTCAAACCGACAGTTATGAAAAGAGGAGGAAATATTTAGACACAACTTTGTGGATTTTCTAACATCAAAACAGATTATTGGTTTACTGTAAAGTGGTTAGAACGAAATTACATCAAAACAATATTGTGCATTGCAGAAAAAAAAAGATTAACCAGTGCAGTATTATTATCACTGGTACACCTAAGAAATAAAATCAATCAAATGAGTTGTAGGCTACCTTTACTGAGGTTGCACTGTTTTGCAAACACTTAAACTTACTAAGATCAAAGCAACAGGTTTTAGCAAGTTTTGTTTTTCTATGTCACACTTGTGCATACGAGGTCTTACGCAAAATCTGCAAAGAAGAAAAAGTGGTCTTGTCCTGGATAAGCCTACATGGCAAACCATTAAAGAGCACCATAGTGAGGGGCAGTGTGCATTATTAGGACCTGCAGGCAACACACACCTCTCCTGAATGGCCCAGCAGCAGCAGGTAGGTCGGATACATTCATATAAGCCAGAGAAAGACGAAGATGCAGATGTGTCTTACCTTGCTCCTGATCTGTCCTGAGGTCGACACTTTCCGGATCAGTTTCTGTGGGCCTTCCTGCTCCGCTTCGCTGTCAGAGGACTCGTCCGCGCCACCGGAGCCGGCGACAGCCCCCACCACATGGGCATGGATCCCCGCCGCGGACGCCGGCAGTTTCTCCGGCTCCTGTCGGGGGGAGGGATAAAACCAATCGGGGTTAGCCTTCGCACGGTCCGCCGCTCCCTTCCTCTCCTGAAGGCGAGAGCTGTGCGGCGGCTGGGAAGAAGCGTCTCTCCTTGCTGTCATCTCTCACTGCCTCTGCGATAAAGACGGCTGTGTTTTCTGGGGTATGTGTGGGCTGGTAAACGCACAGGGGATGTAGCATGTCGCGGCACAGTGGGGATGGGCTCCACAGCTTATTAAAAAAAACAAAAAACACCCCCCCACCCCTCGGTCCCTGCTTGGCTGATGGTTGTGGCTCCAGCCAGCCAGCCAGCGCGGCCAGTCCAGACTGAGGCTAGAGACCGCCTCATCCACTCCGTAAACCGGTGGACATGTCCGTGGCATGGCAGACCCTAGCGGCTGCTTTTACACAAACACTGCACCCGAGCTGTGCCACAAACAGTATAAAGTGCAATCAAACTATTTACTAAAGTCAACTTTTATGCTCAAGAAGTGTATCCTAAGTAGGCCTAACCACTAAAGAGAAATATCACAGTCAGTCAGTAAAAAGCTGCTCTCTGAGGAGTTCTCACGATATCGCCTATTATAACATATGAATATAGACACACACTATAATGTAATGCTATCTATGTTATTGTGTTTATCTATATATGTGCATGCATACAGTAATACTGTTAAATGTTAAAATTCAAGCTCTTATTCCAGTGTGAATAAGTGACTCCTGTTCTAAATGTGACTGATCGACTAAATTCATTTGACATGACAGAGTTATTCAATTCATTTCCATGCAGTGGAAAAGACCAAAGGACTTAGATTCCACAAGGAAATGGGCACACATAAAAATCTCCCCCGCACTCTTTCATCTGAGAATAAACGCAACCACGGTGAAATCCAAGGAGTGGAAATGTTCAACTTTTTGTTTTTACCTTATAAAGAAAATCAAGACATCCTGCATACAACTCAAATGGGAACAGCAGTCCACTAAAGGCTACAAATCACGGCAATAGAAATGAAAGCACGCCATACAAACATACTGAAGAGGATGAAGCACCTCCAAAGTGTAAGACAAGGTCGCTGCGAACTCACACTTAGACCCATTGACATATAAGTGCATTAGAAGAAGTCTAACAGTTCTCTTTCTTTTGGGCAAACTGAACAGGGTGGTAGTGGAGTGAGAACCCGAGTGAATAAGAAAAAAGTCTCCAGTGTTGAATTTGTACTAACCAGTTCCTCCCAGGCAGGGCTGCGGGTGTAATGGTAGACATCCTCCATAGTCCCAGACCTCTCCGTCCGCTCCGGGGAGAAAAGAACCGAAATCAGAGGAAGGTGGAGGGATTCACAGCCTGCCTCACCGCCCGCTGACACCGCTCATATGCGTGCTGAAAGGATGGGATTTAATTCGCCTCGTCCTCCCTCCACTACCACCACCCCGCCACCGCCGCCGCTCTCCTCCCGCCTGCTCTTCTCCCTCCGCTGAGCTCTCTCTCTCTCTCTCTCTCTCTCTCTCTCTCTCTCTCTCTCTCTCTCGAGGGCCGAGCCCATCGGCGCTCCACGTGACGATATGTCAAACCAGCTTTAAACGCGCGCGCGGCGCGGAGCTCTTTGTCACGGCCCGGCGGGGATCAAACGCGCTACTAGAGTGGGGGGGGGCTATATGTGTGCGCGTGCTCAAGACTAGACCTATATGTGAGTGTGTTTTAAATTACGTCATCCAGTTAAGTATTGCTAATGCAATTAATCAGACCATAGGTTTCCCCAGTCCTCGTGTCTCTTCACTGGACACTTGTGAACTCAAAGGCTGAAGATTTTTTTCATTTTTATTTACACAGTGTGGTTTTTATCTATCTTGTTTTTTGTAAAGAAACATTTATGAAATGTACTCATCATTACAACACAAGTTTGTACAATGCAACTAAAGCTTGCAGACAGAAAATACAATGAAATTCATAGAAGAATAACATTTAAAATCATTTAAACAATATATACAGTTAATTATATGCTTATATGCTGGAAACAATTATGCAGTGCATTTTTGTATAAAGTATGCCCTAGACCAGTGCCTCCCAACCGTCTTCCTTAAGGGACCCCTTTCTATGTCGAACCTTTCTAATGCAGGACGAGGCTGTGAGAAGTGAGGGCTCTGTGAATGTAGCTTGTGTTAAAGTGTTCAAGGTTAATATATAAATAATAATCCAGACCCCCAACATCCAAAATAATATTTGTGTTTTGGATTTATACTATATTAAAAAAATGATGGATGTAATGAGATAAATGTTTGTGGAAGAGAGAAGCTGGTAATACAAAATTAATATATTAGTATTATTAGTAATATGGAATATCAATAATATTGTATTATTATTATTATCATTATTATTATTATTATGTTATTGCACTTTTATTTATTTTCTTTATTTATTTATTGTTTATCTCTTTTAATCTATATTTGTATGCTAACAGTCTGAGCTACTGGGTACCTGAAGTAGTTAAGAATTAAATATCTTTAATTAATTAGAATGATCTATCTATCTATCTATCTATCTATCTATCTATGATCAACACCTTCCTTGAGAGAGAACTATTTTAGGCATACCGCATTAAAAACACCTGCAGCTCTAGGGCTGACTTTAGTGTTATTGTTGTGTTAGGCTACTCTAACATACACACACCTTACTCAAACAGACACATTATTATCTAACCTAAAGTGTTAATATATTAGCTCCACACGTTAAAGTGCTTGGAGCGACTCAAATAGACAGAGAGCTAAGGCTTTCGCTTAAACAAGGTTATTCATCAGCATCTGTTCGACTTGTACACAACGAGACAACTGTTAATAGATGTGGTTAATGTTGTAAATACGTCGGAACCATCGTCAAAAAGGAAAACTAAGACGGAAGACTTTAGCCCCGGACGCATTTGTCCCTCTTTTATTATCTTCCGGCTCCCACAAAATGAGCTGGCAGATGTTATGAAATGGTAAGAAGGCCGGTTAGGACATAACTAAGATGGAAACAGCATAGTTTAAGTATGCCTTTGCAAATATTATGTGGCGGCTCGGCGGCGCTCGTCGCTTCGAGAAGAATGCGGAATATTTTGGGTGCTGTCCTGGGAAGAGACGGCTGGCTGTGGAGAACACATGAGGTCAAACTTATCAACACATCCTCCGGTAACCTACCTGTTTGCTACCCGGTTGTACCCGTGCTGACACAGCAAGCGGGGAAATAGAGCCCATGTTTTAACCTGTTTTCAACCTCTGTGGTCACAAACTACCACTGGGTGTGTGATAATGGATAGACAGACACATACGTTAGTTAGCTCTAAACTATCGTTAGCTATTCCTCTTTGGGCAGACATTAAACTGCGTAGTTGCGAGAAGACAATATTGAGCACGACGAGATGACAAGTGTGTGATTAACATTTAACGTGAGCAGACTTGGAACCAGGAACATGGACACTTCGCTAGTAGGTTAAAGGTTAAAGCCATGTCAAGTTACCAGCTAACCCCAGTTATAGCCTTTAACATACACTTTGATTAACCGTCGTCTGTGCATCTGAAACGTAAGCTTAACGTTATGTTTTTTCTTCTTAAATTAATATTATTACATACCTTTAAACACCAGTAATATACAATACATTATCGTACAAAGAGCAAGCATGTGTTACATTGGCTGCCATTATGCAACTTCTTTCATCTTGTCACAGCAGGAAAAGCACAGGTGTTACTAATAACATTACCAATGGCTCTGTTCCAGTCTGGTGCCATGTAAATGACAGAGTGACAGTGAGCCGGCATGCACAATACCAGGACCCTGAAACGGAAGCAACTAAATAGTTTAATGAAGCAACCTTAATTGTATTATACTGTTGTTTTTACTACTGTGATATGTTGTATTGTCGTCTGTGGAAAAGGCCAATACAGCGTTTATAAAGCAGCCATTTTGACATTAAATAGTAGTTGTTACCAATGATAGTAGTTTCAATTCCATTTAGTGTAGCAGAGCCTTTCCAGTGAGCCAACATGCACAATAGCAGCCCCCTGACTCCCTTTGACCTGAATGGAAAATTAGTACCATTGGTAACACCTGTGTTTACCCTACTATTTCATGTCAAAATGCCTGCTGTGAAAAAGGTTTATTGTGCAGCAGGCTGAATATTTTTTAACACCAACTGGATTAGCAATATAATTATTCATATTTTAGGTAAAAATGATGCTTATCTCTGTGACTCCATCAAAGCAAAAGTCTCAAACCATTGCTTTTTATCAGCAATAATAATGTCAAAGGTATCAGGCATGGCTAACAACAATAAAAGTTAAATATCAGGACTGTACTGCCCTGATTATCACTAGAATAGACCTTTTTTAACAGCAGCCATTTCGACATAAAACAGTAGGGTAAACACTGGTGTTACCAATGATGCTAGTTAAGGCTCCATTCCTTTTAGAGCAGCAGATCCTTTCTAGTGATCCAACGTGTACAATAGCAGCACCCTGACTCTGTATGACCTGAGTGAAGTGAAGTGAAGTGAAGGACTTTCTCATGTATCGATTACCCTGCATGATTTTTGCAGGTGACACAGTGAACATTGGAGAGATCTCATACAAACTCAAAACACCCCAGAATCCAGAACTTGTTCCTGTCAAACACAGTATGTATTTTTTTCCTGTGTGTGTAAATGTTCAGACATGTCTGCATAAAGTGAGAGGAAGAGTGGCAACAGACGAAACAAAAGTTACTAAAACTTAATTTTGCTAGTTTCAGACTCCTTACCCCAGACAGTGGTTCAGCACCTGCGATGGATTATGCAGAAAGACCTTTTGGGCCAGGATGTGTTTCTCATTGGCCCCCCAGGACCCCTGAGACGATCCATAGCTATGCAGTACCTCGTGAGTAACACACTCACTCACACACACGTGAAATTCTTGATTATTGTAAAGAAAGAGGAAGATTTTTATTTGAAGCAAAATTCCACATGTTATATTCTAATTATCATTTTAAAATTGAAAGTAGATTGAATGAAGTTGAGTTAATTTTCCCTCATAACTGGACCCTTAAAATTTGTTGTTATTGTTTTAGTTCATGACATTTATTTGCTGAATTCTTTATTTTTTTTATTGTTAGGGATGCAGGTTGCTAATGGGACATTTATTTTATTATGTATTTTTCTGATATTGAAATTAGTCAATAATAATAACCTTTTGTTTCTTTGCTTTACGAGAAAAAAATAAAAACATTTGAAGAGTCAGAACTGTTGTTTGTTGTTGTTGTGTTAACAATAGTGACGTGAGTTGGTTAGAATTTGGTTAGATCAAAGCTATGGAATATCTGTTTTTGCTCACTACATCTCAGCATTTCATGTCATCAGATGTGCATAAACTACAGGTTAGGAACTTCTTTTTAAAACACAAAAATGTGAAATTATTGGTTCTTTTATTATTGGTATCAGCCATGAGAAGCAGGCAATTATCAGTATATTGAAAAATAAAACCACATCCATCAACAAGATCCTAAAAGTGTTCTATGGGTTTTATGAAACATTGTGTTTCCCATGCTCTTGACCAGGAGTTGACCAAACGCGAAGTAGAGTATGTCGCTCTGTCCAGGGACACCACAGAGACTGACTTGAAACAGAGGAGAGAGATCCGCTCAGGGACGGCCTTCTACATAGACCAGGTAACAACACACTGGATTTATGCACTGTCTAACAAGCAGAGTTTGAAATGAACCCATGTTGACGTTAAAACCACTTTTCATGATAAAACAAGTTATTAACCACACTAGCCTTTTGATTTTTAACACAATTACATTTGAATGTGATTGTTGAGTGCACTCACTACGTGTTTTCTGAGTGGCAATGTGGATGGCTGTTTATGTATCTGTTACCCCTCTGTGAAAGTAATGACCTCTCCAGCAAGTACCCTGCCTCTCTCTGAGTGGGCTGTAGGTTTCCTAACCAGGCAGCTGCAGACCTAAGTCTCTAGTTTGTGCTTGTACAGTTTCATGAGGCTGTGATTATCCTAGAGGTCACAATAGATCTGTTTATACAGTGAGGTCAAGTTTCAAAATAGTGGTCTCACTACTCACTATGTGGTCGGACATCACCACGCATGAATACAATTGGGCGAATTGAATCCACAATAGTCTCAGCTTTTCAGTCATACCCAATGTATTCCACACTGTTTATGGACCCCAGTATGCAGAAATACTCAAGTACACTAGACTTAAATAACACATTTATACTGCATGCAAAAAACTGCATGGGTTTAGGAGCGTTCTTTAGCCCCCTTTCTGACAAGCTACCATGTCAAGCTGGCATGGTTGGTGCAGTTTAGTATAATAATCAGAACATGGAGTATATCTATGACTTGGTGTTTGTTTTTTTTTCTACTGAAACATCATGAGACATGATCGCAGCTTGGGTGGAATAATAATTGAACGTGCCTTATCCTCTACTTCTCTCTGAAGCACACAAACATACAAACTCTCATCACGCAGAGCTCCCCTGTGTTCCTTTCCATGCCACTTTTTTGATCGATTAAGCTTTATGCAAACATGCAAACATACACCCCCACACTCTGTTGACTTTGTAAGTCAAGTTACCACGGAGACCAGCAGTTCCTCATTATCCAGGCTGGGTTCTCTAAGGAGAACTTTGTGTCCTCCATTTATCTCCATTCAAAACACAGACAAACAATAATGGAAAAACCCAAAATCCACATGAGCCTCATCATTAAACCCTGCCAGCAGTGACAAATGATGATAAGCTGTGATAATTAACATTTACTCAGTCATGTCATTATCCACAGCTAATTAGCACATGGCTTTATCTGTGAAAAAAATAAATAAGTAGCATAACAGTTAAAATATAAACTCCATGGAAACAGGGTGAAGTTTGTCGTGTTTTATCTTCAGCACATTTATTCTTTAGACTTTACTCACAAACCTGGTCTTCTGGAACAGCAAAGCTCACGGCTAATTAGTGTCACTCCACTCCACTTCAGTGATACTGTATAGTGGTAACTGAACAAAGTCTGAATGTGAATACATCATATATGTATACATTTATCTGTGGATGCATCCCTGGTACTTGAGAAATACATATACTCAGCTCACTGAACAAAATATATCTGTACTGCATATATACCCTTATAATAGAAAGTAAGCAGGCCTATACAGTTTGTGCCAATGCAGATTAAGCATGGGGGCTGTCACCCTGCTGATATGGCAGTTTTATTTGGCTCCAGCTGATTTTTCAAATTTGATAGTTACTGTGTGGCTTTTTTATATTAATTGATTGGCATGGTTTCATAAGGGAAAGCATTACTGCAATTATATTATTTAAAAAACTATGCTTGTATATAATATACATAGAGCTCTCCAGAAAAACACAAATATTTTACGCACAGTTCAAGAGACAGAAAACCAGAAAGATCCTTTTAATGCTATCTATAGCACATTACATTCTAATTAATAAATAGGCCTTTCAGAGTAGAGAAATCAACTAATTGATTGCCTAATCTGAAGCCATAGGACAGGTACAGTATATGTGTTCTGTCTGCAGTCTATTATGGGGAGTGTAGTCTCATTTTGCAAGTAGTGTATAATTACATGCATTCAGTGGAGCTGAGGTGAGAATGGAGAACCTCTCATGGGCCTGTTGCATCTCCACCCTGGCTAAGAAAGCTTCTTAAGGAAACTTAAGAAAGCCACATTCTTCTTCCAAGTTCTTGTTAACTTCAATGGAGGAGGGATAGAAAGCATCCTGACAGGAAACATCACAAACTGACATGGGGTGTGCAATGACGACACACATCCATCATCAGCTACCATATACAGTACAAAATCTGCGTCTTATTTCTGTGTACATCCTTTGCAGTAAGTCTTATTTCCTTTTGGTGGAAAGGTCCAGTGCTAGTGAACTTTTACACCCCTATATACCCCCCCCCTAGGTAGTGATCAGTGCTCCTGAGTGTGCCTAAGGAAGCTCAGTGGTGGCTTTGCATTTGATGTGGCTCCTAAATGATGGAATGATCTGCCTCTGCACATTAAACAGGCCTCTTCTCTGTCTGTTTTTAAAACCGGTCTTAAAACCCATCTCTTCTCTGTGGCCTTTGACACCTAGTAAGATGCTTTATTTATTGATTTTTTTGTATTTGTTATTTTTTATTTTGATTGCTTGTTATTGTGGTTTTATTTTTATTTATGTTTTTATTTATTGTTGTATTATATGTTATTTTGCCTTGTGGCTGTTATGTTTTATTTATGTGTCTTATTTATTTCCTGTAACTGGTAATTTGGTTTTTTAAATGTTAAAAAAATATTGGATTGGATAGTGTGGTGGTTTGATTTGATTGGCCAGTAGAGAACCACAAATCCAGCCCCTTTCACATCTACTCCACAGGCGTGCCACTGCTGCACCACTCCTATGACAGCCAAGAGAGGTAGTGCTATGAAGTTGCATCACCTTCTGCTTTAGCGCGTCAGGAAGATGTGACGCAAGAGTGGAAATACTGTATGTCACATAGCCTTGGTTCCAAATGCTAAAAAAATAACGGACGTTAACACTTTTGACAAAAAGTCATGGTCACGTCCTGGTCCAACGTCTTGGAAGCTGTCTCTGAATGATTCATTATTTCCTGTCTGTCCACCTGTCCTTATCCATTGATTACAGACTCACAAAGCTGGTGGATACAGTTTCTGTTTCTTTCAACAAGGTGAGCTAGACCCTTTCAAACCCTCTTACACTTGTTCATCTCCCACCTTCTAATGAAACTGAAAACATATTTCCATGAATATTTGAATATTTGTCAGAAATGGAATATAATACCATAGGTATGTTTTTATTGGTGTATAATCAGCTGAATATAGGAATTGTTGTGAATTTATCTTCAAAGGAGTTTATTTTATCTACAGAGTGAGCGGGTCTTCTTCTACAGAGTCTGCAATGTTGAACCACCATGTTTCTATAGTAGCCCAGAACAGACAAACCAAACACTGGCTCTACATAGGGCCTTTTTGTTGTTTTGCGGCTACCTTCTTCTACACACTTTGAACGAGGGTTCTGCGTGTCATACACACTGGTCCTAAGGGTCGTTGTAACTGATGATATGAATTGATGTTATTTGAATAGACACAGCATTATTGATGGTAGCAATAGGTGTGAAGAGATTTTCATTCTCAAATCTCATGAGTTGGTGTACTGGATAAAACTTGTAGTTCATTTTTGTGTGTATTAATATGTGCCTGTGGGTGCGATTAGTCAGTATATGTACACATTACAGAATCTGACACTTTGTGTGAGGGATTGAAGTTATGTGGGTGCAAATTAGCAAGCTTTTCTCTTTGAGAATAGTTTGGTATCGTAGGAGGTGTGTGTGTCTGTGTGTTAACTAGAACATCCAAGTATTCCTCAGGGCCCTGTGCTGATTTGGAGCCCTATATTCAGACTAATCGTGTCAGTCCCTGTGCTTACTCCTTTTCTCCCCTCCTGTCCCTCCACTTCACTCTCGGTCTCTTTAGTTCTCGCTCTTTCTTTTTTTTCCCTTTCCTCCTTCAGTCCAAGATCCCCCCCCTCCCACCAAGTTCGTATGAAGAATGGAGTCACATGGATGCAATCGCATGCTTGTAGTACTTTTGACATTCCCAGCCACTTCTCACCAGTTAGCAGGCTCTTATGTAAGTCTGCTTACCTCAAACCCACACTGCTAATAAGACTCTATTACAGTAATTTGGACTGAAACCAGTGTATAGCCAACCAATAATTAGCCTCAGAAGCAAGTTCTTTTTAAAAATAAATTAATTAGATGCACTTTCCAGACAGTATGTCAGTAACATGTAGCAAGTAAACCCCCAAATAATCTTGTGTATGTACAAATGAGTGGCAACTGAGCATCAAAACCATGCAAAGCCAAGCAAAAACGTAAAAAAAAAATTGTAAACAATTAATGGCTTTTAAAGGACCAGTGTATTGGATTTGGGGGCATCTAGTAGTGAAGTTGCGAATTACGAACTTGGGAAGGCCCTATCTACAGCCATTGTTTGGTTTGTCCATTCTGGGCTACTGTAAAAACATGGTAGACTTCGTAGTAGAGGACCCACTCCCTCTGTAGATAAAAGCAGCTCAGTTTAAGGTAAGGAAAACACAATGATTCTTATACACTAATGAAAAAATACTTATGAATACTGTTTTTCATTAATGCCAATAGATCCTCCTAAATGTTACACACTGGACCTTTAAAAGAAAAAAGAAGTCTTTAATGATAGTCATTATGTGCAAGAACTGGAGTAGCAGTGTTAATGGCATGATTCATTTTTAATTGGACGAAACTGCACGTGTGGAGGTAAAAACAGGAACAGTTTGTTATAAAATTAGAAGCCATTATCCAGGTATTTGGGCCACGCAAATGGGACAGAACAATGCTTTAACATCAGAGATGTATGAGTGAAGACCCAAAACTAATGACGACATTGTACTTTGAAGTAATCTGTGTTGTGTTCTTGGACAGAAACCCACTAGCACCAGACGTCCCACTGTGGATATCAGGCATGAAGGATAGATATGTGAGAGCTCAATTTGTGTCTGTGGTGGAAAGCATGTTAGTCAGGTGTGCCAAAAATAGTCAATCATTGTATTTGCCACCTTGTGGTATTAAATATCATTTGGATTGTTTTTTCTAACATGTTAGATCATTCAGTTTTGAAAAGTATAAAAAAAACCATATCCCAGTCACACAAAAGCTGTTGAGATACATTTTATTTTCCTAATTGACCTCTCACGGAGAAAAAGGGGGCGGCCCTTTTTCTCCGTGCTCCGCTAATCTATATCAATCATTCAACATTAATAGTTAGCTATTTAGTTACATCTGATAGCTAAAGTTAGCAAAACACTATCTAACTAGTTAACCAATAATGTAGATCAGCTAGTTAGTTAGCAGAGTTTTGCTAACATTAGCTAATTTAAGATTTGACTATATACAGTGTATATGTAGATTTTATTTTTTAACCATCTTCAAAATGTGGTTATCTTTTCATAAACGAGCCTAGCACATAGCATATCCAAGTACAGGAAAGGAGAAAGTTAGCAGGGCTTAGGAAGGGTTAATTAAAATCAATCTCTTCTCTTGTCTTCTAATGAACTCAAATATCACAGCATTGTTCTGCATTTTACTCTGCCAAATGGGGCCCCAATAAAAATAAAAAGTTTGGGAATCGCTGCTCTATACTTATGACTCGTCCTTTCAATATTCTGTTTATTCGGCTCTTTATAACATCCGCTGCTAAATGTTTGCTAAAATCTTCTCAGTTTCTGGTGGGATGTTTTCTCTGTATTTAGTGTCCTGCAGAAAACAAGGCCCTTCTGTGCTTTCCCGTCTCTCGCCATCCTGCGTCACTTAACATTTCTAACAATTATGTGATTACAGCGTTTGTGCTGAAAATGGATCAAGGGTTAAATATAGAGCATCTGGTCCTCACTATAGTTTTATGGCTCTGCTTCCCACACAACCTGCCACGTATTTACATGTTAACCTAATTATATGGCCACTTGCTCTGCGGTCCACCCAGACAGCTAAAGTTTCCTGCCTCTTGACGTCAGATGTGCTTTTTGATGCAGAGATGTGCATATACACACACATATAATGTACACGCACACACAAGTTTTTTTTTTATCCCACATTTGGTGGTAGAAAATAGGCCTTCCTAAAACAGCTGAGACTGTTTTGAAGCTTGGTTTGGAGTAGTTTGGAGGATGCTCTGAACACAATAAGCTGAGGACATCCTCAGGAAATGCTTTATGGCAAGCTCATGTTGTCATTAGAGCATGGGCAGTAAGAACTGATGCACAGTCAGATTGCTCTTTGTATAAATGCTTTTAGCACTGGTAACATTTACACAGGGTCAGAGGTGGTGCTGGACAATGGACCAGCAGATTTGAGGATGAACTGATTGCAAACGGGTAGGCTTTAGCTTTAAAATTAGCCACTTCCTCATACCCACATCTTCCCCCGGATCTCTAATTATCTCTGCAGTATTGATTGAATTTACTGATTAGTTTACACATCTTATGTGTTTTTCTGCAGTGTGCTGTAAGGGCAGCAACACAGGGTCGAGTCTTGGTCCTGGAGGGGCTAGAGAAGGCAGAGAGGAACGTTCTGCCCGTTCTCAACAACCTGCTAGAGAACAGAGAGATGCAGCTGGAGGACGGACGCTTCCTAATGTCAGCGGAGCGTTACGACAAGCTGCTGCAGGTCAGAGCAGCGCGCATCTTTGAGGGTTTGAGGGTCTTTAAGGTGTCCTGGTTTGGAAATGAAATAGAATGATGATCTTTTTAAAGAACAGCTAAGCATGAGAGAATTCAATCCTCTGTATCATGATCATGGCTGTTGTTTATGGAGCCGTATTTATCTGAATCTTCACACTTAAACAGTGACTCTCACACTACTCCTACAGTGCTTCTCCTGTGTTTGGAGGAAAAAATGCTGTTGCCATAAATACTGTGTGACATTCAGAGTCTGTACTTGTTACATGCGGCTGTGTCTCTGTAGCATTTTGCATGCAAAATTGGAATTTGCCAAGTTGTGTACAATAGAAAAGTGTTGTATTGTTGAGTTATGCATTGCAGGAGCACACCAAAGAGGAGCTGGACAGCTGGAAGATTGTCCGTGTAAGTGAGGACTTTCGGGTCATCGCTCTTGGCCTTCCTGTCCCCAAGTACAAGGGCAACCCGTTGGATCCTCCTCTCCGCTCTCGCTTCCAGGCCAGAGACATTTATTACCTACCATTCAAGGTCAGTCCAAGAATTAATAGATCATTTAAAATCAAGAAGTTCCCTCCACCAAAATGTCTCAATAATAAGGAAGAAGGACCTGGTAAAAGGTTCTCCCTACTGATCCTATCTTTATGACCCTGAAAAATCCACATAACACGCTGTAAACAAACAATTGGAACTACTTTCTAGCAATAAATAGTCCCAAAGAAATGTTCCCAAAAAGATCTGGGAATCATGCAGATTATTCCATTTTATGCCGCTTGTCTCATTTTCAGATTGTAGCCACATCTTGTGACCATACTCCCTCAACCAACAGTTTTCACCAATAAATCTTTGTGATTTTTTCCTTTCCCGTCCCTCTTGTATAACTTTTTCACAGTGCTCCTTAGAAGATCTAAGTGTGTAGTGTGTATTCTATATTCCTTTCAGGACCAGTTGGAGCTGTTGTACACTGCAGGACCAAACATTGCTGCAGAAAGGTAAGGACTGAAAGTAAACACTTACTAAAGCTTAGACCTTGGCCTGTTTGAGTATTCTTTTGTAGTCTTTGGAGTGTCAGTAGTTCTTCATGCCTTGTATCCTGTGTGTCAGGGTGTCCCAGCTGCTGTCACTAGCCACCACGCTGTGCTCCCAGGAATCATCCAACCTTGGCCTCCCTGACTTCCCTGTGGACAACCTGCTTCCTGCCCTCCATGTGCTGGTGAGAGTCAAGGCACTCTAAATCTGACTTACTGTCCCTTAGAGGGAGGGAGAGAGAATAAGAAAAATTACCTCTGTTAATGCATGGATGCTAGACCGCCTGTCTTTTCTGTGTTGTTGCAGAACTCTTTCCCCATGCTGTCCTCCCAGCAGCTAGTCCACAGACTTTACCCCTACAACAGCATCCTGGGCAAGGATGGGCGCACTGCTGTAGAGGGTGTACTCAGTGTAAGTCAAGATGTGCACGTCACTTTCATCTGTATGGGGTGTCCTCTAATGTGAACATACGATAAGATACTTTATTCAAAAGCATTCATTTTGGTCTATACATATTCTGTGGCACATAGAGATTTGAGCTTTTGGATGGTCGTCGTCAGCCAGCACCCAGCGCCATTTCGAGGTTGTCCGCTACCAGGGGTCTTGAGGGCCACGCAGATGTCACATTACGTATCGCGGACAAGGACGTCACATTTCAGGTACCAGTAGACTGGCTATATACATTATAAATCCCCAATGCTGACTATGTACACTGAACTACAAGGCCTGTGTGTGGCGATGGGGTGCTTTATTCTGATTCTGGATAAAGCGCACTGTTCATGCTCCTGTTAAAGATGCCCTATGGGGTTTTCTGTATTTATTTTGTATCCTACATCTTTTACATCCATGTTGCATCATGCAGTCTCCTTCATCACTGCCTTTGCTGGACCACAGCTGTGTACCATTACTGTCACATGTAGATCAGTGGAATAGTGGGAAACCATTGGCAGGAATGTATAATGCATGATCTACGTGCAATGTGGGTTCATGTGCGTCCTTGTATGTGTGCCTGAGACAAACGGAACACAAAGATCCTGCTCCATAGTCCTACTAAAGGTCAAAAACTCCACAGGGTAACTTTTAAATGGTTGAAATTATGTTTTGTAAAACGAATAATAAAGAAACTAAATGACAGAGACATTAGGCTAAGAGAAGAATCTTGTGCACTCTTACATTATTGTTTGATTTTGATATATAGATGCTGCAGGGATTCCGTATTTTTGTAGTCCAGCCCATAAGTTAGCATCGCCATGGTTCCTTTGACAAAAAGCTAATGGGATTGTTCCATTGGGTTTGGATTGTTGCAGGAAATTAGCTCTGTGGTGAACAAAGGTTTATGATACAGTTTTGTTCAGTAAGATAGTCTTCACTAATGAACACCACGTTTATGATCTTTGAAGCATAAATGTGATCAGCAGAAGTAAAAAGCTAACGTTAGGCTTTAAACAAACTACACCATGGTCACATGACATCAACGTCACCACCACTTAACTGCCAACTTGTAATTAAATCCTGGAATTAAAATCTGCAGGTTGTAACGTTAGAATAGTATAAACACAATGAAGCTGTAAAGGTGGACTAGTGAGTAGACAGTTTCTGTTTTAATGTCACCAACAACCTCTGTAGTCTCTTTTAGACACTTGTTAGCAACCGCCTTAGAGCCCTTATGTTTCTACAGTAGCTCAGAACAGACAAACCAACTGGGTCGTCATTTGGTGGCATCGTAGTTTTTCCTTTGTGCTTGGAAAGGGAGGGTGAAGCGAGTGAGACCCCGCTAGATGCAACTAAATCCTACACACTGGACCTTTTAAGATGTGGAAGCTTCCAAATTCACAGGTAGGTATTTACTGAAGTATTTCATGTTGTAGAACAAAGCGTGAAAATCTGTTAAGCTTGTGTTACCACAGACCTTATTTCAGGCATCTAACTGATTCCTGCAGCACTCTATTATCAGACTAGATAATCTGACTGACTGACTGTCCCCATGAGTGTGGTCATTTGACCTTCATCAAATTATGAACTAAAAACAACAGTCAGTGAGTCATACATAACGCAGAGATGTCCATTTTTCCATGGCAGGCCACCACAGGCAGACACACTGTATCAGTAGCCCTGACTGATACTCTGTAGTTGACTCCGTTGAGTTTTTGGAAGGAACATCTTTATCAGTCTGTAATTCTTCTTCTTGGATGAAAAACTAACTGTTTGTGAATGACTCACTGTGCGGGGTTTAGGAGAACAGAGATATTCCATACTTCTAAGAATAGTAGTGCTGATCTTCCAGCCAAACAAATGATATCACTTTTATTCACTCTCTGAAGTTGTATTTTTTTGTTTGTGGCAGTAGTTCTTTTGGCTTCTAATATGCTGTGCATAGATCATTTGATAACAGTGTTGTTGGAACATACAGTGTGTTTTTCTCCCAGTGATGCTGATAAGTCTGTGATTCATGGTTTATTTATTAAAAGGAATATTTTTCAACAACTTTTTTAGAATGATACAGCTGTTGGTTGTTCTTTCATGGTTATTTCTTGTCTCCATTAAACTTCAGGTTCCAGCAGGTACGAAGGAGCTGCGTCCACCCAACAGTAGCCCCACCTTCATCAGTACACCAAGCCACTCCCAGCTGATGGCTGAGATAATGCAATCACACATGGCTAAGGACATATGCCTGATAGGAACCAAGGTAGCTAAAACATATAATGAAAATTATACACAGATACAGTACACATGTGATCTCTGGTCTTAATATTAATCACTTTGTATTTTCTAGGGTTGTGGAAAGTCAGTGATTGCGAGAGAGTTCGCTGAGATGCTGGGTTACAGCATAGAGCCAGTCATGCTCTACCAGGTAAATAAAAACAGGTCTTCTAATTTATTATCTGTGAAAACGCCACAGAGCATGTGATGAAATGGTGTGTAATATCCAAATACAGAATTCCTTTTTATGTCAAAGCCCCCATATAATGACTGAGACCAGCACTCAAAATGAAGGATGTCCCGTAAAAATAGCACCTGGTACACAAAGATACAGTGTCTGGAGCAAGCTCATGATAGAGAAACATATAAAATTACAAATGAAATGAGTACTTTTAAGCATCATGGAATTGAATATATGTTTTAATTACCCTAAGTATTCAAATTTTAAAAATGTGAGTACCTAGCTCTACTACTATGTCACATTTATGCAATCTTGAGAGACCTGTGTTGCCAGTGTGTATCATAATTATTGAACATGTTAAAGACTATTGAACTCAAATATTCTTTAATAAGATAATTTCTTGTTGCCCTCAGAGAGCCTTTGCATAGTTATATCAGTGCAAAGGCTGTGCACAATCCTCATAGAAAAGATCTTTTTTCATTTCATCCCAGAAATTCACTATATCTGTAATGTGTTTTCCCTCTATAATCGGTATCAATCTCAAAAATCCCAAATAGAGACTTAATTTCTAAAAAGACCATGACCATTTGTCCGTCTTGGCCCATATTGTCACACAAAATGTTAGTATTTATTTAACTTCCTATAGCTACCTTTGCACTTCACACTTTGATAATGTGTTTTGTACGTATATACAGCCATCAAGCAACCAAGTGTTGTAGCTACTTAAAAAGTCCAATAATTTGAATTTTAGTCCTGACAGGTCTTAAAAGTTGATTGGATTAAGCAAATTAATGTTACTTTCAGTTTTAGCCTCTTTTCAATGTTGGAACCAATACCTATTGTCCTTCATATCCTTCATACTTTTTTGCCAGTATAACGTAGGTCTTAAATTGCATTAATAATGGTCTAAAAATTTAAGCTGTTGAAACCTGTGCAAGCCTTGTAGCCATGTCAAAAGTATTTTTGGATATGTGTTCATCACGTCAGGGAAAGCATATCACTGGCAGAGACTCACACACTTACTGACCTGTGAAGAAGGGTTTAACCAATAGGGAGAGGGGGCAAACAAATTGCACACAGTGAGTGAGGGGTATTTTATGAAAGAAGACCTTCTAATATGGAAAATGTTTCATCTGAAGAGAATGCTCTTCTCATGTCACATAACGCGTTTTAAACACAAGCATTTGAAACAAAAGTAATTTTATTATTCACACCATTATTCGCCCCCTTGCTGTATAATCATTTGGTTAATTGCCCCCAGTTGATTAAAGACGATAATGAAGATAATGGCTAAAGATGTGTTACACTATCCAACTTCATCTAAATGCTCAGAGCATACATGTCACGAATGTAGAGCCAGGGAAGGTGCAGTACAGTGGGATGGAGTAGATGTAGAAGGGATGGGTAGGGTAGGGATGTAGAATTAGGACAGCAGTTTGGCTAAAAGACCCACATCTGTCTTTCATTACCTGGGCCTCAGGGCCTCCTGCCAGAAACTGACACTGACTGGCAGAGAGAGAGCAACGAGAGACAGAAATGAATCTGAAGCTTTGTAAAACCTCCGACTGTGTGTGTGTGTGTGGGATTCTTTGGAATGTAGTCATCTGGGTGATTGTGCAGGAAACGGGTGTACTGAAGCCTTATGTATTAATGCATCATGCCGCAGCTATTTTTAGCTGGCTGAGGTCAGGGGTGACTTGTGCTGCGGGAATTGCGGAATCCTTCGCCGGGCAATTCAACTTGTCGGCTCTGAAAATCCCATTTTTGGAAGACAAAGTGACATTGAAGACTAGCAAGGAATATAAATATATTATCTGTTGGTGTCTGTCCTTCAATGGACAAAAACATAAAAACAACAACAACCCATTCCCTCTTTTGCAAACAAAAAAATGAACAATATTTCCCAGGAATGTAATTTATTTTAGAATAAGACTGTTCCCTTGATAGCTGACCACAGGGAGTGAGAGGGGAAGCATAACATTAACACACTTGTAACATATTACACACATTCTATTATACAGATCACGGAATAAGATAAAACAAAAAGATAAAACCATACAGAAGCTTTTACACAGATGCACAATGTACAGCAACTTACATTTGCAAATCTACCAAGTCTGATTAAATGTTGCCTTGTGTATTGTGGGGAGCAGCTTTGCAAAAAAAAAAAAAAAAAACCTGAAAGGAAAAGGTAGATGAGAGCCCAGTTATACTCCTCTCATGACAGGTGATCAGTTTACAGAGTGCAGAAAGCAGGTTCTGGTGACACATTTAACTTCTGGTAAACCGATGGTGGAAGAAGTACTTCAATCTTTTACTTGTGTAAAACCAATACCACAGTTTAGGAATACCCCCACCACAAGTAAAGGTATTGCAGGTAGTTATTCAAAAAAGGTCACTTATCTTTTAACTGTCTTCAATATGTAGTTGTCTTTTCAACATAACACCTAGCACATAGCATATCTAAGTACAGGAAAGGAGGAAGTTGACTGAATTCTGACTAAGAGTTGCTAAACTGTTATTGGAGGACAGAGCAAAAAGGGGAGGGACTTAGGAAGGGTCAATACAAGAAATGCCATCAAAGCTGTGCATGTCAGCAGACATAATAACAGGTTGTTTAAACAGCCTGGAGAGAAAGTCACTCAAGCGACCTGCTAGGTTAACTGGAGCGACCCCTTTACTGTGCCTGCTGCAAGCACAGCAATCACAGTGTGTATGTCTCCTGGAGAAATCATTTATTATTCTAACCTTTCAGAGAAAATCCACAATATGGAATATACTTGACAGTTGCATAGTGTGGGAGTATGGGCCGTGTATCTTGATGCTCTGACAGCTGGTTTTCTGAAACACGCAGACAGACCACAGAGGCGTTCATTATGTTGGTAGGTTACACAGAGACGGATGGAGTGATTTGTCCCTTTGTTTGAGGACACCAGACACTCTGTCAGCAGTCCTCCTGTTAATGACATTTAGAAATTATTAATGTCCATGACGTCCTCCTGGCCTTATCCTGTCTGACCTAACTGTGGTTAAAGAAAGATGTCCATTTATCTCTGGCCTTTAATGGGCTGCGCCTGCCCTGCCGTTGATGATAGTACTTCATGATAGCACCAAATGGAAAATATAGCGCCTGTGTTTGACTTAATGAAAAAGGTCTTCTTGCTGTGGAGCAGTTAGCAGTTCAGTACTGACTGCCTGGAATAAATTGTACAACTCAGCTTGTATTCCCTCCTCTACCCTCCGTCTCTGCCATGACTCAGTAGCGTGATAGTGAATATGACAGGCTTGCTCCGCAGACGTTTCCCCCCAAACAGAAATGCGCCATTAGCTGTTATCTGCACAGCAGATATATCAAATGTAGCAGCAGATTACAGATATAGTCGATTGCAATAAGAACCTCAGCTCTCTTTATCCCGTCCCACTGTGTGATATTTACTAGCACACTTCCTACATTGCTCTTAATCCCTCATCCTTCACTTCCAGGACATGACAGCCAGGGACCTTCTTCAGCAGAGGTACACTCTCCCTAACGGAGACACAGCGTGGAGGCCGTCTCCACTGGTCACTGCTGCCATCGAGGGCAAGCTGCTGCTTTTGGACGGCATACACAGGGTCAACCTGGGAACCCTGGCTGTGCTTTCTAGGTACTTCAGTTTGCTAAAAATACACAGTTTCCAATATTTACTGGTTGTGTTATTTTAAGAATAATGTTGATATCATTGCTCGTAATATCTTCTGTTTTCTATGCTGTCTTTTTATTCTGTTCTTCTACAAACACCTATTTCTCAGCTCATTCCACTGTGTTTTGTGTTCCCAGGTTACTCCACGACAGGGAGCTGGATCTGTATGATGGGACCAGGCTACTGAGATGGGATAAATACCAGACACTAAAGGAGCAGCTGCACTTCAGTGACCAGCAACTGCAAGAGAGGTACACATACAGACACAGGCTCTGGAAGTAGGAGTGCCGAGTGCGCTGCAGCAATCTCACATAATGAAAACTTCATCAAAATGTTAATTATCATGACTTTCTTTGTGTAAAGTGAATTTCACACATTTAGCATTTAGTATGACATCATTATATAAACAGACTTCCTCTCAGCACCCCAGCTCTGACTGAGTTCCAGCGTCCCTGCACACACATGCAGGTCAGCTCACAGAGGGTTATGGGTTAAGTGTGGGAAAAGTAAGGAGCATTTTAGGATTATATATTTCAGCATTAGCGCCATAACAGGAAGGAGGAGTCAGAGCGAGGGGGAGAGAGAACTGGAGAGGGAGGCAGAGAGTGAAGACAAAAATAGCATTCCAGGTAGAGCAAGAGAGCGGCATTCAGATTTATGATGCTTGCGTCTTCTGAAGGCTCTGTCTCACCCGTACAGAGGACTGAATATTCCTGTTACAGTCACCATCTCTCACAATTTAGGGATGTCTACAGTAAAAAAACTTTCATTAAAAAAGTCACGAAAATGAAGAGAAGACTGACGCATACTGTACGTTTGTGTTGAATCTTCTAGATCTGTATTTCATATCATCCAACTTATCCAGAGCCTCCTGTCAGGGACGGAGTCTTACCAGGTGTTCAGACTGAAAATAGCCCAAAGTTTAAAGAATGCTTGGGTCTGCAGTAGTAGGGAGTGTTGGAAATATGGTTGTTTCAGCAATAGATTCATTAGTTTGAGGGCTTATTATACACTAATTTATGAAACTATGAGGCAGCATTTCACATTTCAGCCATATATCGTATGTGAATGACCGGTGTTGGTCTTGACCTTAACTCTACCCTGTATATGACTCATGCGTCTGTGCGTGTGCACGTCTTAAAAACCCACCTAAGCTGGCAGGAAGGATGTTTGTGGTGGGGCGTCTGGGCTGAAATAAACCCACTTCCTCTTCCTCTGCTCTTGTGGCTCAGACAAAATGTGTGCATGCGTGTGTGTGTGTGTGTGTGTGTGTGCATGTGCGTGTGTCCACCAGGATTTGATTGTGTATTACAGTACAAGTTACGCGTTTTTCTCTCAATATCCAGTTCAATGTTTAATGTTTCTGGTAGAGCTGCAACAGTTAGTCGATTAATGGGTTAGTTGGCAACCAACTATTTTGATAATTAATTGGTTTGAGTAATTTTTTAAGAAAAAGTCAATTCTCTGATTTCAGCTTCTCCAATGTGAATATTTTCTGCTTTCTTTAGTCCTCTATGACAGTAAACTGAATATCTTTGGGTTGTACACAAAACAGGACACTTTGTGATCAGTGATCAACATTTTTCACCATTTTCTGAAATTTTATGGGCCAACAACTAATCAATTAATCGAGAAAATGATCAACAGATTTATGAATACATTATGAATAAATAATATAATAATTGTATTTATTAATAATAAAATAATATGCTGCGCTCTAGTAGCACACATACATATGACAAAGTCACATGCATATAAATATATATACATGCATATATACCGTATATAAAGTCTCTGACTTTGTCATGTCTGTTTGCTGCACCAGGAACCTTACATGCTGAACTGGATACTGAGAGAAAATACTCGTAGCTCCTGCTGAGATTCTGATCACTCTGCCTGCAACAGTGTTTCCTTTTGCAAACCTCTTTGCAGCAATGAAAACAAGACGCAATTGTGCTTGAGGCAGTGGATGAAATCGTTATGGATTGTGTCCCTGTTTCCCTGATAGTTAATGTTGTTTCCCGTAGCAACAGATAGAAATTGTACCACATTTTGGAGTGTCTGGCTCCAGACCAGCAGTGAAATTGTTACCATTTATCAATCAGGTTTGGATTCGTGATCAACCAATATGGCTTTTTCAGGGCTGATACAGATACCAATAAAAACAAAACAAAGAGACAAAAAAATTACAATAATAATAATGACGTGGGACATCATGAGGTGCTTTCGCCAGGAGACACCTATTTTCTCTGTTCTCTCTTTTTCCTTTCTTTATATTCCCTCACCATATTTACTTATCTCTCTCGCTCTTTTTTTCTCTTCCTTGTCAATTAGTCTGCCTTTTTTTTCTCTATCTTCTTTTCCTCTCTCTATTTCTCAGCTAATACACCACTCCCCCTTGTTGCTCCTCAACAATTACACACACACACACACGCACACACACGCACACACGCACACACACACCCACACACACACACCCACACACTGGGATCCTTACAACAGACTGCACTGTATCCATATAATTTATACTAACCCTTGTGTTTATTCAGAGCCAAAGAAGCACATTTTAATCTATTTTAGCATCAATCTGATAAAATGAATAGCGATACAATAAAAAAATGCTGAATATCAAATCTGATAATTGGCCAGGCTGATAATCGATCTCTCCCTGGTTATTGATTATTAAAATGAATTTATGCAACAAGACTGTATAGAGCGAGCAAGACGGCAAGAAAAAGTGAGTGCATGAACAAGACAGACAACATTACCTAAACTCACTTCTTATAGTGAATTACAGGGCATGGTTATAACGCCCAATAATAGCAGCCTCTGATATCTTCATATATGAAATGTCTTCCCACACACTCCAGTGACGATGATGATGGTTAGCGCCCGCTTCCACCCACATTAGAATAAATATATCCTGTTGCAGTGTGGGTGTTTCTGTGGGGTGATAGAAATGGACTTTGCTGTCCTCTTGAATCAGAGAATTACACAGGCAGCTGTCAAAAGTCATGCTCTTGTCCCTGACATAGATTGGTTAGGACACACACACACACACACACACACACACACACACACACACACACACACACACACACACACACACACACACACACACACATCCGTGACAAACAGCATGTGCACCTGCACTCTACAACTACTTGAACACGGCTAAACAGATGTTCAACTGTATGTATATTCCACTGCTAGAGTGTAACTGTTACACTGTGTGTGTGTGTGTGTGTGTGTGTGTGTGTGTGTGTGTGTGTGTGTGTGTGTGTGTGTGTGTGTGTGTGTGTGTGTGTGTGTGTGTGTGTGTGTGTGTGTGTGTGTGTGTGTGTGTGTGTGTGTGTGTGTGTGTGTGTGTGTGTGTGTGTGTGTGTGTGTGTGTGTGTGTGTGTGTGTGTGTGTGTGTGTGTGTGTGGTGGTGCGTGCGTGTGTGTGTGTGGGTTTATTTTCAGGTCAATCCTCCCCATCCATCCATCATTCAGGGTGCTGGCCCTGGCCGAGCCCCCCGTTGTGGGTGCCAGTGCGAGCAGCAGCAGCAGAGGTCAGCAGTGGCTGAGCCCAGAGCTGCTCACTATGTTCCTCTACCACACGGTCACCCCGCTGTCCAAAGCAGAGGAGATGGACCTCATACAGGGACTGGTGAGACACACACCTTCATACTCTCTCATCCATTTTTTTTTTACTTCCACTGGTTACTGCTTTGTGTACATTTAATACATTTATGAACAATCCAGCGTTATGTTGGTGCAAACGTTATTGTGATAAACTGGTCAGATCAAAACAAAATACACTGAAATTGTATATTTTACTAAATCTTTATAACTTGTTATTTTATATTGACAATATAAGAAAATAGTGCATTGACAACAATAGGTATGGGGTGATTTAATGTCACGATTATCTGAAAATAATTGAGATGCACAAAATATATATATGCAAAATGTAGTTAGAATTATTTGACTGAGTCAGTCAGTCTCCATATTAAAATGCCCAACTATACAGCAGAAATAAAAATGTGTACAACCATGTTTTGGTTTCTGTAGCTAATTTCCCTGTTACGGGGGTTGAATTTTTATATAACTTACCCGTTTAAATTATATTAAGGCTTAAAGTTCTTTGAGTGACAAGTGGGTTATATGTGTCAATACTAGGCCTACCGGTAAATTATATGACCGTTTGTGGGTAAGTGCTGTCCTGTATTGTAAAATTCCTGAAAATGTCCTGGATAATGATTTCTTAAACAGAATCCCTGATTTTGGAATGACTGGAAAGATGTAGGCTCCCCCTTGTGGCAATTCAAGGTTTCAATCAGGAAATCAATAAAGGACTGTACATTAGCGAGCTAGGCAGCTTTTTCACGATTATTATATTATAATGCAAATGCACCATTTTGTACTTGTCTTAGTGTGCTTTATCACAGTACATGATGATATTGTATATCGTCCCATCCCTGCTGTTGCTTTATTTTTTCCATCTTCATTTATTGCCTGATAGCTTTTGAACAGCACCACAAACTAGCCATGTATACCTAATAATACTGGCCACTGAGTGTATGTCAACTGGGAAAAATCTATTCTGGATCAAGATTTCTGTAGTTCAAATCCACTTCTCTTCTTATCTAAATACCATAATCTTCATCAGCCACTCTCTCTTTCTTTTTCTCCCACTTCTTAGATTCTTAATGTTCCAAAGGAAGCAGCAGAGAATCTACTGCACCTCACACACAATCTCCGTAAGACAAACGACCCCACGGTAAGTTTGTATGTGTGTGTTAGCTCTTATCAGTTTGTTAAGATGTGTGCCATCGAAGTCATTTATTTGTGTGCGGTGTGTGTCTCCAGGCACAGTCTCTGGCCTCTTCTCTCTCCACCAGACAGCTGTTGAGGATCTGTCGCCGTCTCTCTCAGTACCCTGAGGAGAGCATCGCCCACGCTGTCAAAAAGGCTTGTCTTTCCAGGTACACACACACACACACACAGACTCAAAATAAATGTGTGTTTATCTTGGCTTTGATACAGATGATTCATTTTTGATAAAAAACGTGTTTTAATGCTGTATGATTGTGTGCACCAGTGATTAATTGCCTGTGTGTGTGTGTGTGTGTGTGTGTGTGTGTGTGTGTGTGTGTCTGTGTCTGTGTCTGTGTCTGTGTCTGTGTCTGTGTGTGTGTTAGGTTCCTGCCCAGCCTGGCCCGTGCTTCTCTTGAAAAAAGCCTTGCTAACAGCTCCATACAGGATAAACCAGATCCTGCTGAACACACTCGTGACTTCAGCTGTAAGTTCCACTCAGCTACCTAGATAAGATTTATTTAACCACATTTGTTTCATTTGTTTTGCTGCTATTTTAGGGTTTTTCCTGGGTGAAGCTGATTGCAGGCCACCCATCAGTGTTGCAGTATCAACTATAAACAAATACAGCATAGACAAAGCTGTATCTAAAAGGTGCAGATGGAACTAGTATTTCAATATCCTCAAAGGAAAGAAACCATTTAAACCACAATCATTTCTGTTTCTTTAAATATAAGAATACACTCAGTCGGCTGTTTCTGTCATCTGAGTCATACAGGCAATCGTTATGATTATAGGTAATGATTTTAAAATTAATTGAGCCTGTGTGATTATTATACTAGCATAAATAGTGTAGTCACTGGTTCCACAGGAGAGGAGCTTGGTAACTGAAGGCTCTGGCTCCTGTTCTACTTTTTGAGACTATAGGAACCACAAGTAGCCCAGCATTCAGAGAACGTAGTGTTCTAGAGGGGTAATAGGGTACTATGAGCTCTTTAAGATATGAAGGGGCCTGATCATGAAGAGCTTTATAGGTGAGGAGGAGGATTTTAAATTCTATTCTACATTTTACAGGGAGCCAATGCAGAGAAACTAGTACAGGAGAGATGTGATCTCTTTTCCTAGTTCCTGTCAGTACTCATGCTGCAGCGTTCTGAATTAATTAATTCTGTTTTAATGTTTCCAGATGTTTGATATCAGGATGTTGAGCTGAGAACTGACAAGTTGAACGTTGACCAATTAAAACGGACCCACCGTGGTGACGTTTTTGGTGGAGCTGTTAGTTTAATAGTCGACTTGGAAGAAAGCGAACGTTTTGACAATAAGCTACATCAACACAACAGTATGTGGAGTTAAACTGGACAGCCCCAATAACCTCTGAATAGTTCTACTTGTTGTTAAATTGCAGCCAACGGGGGTGCATTATGTCGGCAGGATCATTTAAAAGGCAACCGTGACTACATTGTGCGTCTGCCCCATTTCTGATACCGTGGTGACAGAAATTTAACAATGGCGGGCCGCCGCTCCAAAATCAACATAGAAGAAACACTACATACTGACTTCCTCTCCTGCATTTCTCTAGGTAAGATAAAGGATGGTGTGTTGACTATTGGCAATGTGTCTGCTCCCATCTACAAGCCGAACGAGAAGATGAAGGTTCCAGACGTGCTCTTCTATGATAACCCCCAGGTAAATATACTCAGTGAGACACATGTCAGTCTAAACCAAAGCTGTGACTGTAAGACAACACTCTTTACTGATTGTAAAAAGAGGGCTGGAAAAGACATTTGATCAAATCGGGATCATGGAAAATAAATAAGAGCAAAAAGTTGGATTAAAAACAATAAAGAATAATACTTTGGTTAATTTTTTTCACTCAAACTGAGAAAGGTCACTCTTGATTCTTCACCACAATATTCATATCATTCAAATGAGTCATACGCCAGTGAAAAGACAGCTTTGTTTCCCCTTCATTCCTCCTTCTGCATTGTTATTAATATTCCTCTGTCCTTGTTGCAGTGTGTGACATTATTTCATTATGAGGGATTTTACTTTTAGTTCTGGTATTAGCTGATATTTTCCAAGGCCATACTCTTTGTTGTTCTTGCTGAGCCCTTTTCAGATACACTGGAGTCTCAGAGATGCTAATCTCAGTCATAGTCTGACTGTAAAATCTGCCCCAGTACACTGTAACTGACCTCTGAATGCTGTTATTGATGGATTTTGTCGGATAAGAGGGCAATCTAATTCGCCACTTTGTTGCATTGGAGCAGCAAGACACCAATAGTTGACTTCATTGAATGGTTGTCATGCAAAATCAGTAGGTACGTTACATCTATCTCTAAAACAGATGAGATTCCTTCAGGAGGTCGGTATGTCTGGGTTCGAGTTTACCAGTTTTTGCAACTTTCAGAGCCCAACGATACAACAGTCACACCCACTTTATGCCATGATTCAGGGCTCCCACACGTCTTGGAAAACCTGGAAATTCAGAGACTACTTTTCCAGTCATGGAAACACCTGGAAATGAATTCAAGTGACCAAATATCCTGGAAATAATCTATCTTGTGCTGGAAAATTCTAGTTGTATTTTAGCCTGTCCTGCAGCCAAATTAATGTTAGGGTTAGAGGGAAGCTGTAGTCAATAGACCTTTTTCACAGCAGCCATTTTGACATCAAATAGTAGGGTAAACACAGCTCATTGGCTGCGCAGTTTTGACTCGTCCATAGTAGGAAAAATGGCGACCTGCCTGGTCACACACATTCTTGTATTCGAGGTAAACAGTACACTGAAATATGTTTGTGAAACAATTTTAAGTGAGAAATAGTCAACACAGTAACAGAATCTGGATCCATATTTGATCAGCACTGCCTGGTTTGACAGTTTGATCTGAGTTTGGTGCGTTGAGCTGGACGGACTTGTCAGTCACAATGTAGCCACACCCTAAAGCATCTATTTTACTGTAAACGGGAACGTCATTTACTAAATGAACATCATGCTGTATGGAAGAAGACTGAAACTAGAGATAGAGACTATAAACCCCTCAGGAAACTGTTGACTGAGCTCAGAAATCAAGTGAGATGTAGGCTCATTTCTGCATTGGCTTCACTTCACAGACCTGGAAACAAACCCGAATTATATACTCTCAGTGGTTCTCAAAAAAATGGCCTTCATATTTTTGCCATGCCCTGAATCAAAACTGCTTGATCGGCACATAAATTCATTTCAGTTGAGTTTAGTTAGGCTAGGTTTGGCCTTAAAGAGTCTTTTGCACACATTAGGTTTAGATAAAATGACACCCTCATGTAAGGTAGATGTTAGGTTTTACCAGGTGAGACTTTGACGTCTGATGCCCATCTCATTGGCCACTGAGGCCCAGCGTGTCTGGGGAGGAGCCAGCTATGGAAATGACTCCTATGGCAATACAGATGACGCTACGTGACCCAGTTTTATCTCTTTGCTGTCCTCATTCTGCCCTTTTTCTTCTGCCTGCTTGCATTGGAGACTGAAATAAGAGTGGAAGAGGGTAAGATAGGATGAGATCGAGGAGGATGCCCTATTTTGTCAGCGACCTGCTTTCTGTCTTCTGAATAGAAGCACAGTTCTAAAAAGCAGAGGAGAGGACTGAGTCAATTTTCTTTCACAAACCAATGTGGTCTATTATTAGTTTTATCTTTAAACAGTGCTTTTTCATAATATGTGAAAATGCTATTCGTCATAATGCCCATCTGGATTTTATTGATGTGTCCATAACAGTAATCAGAATTTCTGTGCCAGTTGAATGTTTATCTGTTTGAATCTCTCTGCAGCACATGATGGTGATGGAGGACATGTTGAAAGACTTTCTATTAGGAGAGCACCTCCTTTTGGTGGGCAACCAGGTGAGTGACATATGAAAACATTCAACTTCCTGCTTTACTTAAAATCCCCCAGTCCCCAGACAGGCCCTGTTAAGACTGGGGCCTCAAGAACCTATATGCATAAAGGTCCAATCATGATCACTATCATGATCCCACTTTGATGTCATGTAAAATATGCAGAGCTGAGACTGCTATCTCCTTTTTGCAGAAATGGCTCTTAGTAAAGTAGGGAAGAGTTATGAATGCTCCCTGCACCCTGATGTCACCCTCCAACCCCACCCACTCACAGCTCACTGTGGGCATAAGGAGACAAGTAGCACCTCCTTGGGGACATTCTGTGTCTCTAGACAGGTCCTAACGGGTAGGGTTAAAGGGAGGAGGAGGAGAGAGTGAGAGTGGACATGTTGTACTTGCAGCCAAGGCGAGGTAGCCTGTGTGTGGGGTTTTTTTTGCATGAATGTTTATGTTAGAAATTCAACTGAGCGGGAGAAGCTATTTGCAAATTTGAGTGCACGACCATGCATGGGCGAAGAAGAGACATTAGGAGCTGTCAGAGCTGCTTACTGGACGTCTGACAGACTGGCTGAGAGACTCAGCAGCCATCCAGGAGAGGCAAGCTCTGTGGGAAGCCAGTGGGAGTACCAGAGAAGATTCCCTGTCAGAACGCAGCAGCATCAAAACTTAAGGGACATGCTCGACTCTCCCTCTCAGCGCTGCCTCTCTACAGATGAAACGGACACCTCTTTATCTCCCTCTACAGCCTATGTTACTGATACACAGTTGGTGTGTTAAGATTTCATTAAATTGTGCTGGTTCTGAATGTTGTGTTTGTATCCTTCCATAGGGTGTGGGTAAGAATAAAATAGTGGACCGGTTCCTGCACCTGCTGAACAGGCCAAGAGAATACCTACAGCTCCACAGGTAAGGAGAAGTGTTTAACCCAAACACAAAGATCAAAACTTTTTTGAACATTCACACATCAGTTTGTGAAATATTATGCTCATTTCAGGTTCATACTTGTATTTAGGGGATCGACTAGTTTATTTTTCCAGACATTTCCATCAAAAATAAAGTGAATCCTATGGGTCGCAACAGATGGCGTGAGTAGATGAAGAGTTTTGTGTAGCAGCCAAGAACAAAGGAATTGGACTGGACTGTTACCTAACCTTTTGTGGTGCCATGTTGCTCTATGATGTCATAGCAAAATGGAAGAGGAGGCTGAATTTAAATGAGGCGCGCCAGGCAGTGTTTTCTGTGGGAGACAGTAACTCCCTTTGGCAGACCTTTTACATGCACAAAAAAAACTATATAACATACTTAAGCACAGGGAAACCCCAAAAGGCATAATATGGCCTCTTCTCTTTTAAAACTTTCTCTGAATATGTTCTTTAAAAAAAAAAAAAGCACAATAGGTCCTTTGCGATACATTTTTATTCAGACAGCTTCTGTATTCACGTATAGAGTCGTCCGTGTGTGGGTAACCAGCTGCAGAGCCACAGCTCTCCAGTTCACTATCAATTATCAATCGAGGGCCATTTTCAGGGTCCAAAATTAACAGTTTGTTTTTACAAGACAAAATTGTTTTTACCAGACATAGAATTGCATCATTTGACTAAAAATAATTACCTCAAGTTTTGAACCTTTCTGAACCTTTTGACTTTCAGATTTTAGCTTAGACCACGTTCACACCGCAAGTCTTAATGCTCAATTTTTTGCTCAGATCCGATTTTTTGTTTGGCTGTTCACATTACCTTTTAAAATGTGGCCTATATCAGATTCCAGTGTGAACTTTTTGCGGTTTCGAACTGACCCGCATGCACAAAAGAACAATAACAATGACATCAGACGCAGCACGCTGTTGCACTAAAGTTAGGGAGGTTATGGAGGAAGTAAGCATTTTCGCTTTTATTTCAAAATGTTTGTGTAATGGCAGCCGTAACATTAATGAGCAGGTGCTGAGGAGGAGAAGAATGAAGAGAAAGAGAGCCAAATTGGCTATTTTGGCCTTTTGCGGGGTTATTGCTGCAAATTGGCTTATTATTAACTCGCCGGCGCATAATTGTGGCAAATGTCGATGTATCAAATCCGCCTTGGTTGTTCACACTGCGGCCGCTTTGAAAAAAATGGGTCTGATTCAGGACCACATATGGAAGTGGTCTAAATCTGATTTGAAAAAATCAGATCTGGGCAGTCTGAACGTGGTCTAAGACCTTGGGGCTCCTGTGTTGTTCAGATGCCAACGCTTGCAAAAAAACACTGACCATTGTGACTATTCTCCTCATTAGGAATGTGTCGCCAAATCTCTTAATGCGCAACACAGATTATTCTTATAGCAAAAGAAAAGAAAGTTTAGAAAGTACCAAATAGTAGCAGCTGCTTTGATTTGATTAACTGACGTCATGATACGGTGGGCAGTGAGGGTCACATTAGTCTCAGCCAAAACATTTCAACTTTGCCCTACAGTATGTTTACAAAATCTTTACCATAGAAACCCATGGGTGAACCCAATTTATTTTTCTGCCAAAACCAAAATTTAGCAGCATTTGCAGCTTGGCGAGTATTAATTTCAGACCCTTTATTATTTTTCGAAGGGGGGTTTAACAGACACAGAGCAGAACAGAGAAATGCTTCCTTATTATTTCATCTCCTGTGTCAGTCAGTGTAGCTGTTCACCCCCATACACGGAACAAACGCCATGAAAGTGTCCCATAAACGCTGACCACCTACCTGTAATGAACCTGAGAGTTCATCATGAACTCTGCATCATTTAAAAAATGAAAAGTCAAACGGGTGTGAAGTGTGTCAATACTACTGATAAATGAGCATTTGTGAGCAAGTGCTCGCCTGTATTGTCATGAAATAATCCTGGAAAATGATTTGGAAAAAGAGTGGGAACCCTGTGGGCTGAGTCCTTACTGCAGCGGACTGTGTTCGATTCCAGCCTGCTGCATGTCATCCCCTCCCTCTGCGCCCATTTCCTGTCTCTCCTCCACTGTCTCTCTGTCCATTAAAGGCAAAAAAGTCTGATAATAATTATTATAATAATAATAAGAAGAAGAATAAAAGTCTCAGTTTCTCCGGTGTTTTAATACTGCATCTTGCTATTACTGTTGGAATATTGAGAGGCTCCCTAATGGGATATCAGTCTCTAAAACACGTCAGTATCTACTGTGATGTACTGGAATGCTTTTTCAGGAGTAATAATCTCATATTTTTTCTCAAGTACTTATAGTTTCCCAATAAGAGGAACAAAGTCTATTTAAGAGAGATGTGGGCAGCCAGAATTTTCTCTTTCCCATATAAGGGTGTCAAACATTATTTTGGTCCTCAGGAAATTAGGCCATCCTTCACTAGAACAAGGACTTCACATGCCCATATTAAAGAAGAACCGTTTGAAGAAGTCCTTGTTAGCTCAGGTCCACTGCTTCTATAAATACGAATACTCACACGATCACAACTCAGGAAAATTAGGTCACAGGCTCACACCTCAGGAAAATCAGGTCAGAGTTGCTCATCCATAGATCAGTGTGTGGTGTGCTGTGAAATCAGCCATGCTGTTGAATGTAGCTTGGAGGCAGGGATGGGCCTTGTATTGATTTTGGCTCTAATAAGAAGGCACTGTTTCAGAGTCGATGAATCTGTGACAGGAGATAGGCAGCAAACAAAATGCCAATAAAAGTCATCACTTGTATGAACCTGAAGAACTGAAGTAACGCTTCAATCCTGTATCAATGGCAGAGTCAGTGGTGGCCAACAAGACACATGTAGACATTTCTCCTCTCGGCCTGCGTGTGCAGTTCGTCAAAGTCTTGTGAAAGTTGAAGTGGAGCCGAGCATGGATGTGGCCTGGTTAGCTACTGTAGCAGCAGCTAATATTAGACCGGAGCAGAGGCAGGGAGATCTGTGCATGTGGCTTTTGGGAGCCTGTGACTGAGAGCCTACAGAGATGTGGCTCAGAAAAGCAAGAGAGATGCAGCCAGCCAGGAAGGAAACTAGGACGGCTCCTGGGTCACACTGCGAGACGTCGAGGAGAGAGGGATGTTCAGAGAAAGAGGGGAGGGGGGTCATTTTAGGCACCTCTAGGGAATCAAAGTTGTTGGGGGAGATGCTGGGGAGACGTTTGTGTCGCTGGCTTGTTGAACTCAAGTGCAGTGTTACTGACACCCTTTTTCACTGGCCTGCATCTGACGATTAACCGCTATAAAAATAACTTGCAGTTGGGAGCAATGAACTGTTAGAGAGGAAAAGAGAAATCTGACATCACTTTTTATTAGAAAGAGACCTGTTCCTAATAATTGATAAATGAAGGTTTTTAAGCTGCACATTTTATATCTTACCTAATTCTTACCTCATTTTGATTGATTTTTCAAAACTTTATAAATGAATATCTACAGCGTCATCCCCATATCTTGCATGTGTGTGTATAAACTTGTTTTCTGCTCCCCCAGGGATACAACGGTCCAGACTCTGACCCTGCAGCCCTCAGTCCGAGACGGCATCATCATGTACGAGGACTCACCTCTGGTCAGTTAGCAACACACACACACACTTCCTTTGTAGTTATTTTTACCGGATCATTTTCCTTGCATATGTAGTAAATATTTTTTCACAGCCCACTAAATCCAGAAATAAAAGTGTGGTTTTTCTTATCAGTCACCAGTCCTGGTCCTTTAGAGATTCAGCTGTGGCCATCTGATCTTTGGAGACAACACACTGTGACCTCATAAATATGAGGTGTAATTACATGGCAAAGTACTAATTCTTGAAAATGGACATGAGTGAATGACAATAAAAGTTTTTTAATAGCATGACACAGTAGCTCTACAATAATGTTTTTTTTTACAATTTTTTAAATTGGTCATATTTGCTGAAACTTTCACTAGGAGGAGTCAGAGGAACCTGATTTTTTTCCACAGATTATCTGTCTCATGTACTACTGTCAGGATATAGTGAAAGTTTCAGTGAATATGATATGAAATATGTTATTTTTATTAAAGTTACTTACTGCAGCTTTAACATAAAGTCTCCACATCTAACTTAACGATTACATGAATGCAAATCTTTGGATTTTTATTAGTTTGCCACATTGCACATATTCTTTATAATGTGAACATTTGCACCTTCCTTTGTCAGTATGTTGCTGTTGGAGATAAAAATTAACAAATCAAATCAAATTTATTTATAAAGCACATTTTAAAAACAATCCTTGTTAACCAAAGTGCTGAACAGACCAGAGCAGGTGGACAAAATCACTATTAAGAGAAACCTAAAGAACGAGAAACATCAATGCACACAGCTCACAGATAAACACATAGGCACCAGACAAGAAATCAGCTACATCAGGACGATTCGAACACCAGAGTAAAAGTATGTTCTGAGCCTGGAGGGGCCAGATCTGGTATGGAGGGGGTTGCTGTCCCACAGTCTAAGGGCAGAAAAAGGGAAAGCTTTCTCACCCCTGTGCTTAAGTTTAAAATCCAGGACAGCCAGGAGCCCTAAGTCAGCCGACTTGAGGGACATGGATGTAGAATAAGGGGTTGGGAAGTCTGCGATATAGGAGAGGGCCAGCCCATTAATGGCTTTTTAAACAAATAGATCTATTCTGAACCGTACTGGCAGCCAATGGAGAGAGGTCGGAATAGGCGTAATAATCTCCCTCTTCCATCTAGCATACGAACCAGTTGCAGGTGGGACAGGGATGACTGAATTATCCCAGTATACAGGGAGAGGCAGTAGTCCAGGTGGGAGGATATACAGGCTTGTTTAACTTTCTCAAGATCTTTCAAATACAGAAACTGCTTAATTTTGGCAATGGCACCAAGCTGGAAAAAACTGGCTTTTACTAAAAGGTGGAGTCAAATATCACACCAAGGAACAAATTCATATTTAAAGGCCCCAATGGTCCTAACATTATACATTCCATCCTCCACCTTTTAAACACTAGCTCTATTTATTTTAAAGCAGGAGTATTTGACACATTTCTATTGTAAATTTCTAGTTTATATTTATGGTTCTTGACTTTTGCAGTTCATCTACCTGGCAATAAACCAATTTCTGACTGACGAACTGTGGAATGGAAATGGTTGAACTGTCTACGAACTTAATTTGGGGGTGAAATGAAGGATCCAACATTTAGCAACATCCTCTGGAGCAGACATTAGCAAGAGAAGACACTTAAAACATGGAGTGAGAGACAGGTACTGAAACAGGAAACAGGAGCACAAGTATCAGACATGTCAGGCGTATTTGAAAATAGCTCTGGTCACTCCGTGTATCACACCAGCAGGAGGGAAAACAAGGCATTGTGGTCTTTTTAATCTGTCTGCCACCCAGCTTCCATAATGTACCCACTATCCATCCTGCTTTCTTTGTCTCAGCTTCCATACCCCTCTCATGCCCCTCTCCCCTTACTGACTCACCTTCATATCTGACTTCAGTTGACCGTTCTCACAACAGACATTGGACTTGTAATGGCAGAAAAAGCACAGGTGTAACTAATAATATTAATGAACGCCCCAGTTAGTGCTGCCAATGAGCCAGTAATAGCGAAAACTGGAACACCGACACGGAAAACTGTCACTAGTCTGTACACACCAAGCCCAAAGGAATAACTCTGTGCTTTCAGGTGATTTTGTCATAGTGGCCTCACTTGGTATTGCAGTATATCATGGCTCACCCTGGACCAAAAAAAAGAAGCAACTCCAGAGTGCTTGCTCTTATGGGCCTGAGGTTTCTTTTGGTTTATCCACCCAACAGAGGTGGAATGTAATTAAGTACATTTACTCTAGTACGGTATCTAAGTACAAATGTGAAGTGCTTTTACTTTTATACAACTTTATAACTCTACTACATCTCAGAGGAAAATATTGTACTTACCAGATGTGTTAATTGTGAATGTTTGAGACAAACTGAAGGATGAAGTGTTCCTGTACGGGTTGAGAATATTCTCCTATTTCTTAAGCTAAAATCAATTAAAAATGTAAACACCCTCTTGGATTAGTTGGAAAATGCATCAACACAAAGCTGAAAAGAGGGCTGCTTTACTGGCTATAACGCAACAACAGCAACATTTGGTGTGGTGCAGTGTTCAAAGGATGATTCTTTTTATACATGAGGTCAGTGGATTTGACAGTACAGCATAGATTTGTGTATGAGTGATAATATTTACATATTTTAAAAAAACAAGTACTATTTTACAGGTAATATTAATGCAAAAACATAATATATAATAGTAAAAGTACTTTAAGTCAATTGTGCTTATAATACTTACATACATATAAAAAAAATTGGATTGTGATATTTTATTATGCGATATTGTATTGATTTTCAAAAACAATTTTTTGTTACTTTTGTTTAAACTTGCAACTAGACATCAGTTTTGTAAACAAACAAACAATATACAGTATCTCCTGGCTTACAGTATCGCAGTATATTGAATCGTAACCCCTGTAATGTGGCATGTATCATATCACCAGATTCTTGCCAATACACAGCCCTACTTGGAACGCATAGTCCAGTTCTATTAATACCTTCATGGTGCAAGTGTACATTGTCCTGAGATGAGGTCTAATTAGGCAAAATAAGTGAATACACCTGTGTGGCTGGATAGTGGGTGTGTAGGGCCTTTAACAGGAAATTTCAGTTTGATAGAACTGTAATTTATTTACATAGTTGTGGCCATTTGTTAGTTATAATGACATTGTACTCACCGAGTGAGTTGCTGAGTTCTTCCTTATACAGAAGTGTGACAGTCAGATGATCAGACAGATTGCCAAAGAGGTCACACCTAACAACTATAACAGTCTTTCTAATGTGCATGTTGTTTCCTCCTATTAACTCATGCAGAATACTTATTTATATTTTTATTGAGTTCAAGATATAGAGCCGTACAATGTATAGAAACCTTGTAACTGGGGCACATGGTGGAGGGCGCCCCAATGTTGACTGGGTCATTGCCACAGTGGCCCAGGTTCAGTTCTGGCCCACAGCCCTTTGCTCCCATCTATCTTCACCTTTCCTATGAAAATAAAGGCATAAAAAGCCCCAAAATATATTTGAAAAAAACTATTTCCTAAGGGTTGATGTTGCAATGATTTTCCAAACCAAGTATATGCTATTCAACAAATGGTCAACTGATCGATTAGTTGATGATTGTTGGATTGTCTGCCAGCTGTTTCTCATGAAGTTCTAAAAAAGTTCTGAAATACCTTTTATACTACAGTTTTTTCTGTGTGTGTTTGCAGGTGAAGGCAGTGAAACTGGGTCACATATTAGTGATCGACGAGGCCGACAAAGCTCCCACTAACGTCACCTGCATCCTTAAAACCCTAGTTGAGAGCGGGGAGATGATTCTGGCTGACGGACGCAGAATTATCTCAGGTACATGCATTTACACACTCATGCAGGGTTTAACACCTTGACAACAGACATGTCCCAGATACAGCGTGCAGATAGAAGTAGGACCATTAAATGGATGAGATGAGGATTGGATGTCCCAGAAGCCAAACAGGAGTAAAACATCAGATGCAGGCAACTAATGGAGGCTTAGGATAAAAGCCTTTATGGACAGGTACCAGTAGATTCTGGATTATGCTGGATTGTAAACTGTAGATTTTCCAAGCAGTCCCACGCAGTCACACTAGTTGCTGACAGCTTCTCCATTCTTCCCTGAGGAATGTAAACACAACCTTGACAAATCTCCCGATGCTGTGAGAACAGTAGAGGTGTTCAGTCACACGAATCAACAGATGCAGGAACGGTGTGAGTGAGAGTGCCCGTTGTGGTGTGTTTGTTTGCTGGTCAGTCCATGTGCTAACTGGCACTGTGTCTCCTCCAAAGATCCACGTGAAGCTGAGGGGAGGCCCAACACCATAGTCATGCACCCGGACTTCAGGATGCTCGTGCTGGCTAATCGACCTGGTTTTCCTTTCCTGGGAAATGACTTTTTTGGAGCTCTAGGTACACACGCATGCACACAAGACCTACAACGTGCAGCAGAGGACCAGTAATGTTTTATTTCATAACAAACTCTACAGTATATTTAAAAACTTAGCTGCTCAGATAAATTTGGAAAAGAAATTGGGACTGAGGTGGCTCCTATTAAATGATCTGATCTAATTGTTCTCTGCCCTTCTGTATCAAGGGAAAAAGAGATTATCTGATGTTTTTATGGGTCCACTAAGTACTAAATGTGGTTGTTAGATATCCACAGAAGAGGGGCCTGTTTCAGGAAACCGTAGAGATAGCAGAAATTGGGGGAATGTAGAGATGGGGAGTGGCATGCGACAAAGGTCCCTGAGCAGTCTCAAACCGTGGACAGTGCAGCTCACGGTTGGCACCTTGAACCCCTAGTCCTCCAGGGGGCTCCAAGCAGGATCTCTTTAGACGTTCAACCGATAAGTATACTCACTGAAGCCTGGAATTTGAGAGTCATTCATGATCTCAGCATTTCATTTATTTCTATGAAGAAAACTACATTAAATAGTTTAAGATATAAAGATAAAAAATCTCACCGCAAAGGGCACGGTGAAGGCTTGAACAGAAGCTATATTTACAGACCTTCACTCTCTGATAAACACCCTCTTCCTGCATTAGTACACAGTTAAAACGACCAAAGATCTAATAGAACAATAAAAAAAACCACAGAATATTTAAAAAAAGAAGCCAAATTAAGTGTATATGATTGTTAAAAATGAAGAAATTATAATACAGACAGAATTATATAAAACATTCCTGACAATATCAGTAAAACTCATCTCTGATCAATATTCACAGGAAATAATTTGCTCAAAATAAATCCAAATCACTGGTTTTACACAATCTTCCGGCATTTATTGTGTTCACTGTTTGGGTTATTGTACAGTTTATCAGTTGTTCTCTACTGTTATTGTTATGCATTGAATATAATATGAAATATCTATAAAATATGTCAGTTTACTCAGTGATAGAAAAGGGCTCCTTACAGAAAAAGGATGGGAACCACTGTTGTAGATGGTGCTCATCAGCAGGTCTACATCTGCAGGTTAAAGGGTTAGGGTTAGGGTTAACTGCAGGTGACGCAGCTTAGACTGTAACTTCTTCTAGGTTAGGGTTATAACCTGAGCACCTATCACTACTGACTAGTTATCGTCATCTGAACAGGTGATATTTTTAGCTGCCATGCTGTGGACAATCCAAAGCCCCAGGCGGAGCTGGCAATGCTTAAACAGTACGGCCCTGATGTTCCCGATGCTACTCTGCAGAAGTTGGTGGCTGCCTTTGGAGAGCTTAGGTCTATGGCCGACCAGGGCACCATCACCTACCCCTATTCCACCCGAGAGGTGGTCAACATTGTCAAACACCTCCAGGTAAGAAGATCGACGATATGTATCCCTCAACAGTGCTTTTGCTGTATTATCTCAGGTTTGGTCTCAGACTGTTTTTGATCAGTAATTCATGCTGGATGCTTTAATAATGCAAGAGTGTTCTAACAACACAGCTGTGACAAAGACTGTGCTCCCGCCTCAGCCCAGACCAACAAGAACACGCACACATGGACTCACGCACACACCTCGACATATGCTGTTAAGAAAGAATGGCCATATAATCTGTAGATCTCAGAGGGAGTTTTCGCACTGGCCCTGGTAATGCTAGAATTTAAACTACAATGGAAGGCAAACATGGGCAGTTGCAGCTGTTCTGAATGGCCAAACTTGAAGGAAGGGAGAAAAGCCAGCCATCATAGAACAGGGCGAGATGGGATGATAGGAAAATCTCATGTCATTATTATCCTGGCCAAAATAACTGTGATTCACAATATTATTACAATAATCATGAAATGTGCTTAAAATGCTTAAAATTCCACAAAAACATACTGGAATCACTTTACCTTACATTTTGTCATTCTTTAGTTATGGACACACAGTAGTACACATCTACACATCAGTTCCCCCTCGTCCCCTTGTTCAAAAGGAATCAGGAAATCGAGATAGAACTGTATATTAATGAGCTATCTAGCTTGTTCAAGTCACTCCCAATAATGCAAATTCACCACGATATCCTGTTTATGTCACAATAAAATCATATATCATCGCGTCCCTAAAGCATAATAATGTATTACTCCTGGAAGGCATAGGTAGTGTTCTCACTCACAAAAACAACAGAAAGAAATATTTGTATAAAGAATGGAGAAAAAAAAAAGATTGAGAGACAAGTTCAACCCCTGCTTACTTTCTCCACACATCTGGCCAATCACTGTGTGAAGTGGGTGTAATGAATGTCTGAATGTTGAACATTTCCAACAGTTTCCAACACTGTAAAGGTTTCTGTAAATCAAAAAAGACAAAAAGAAATGGCATGGTAGTTTAAAGCAGTGTTTCCCAACCTGTGGGTCGGGACGCCCACAAAGGTTTATGGTGCGGTTGTGAGGCATTTGTGATTTTAGGGCGTGTAAGAAAAAATATACACAGTAGGCCTGTGTCTCAGCATTTGGTTCATTTCTGTGAAGAAAAGTAAATTTAAGAGAGGCAGGGAGATGCAGGCACAGAGAAACACATTGAGCATAGGTAAACAGAATAAATCTGAGGATAGGGTTACATGTTATATAAAATAGATATTATCTGTCTGTAAATTTACTATCTGAATTCCATTTACATTATAAAGTACCCCCCCCCATTGTCTCTGCTTTTCTGTCCTTCCACCCACCCATTTCACCATTCGTCCCTCTACTTCCCTCATTATTCACAAATTTCCACCAACTTGGCACATCTGAGTAATTTTCACGTCCTTTGGAAGTCTGATATCCTCAAAGTAACATATTTCATGCTGAATGTGACCCTTGTATTCAATCTGTATGATATTACCGAACAGACATCAATGGGAAACAATTTATTTATCCCAATTTAGAGTTGGTAGCCAAGTGATTCTTGAAAAAAAAAAAAAAAAATCCCCTCAAGACACAGTTTAACATCCTTAAATGATTAGCAGATTGCATTGTTGCCATGGTTACCACAGGTTTTATTCAGTTGTATTGCTTTTATTGCCATTGTGGTTTGATTGTTTCAGTAATAAACAGCTTGTCCATTCTTTTATTCCAGCAGTATACACACATGCTGCATTTGCATTTAATGATCAGGGTTGTCACGTTCCCCTGTCCCCAGTATTTAGTCCAGACAGGAGGAGAAATAACAGCAAGGGAGCAGAAGAGGAGGGCTTAGAGAGGAGGAGAATTAAGATTCCAGCTTGCATTAGTGACGATCAATAATTCAGTGCACAGGGACAAGCCCTAATGTTTGATTTCCCCACTGGCCACCCTGTTCTGTCATCAGTCACCACCGCCATTGACATCTACTGGAGCGGGACAGATATGGGATAATTTAGTCCGAGTCTAAATTGCTTTTTCTGAGGCAATGGCCTGTTGTAGGGTCTAATTACCTTTTCGCATTTGGTCACAATTGGGCTTCTGTGGTAACCGAGAATCACATCGATACAGCCCGATGCTCTTTAAATTCAATCTATGTTTTACTTGTAACCAGTCAAGATTATTGATTGTGCAGCAATTTACAGGCTTAACAGTGTAAATACATTGTAATATGTAGGTCAGAAAGTCCCTCCTAATAATGCCTCAGAATCCAGGGCTGTTAAGTCATTACAAGCATTGTGTCTTTAAAAGTGTATACAGACATTAAAATGCAAGATTACTCCCATCAAGACTGTAGACAGTGTTTTTAAAGTGAAGCAGCTGTTGTGATCATGTTATGTTCATTTTCTATCAGTTATATTGATGTGCACCAGAGGGGTGGATATTGAACCTTTGTTGTTTTCTGGTGTAAAATTTAACAGCGAGTATTGAACGCTGGTATCAAATCATCATTATAATCATCCTGTTTGCCTCTTCTTTCATCAGATAGTTGTTTAAACCAAAACCTTGCCAATTTCAGAATATATTATTTAGACAAAGTTCTTATATAACTCATTTTGCTGAGCAGAGATGGGTACCAGAAATTGGATACCAGAAATGTACTAGTTGATGCCAGTGATTTGATACCACGGTAAAAAACAAAAACAAAACAATAAATTCTATGTTCTTCAACATACACTCATTTATTATAAACAATTGAACTTTACAAACAACAGCAGTGGCATGTAGCCTTCAGGTAATAGATAAAAAGAAACAATTACTCAGCCTACTCTACTTATCTGTTAGCTTTCCACTCTGCAGTTGATCGATTTGTTTTCATATAGATTGTCTGCCAGTCAATATCAGCCTACATTAATCAATTTTAAAATCACAGTTATAGTTTTGTGGTTCGTTGTCAGTTTGAGAGTCACAGTATTAATATCAACACAAAAGCTGTCATCATTACGGACGAGTCCTCCTCCTCCTGCATGCTCTGCAGCCGCGACCCCTCGCCTTAACAACATGTGGAGGAATTTCTGATATCGGAATTGAAACAGCAGGATCATCAAAAAGTTGGTTTGGGTGCTCTAAATGGTTGCTTGTGAATAATCTGTCTGCCATATTTTACAGTAATATCTTGCCCGATCTGTAGGTGTGTCAATATAATAGAACATGAGTGTTCTGTATTTATTTTCATCTCCAGACAGTAAAAGATATCCTATTGACAGTTTATTTGGTGTATTTCGTGACATTGAGACATACATGTATCTACCTACAGTCATCTGGATAATGTTTCCCAACATTTTGCAACAAGTGTAGCGTCTGTCTCTGCTTTTGCTTCCAGTCTCCCCCTCTCTCTGTGTGTCACCCTTTATTGCCTCTTTACCAAAGTATCACCATAGTTACTGTACAATACAGAACATTTATTGAGGCAAAAGAACTTGTATCTCTCTAATTATATCACAAACACAATAACTAATGCTGAGCGTCAGCAGGAGAAAAACGTCTTCTCTTTGCACTCATCTGTCAGTGTTATGTTCAGAGTCTAGAGATGAGTTATCTTCCAGATAGTCTCATTCCAGACTCCGTCCCTGCATTGACCTCTGTTGAAGACTTGTAAATCATATTAACTGTCGTTCCTTCTCCCCTCTTCACCCTATCTTCTCTATTTTTCCTTATTCTTCCTTCTACTTGCCACCCTCCCTGCTCTAATATCCTTTTTTTAATCTCCCTTTCATTGCTCACACTATCCTCCCTCTATCCTTTTCACCTTCACCCCCCCCTTTCTTGTCCATTTTTTCGCCAATGACTGTCTCCTACTTCCACCCCTCTCTACTCTCTTAACTTCCTCTTCCCTACCTTTTCCCTCTCTCCTGCCTCCCAACAGAAATTCCCAGATGAGGGTTTGGCCAACGTGGTGCGAAACGTCTTCGACTTTGACTCATACAACAAAGACACGCGAGAGGTTCTGATCGAGGCACTGCACAAGCACGGGATTCCCATCGGAGCCAAGCCCAGCTCTGTCACACTGGCTAAGGAGTAAGGCATCAGGAGCACAAGACACTAAAGGAAAAACCACGCACACGCACAGTCAGAAAAGGGTTAGAGTAGGGCGATGGATGATAAATGGGCATTACTTGATAGCATACCTGGCTATGCGATAAATCTCATTAAAATGAAGAGATTGAGAACCCTCACCAGTGGGCCACCACAGCTAGGCTAAAAGTTTTCAGAGTTTTTAGAGCATGCTAAGGTGTCCTTACTGTACTTTCAGAGCAGAGCTGAAACTATTAGTTCACGAAATGATTAAAAGAAAATTTGTTGCCAGCTATTTTGATAATCGATTAATTGTTTCAGTCAAGCAAAAAATATCAAACATTTGCTGGTTCCAGCTTCTTATAGTTGGAAGCTGATTTCTTCACAGATTATCTGTCTCATGTTCTACTGTCAGAATAGGATAAAAGTTTCAGTAAATCAAGTTACCTACTGCAGCTTTTAATGTAAAGATTTGCTGCTTTTCTTTATCGTGTATGATAGTGATTGGACTGTTGGTTGGACAAAAGAAGCCATTTAAAGACACTTTGGGCTCTGGGATATTGTGATGAGCCTTTTTCAAAAAATGTTGACATTTTAAAGACTGAGCAATTAATTGATTAATGGTGAAAATAATCAGCAGATTAATGGATAATAAAATTAATCGTTAGTTGCAACACTACTTCAGAGAGGACACCCGACAGTGACTGATAATGTAAAAGTACAACCCTTTTTTGTGTTCTCCTGCAGTCCCCATTGGAGAACCATTTTTCTTGCCAAGTGGAGTTCTTTCTCTGGGTTCCAAATTGAAATCTATCATAGTGTTCTAGTTAATTGGGTTAACTCCTAAGTCAACATACTCTAGATAGATATTTGAAATGTACCAGCAGTTAAAGATGCTTATGGTTCTCAGCATTATCTTAACAGATGACAGATGTTTTTTTTAATCCTTAATTACAGTTTTAATAGCCTTGATTTTTACCCCATGTCATTATGTTGTAGAATAGTGAAGATAAAATTAACACAAATTACAATCTATATTTTAGAAATCAAGGCTAACAAAACACATTATTTTTTATCACTTTTTAACCCTCCAAAAGGTTCCAAAATTGCTCCTCTGAAGTGGATTTGTTCTTGATATTACTGTTTTTACTGTCTCAGAACTTTCCCAGAAGCTTGTCAGCAGAAAGTGTTTTCATAGAGGCCAGAAGTTCTAGGTGGAACAATTTTGAAACTCCCTTTTTGCGGAAGTACCTGTAAGACATCAATTTCCAATTTTAGAGGATTTGTTACTTTATGAAATGAAATCCTGAAACGCTTGAAATGGGCAAGACATTGTTGTCTTCAGCCCTGTGACTGGATTTTGAGGCTTCCATGAAGTCTCCTCTCTGCTTCCTGAAGTGTTAAATGAATGGCTGTCTATAGATCACTCACATTACCTCACCTTTCCCAGAAGGGGAAGATAACATTACATTGTCTCATTATGTACAGCTTTGTCTTTTAAATAAAGGAAAATATTTGTTTCTCCTGTCTCCTGTGCTTTTATTTAGACTTATAACGTCCAGAAATTCAGTTTCATGAATCTCTCAAGTAGAGTATTGAGAAGAGCGCAGGGCAGAAACAAGTATTTTCCTTGAACAATCAAAACTGATTGTATAAATTATGTGTTTGATTATGTCTGTTATTCCATCATCCAGGCTGAGTGAATGACTTTGTTTTTGTTATTTATAGCCCATCTTGGACAGTTTATATCCCAACATCTCATATAAACATAAAAGCAAATAGTCTGTCCCTTCATATCTAATTTTGGACATAGAAAACAGGAAACATTTTTTTCCTATGTATCTCTTTGCTTCTCTATTGATAGAAATATGTATGGTTAGAGGCCTGTCCATCCTCCAACCCGTTTATCCCCCTCGGAATTTCTGTCCTTTCTATCTTTTACCCCACCTGCAGCCAATAAGACCGTGGCCACGATCCAGCTGTGATTCATGGGAAGACCAATGAACATCTTGCCAGACACAACAAGCCGGGACTAGTAGTAGGGGCTAAAACACACAAACAGACGCTGTCCCGCATATATTGGCTGTACCCGTCATTTAGTGGCGGACCTCTCATGAGATGAGTTAACTTACAGTAACTGGGGATGCAAAATGGTGACAGCAAAACCCATAATTTTCTAAAATGGAAAATTAGAACACAGCAGCATGTTTGCCAAGGTGCACCGTCAAAAACTCAAACATACAAAAACATATGCCATTCATTTATCACAATTTCTTTTTATTATTACTAGTAACACTTTATTTTAAGGTACACATATATTCACCATTAGCTAGTTGCTTATTGGCATCCATATTAGTAGCACATTGGCTGTTTGAGTCCTTATAATGCACTTATTAATGCCCAATTCTGCATGACCATATTCTACAACTACTAGTCCAATAACTTTAATTAAGTTTTTCCTCAATAACCTTCTAATTACTGCTTATTGATCGTAAGTAAGGGAGTTGTTGTATATGAATTATGATCTTAAAGCTGCACAAGGTCATTTTTATAAAAATATTTTTTGTCATATTTGCTGAAACTTTACTATATGCTGATGGTACGACATTGAGACAGATAATCTGTGAAAAAGATGCTTTGCGCTAGTGGTGAAAGGTAGTTGATTTAAGGTTACATTAAGGGAGAATGAGTATTCTTGTGGTACTGCCACCTTATAGGGCCCATACTGAGCAAAACACATTAAGATGCACAACAACTTCCTTACTATCAATAAGCAGTTAATAGGAAGTTATTGAGGGAAACTATTAGTTAATGGCCTAGTGTTTGTAGAATATGGTCATGCACAATAACACATTAAAAGTGCTTAATAATGACTAATATGCATGCTAATAAGCAACTAGTTAATGGTGCAATTGTGTTCCCTAATATAAAGTCTTACCTCATTAATAGTATTAGTTATATCTCAGGAATTCACATTTTTATTAGGCGTCACCAGGCAGTTGTCATCAGTTGTGACCTTCCATCTCTAGGTTGCCCCTGCCGGAGGTCAAGATGACAGGGTACTGGACAATAAACCAAGGTGTCAACGCTCGCCGCAAACTGCTCTGTCCAACTGAGACACACCTCATAGACATAAAGGTATTCACACACACTCTCATATAGACAGTCTTGACAGTTCACTAGCAGCAAATAACAGTGTGTTCCCCCACATTTCCCATCTCCACATCTCTGTGCTTAAATAGTAATGTGACCAGAATCACCCTCACACACTATAGGTTTAAAGTGGTTGTGGTCAGGTTGAACTGGAGTCAGATTCTATTAGCGTGGATTTTACAGCACATAAAAAGTAGGACAACATTTCTAGAAACTATATTATTTTGCTAAAATACACTGCTTCTTTCTTGGGCAGTCATGCCTGCTATGCTGATCATATGGAAGCACCACTGAGAAGTAGATTATACTACAGCAGCAGTTGAGAAGTTTCTATGGAAATTGCCACAAGTCTTAAAAATACTTAAAAGTGCTTAAATTAAGAAAATAATATTCAAGACATGACAGTGCTTGGATTTACTGAGCAATGAAGAGGTCCTCAAAATACTTAGATTTAGCCGAGCAGAATCTCTGAGTTTGAGCATCATCTGAGAGTTCACCCATGATACCATTCATACATTTGGACTGCTGGGCCAAGCTTGATACACTTTCTTCTTATCTATCACTCTATGCCAAGGGGTTTTTTTTGAGTGAATTTCCACAATATTTTATTTGGCGTAATCATGAATTCAACATTTGATACCTAAACATTCAGTGGCCATTTTCTCAAAACGACATTTTGCTTACACTGTATTCATAATATATATACTTTATTGATCCCATATTGGGGAAATTCTTTTTTTCACTCTTTTTTATTCTTACACACACACACACACACGCACACACACACAGGCTGTAATGTGCACTTGTGGACATGCGAACAGGGAGAGAGCTGGGCTCGCCACGGTAGCGCACCCATGAGCAGTTTCTTTGGGTTTCACTTGGGCCTTGCTCAAGGGCACCTCGGCAGTGCACAGGAGGTGAAACTGGCACCAGCTACCAGTCCACACTCCATATTGTGGTCTGGGATTTGAACCGACGACACTCCAGTTACCAAGCCAAGTCCCTACACGCTGAGCTACTGCTGCCACAGTTTTCATCCAGTTTTAAAGTGAGATACCACAAAATTTCGCTTTTAGAAATAGCTAGTAATGGTCAATGGTTTTTTTTAAATATCTTTTTTCATTTTATTAGAATTTTTTTTTAAAAATCGTGTTGTTTTTCAGCACATACCTAACCTTAACTTTCCATTTCTACTGCCATCTAATTGAGATAAAGAATTCAAGTCTTTAAATCATACTGTACTGGATTAGCCGAAATCATCACAAAAAACACAACCCCTCCCCCCACCCCGCCCCCCCCCCCCCCCCCAAAAATTTCCCCCCCCCCCCCCCCCCCCAAAAACCAAACCCCCCCCCCCCCCCCCCCTTAACCTCCCCCCCCCCCAAAAATAACCCCCAACCCAAACCCCCCCCAAAAACTCCCTTTCCCCCCCCCCCCCCCCCAAAAAACCCCCCCCAAAAAAACCAACCAACCCCCCCCCCCCCCCCCCCCCCCCCCCCCCCCCCCCCCCCCCCCCCCCCCCCCCCCCCCCCCCCCCCCCCCCCACCCCCCCCCCCCCCCCCCCCCCCCCCCCCCCCCCCCCCCCCCCCCCCCCCCCCCCCCCCCCCCCCCCCAAACTTCCCCCCCCAAAACCCCCCACCACATCAACCATAACAACCCCCCCCCCCCCCCCCCCCCCCCCCCCCCCCCCCCCCCCCCCCCCCTTCTTTCCTCCCCCTCCCCCCCCCCCCCCCCCCCCCCCCCCCCCCCCCCCCCCCCCCCCCCCCCCCCCCCCCCCCCCCCCCCCCTTCCCCCCTACCCCCCCCTTCACCCCCCCCCCCCCCCCCCCCCCCCCCCCCCCCCCCCCCCCCCCCCCCCCCCCCCCCCCCCCCCCCCCCCCAAAAACCACAAAAACCAAAACAAATAAAAAACACACATCCCCCCAAAAACCCCCCCCCCCCCCCCACCCACCCCCACCCCCCCCCCCCCCCCCCCCCCCCCCCCCCCCCCCCCCCCCCCCCCCCCCCCCCCCCCCACCCACCCCACAAAACCACCAAAACAAAACCAAAAAAACCCCCCCCCCCCCCCCCCCCCCCCCCCCCCCCCCCCCCCCCCCCCCCCCCCCCCCCCCCCCCCCCCCCCCCCCCCCCACCCCCCCCCCCCCCCCCCCCCCCCCCCCACCCCCCCAACCCCAAACCAAAAAAAAAAAAAAAAAAAAAAAAAAAACCCACACCCAACCCCCCCCCCCCCCCCCCCCCCCCCCCCCCCCCCCCCCCCCCCCCCCCCCCCCCCCCCCCCCCCCCCCCCCCCACCCCCCCCCCCCCCCCCCCCCCCCCAACCCCCCCCCCCCCCCCCCCCCCCCCCCCCCCCCCCCCCCCCCCCCCCCCCCCCCCCCCCCCCCCCCCCCCCCCCCCCCCCCCCCCAACCCCAACCCCCCCCCCCCCCCCCCCCCCCCCCCCCACCCCCCACCGGGGGGGGGTTTTTTCTTTCCCCCCCCCCCTTCCCCCTTCCCCCCCCCCCCCTTTTTTTTTTTTTATTATAATTTTTTTTTTTTTTTTTTTTTTTTTTTTTTTTTTTTTTTTTTTTTTTTTTTTTTTTTTTTTTTTTTTTTTTTTTTTTTTTTTTTTTTTTTTTTTTTAGTGGTATACTGTATGTGAACATCGACATGACTTATTTGCCTTTAATTTTGAAATAATTTGTCCTCTAAGAGTCCTTAAAAAGTCCTTGAACTTTATCATTACAAGCAAGTAGAAATCCTTTGAGATCCGTTTTGACTGGCATGAGTTTAAACTGACCAAAAGAGCTGTCAGTCAGCAACCACAACAACTTAGAAGGGGGTGGCAGTGGAGATATATGATCTTTGCCTTTCATCTTAAAACGATGTACAGTTTCATGTGTAGTGTCAGTTTGGTTAGACGGCCTTTTCTGCACCCCCGGCAGTTGCAGCTGTGTTCAGCAGTGTTTCATACTTTGTGTGAGTGTGTGTGCACTAGCATTAATGTGTGTCTTGTGTTTCCAGGGCCCTGTGTTTCTACGTGTTCAGGGTTACCCCTGCAACAGACAAGAAAGCAGGGCCTTGAGTTTCAGTGAGGAGAAAGCCCACTGGCAGATTCCCATGAATGAAGTCAACATCATCTGCGATGTCACCACCAAAGATGGTATACACTCACACACAAACACTATCAACACTGTCATACAATACAGTCTCCGGTCTCAGGTTCTGTGTTCATTTAGGGCTATATTAGAGGATCCAGTGGATGAAGTATATAACAAAGGAATGATATAAGATCTAAAGACAAATAGAGCAGAGGCGGGCCTCCCCAGGGGGGCTCCAACAGTTTCAGAGGAGGCTCAGTGAATGGAAGTGAAAAAATATTACATTACTTATTACTTCTCAAAAGGAGATCACATAGATGAGCCCACATGTGAATGTGATTTGGTTAAAGAGAGAGTTCAGAGATACAGTAGTCTTAGGGATTTTTACAGTTTTTCCCTCTTTCCCAGAGTCAGAAACAAATAATGCTTCAGGACAGAACTTTTTTCTGTATCCAGTATAGTCTGGAGGTATTCCAAACAGCAATACTAGGCTATCTTGGCTCAATTGTTGAATGTCTATGGGTTCAAATAACACTGAGGCCCACATTCTCAGACTGGAAACCCCTTACATAGACAGACATTTCACTGACATTAGGTCTTGTGCCCTCACTATGTGTGTAGGTGCACAGCTATGCAGAGAGATAAACACACTTCCAATAAAGGTTAAAGACAATGGATGTCTTTTCACTGGATACAGTTGTGGAACTGTGAAAGCAGTGTTGGCTAAAACACCAACGCTGCCGGCTTACCGGTATGTTTGATCTGCGTCGGGAAATTCACTTTAGAAAGCTGGAAAAATACTTTCTTTGTAACCACACCTTTGCATCACGTCAATTTCTGAGCACATGAACAACCAACACTCCAAGCTGTTGCAGAATATGCGAGGCAGCCATTATGTGCAAGTGAATACGCAGTCAAACGCAAGTATATCTCTGGCCTATGGCTCAAATATCTTTTGTGGTTCCTGAAATTAAATTTTTTTTTGGGTTGCTGACCCCTTTGTTGTACTAAAGGTAATTGAAATAAGATTAGTACGGTAACAAGAAAATCCCCCTCAAAAATGTATAGACTCACTGCCAAATATGTTATATTGTCTTACAGGCCAAGACGAAGCAAATTATCCCCCTAACCCAAAAGTAAATGAATGTTTTACTACTTACAGTAAGTTTTAGACAGTTGGTAAAACAGCTAGCAGGGTGTCTTACACATGATTTTGACAGGTTATGGATGAAGTGAACGTTACTTGTATAAAGCTGCATTTTTCAGTCTCTTTTAAATGTGTTTAAAATTTGTATTGATCATGCTGAAACAACTACAAAATGAAACTGATGGAAGCAATACCAATTTTCTTCATATCTTTAACACTTTTTTGCCAGTATGGACATACAATAGGTCTTGATTTGCTTCATAATGGTCTTAAAAAGGTCTTAAATTTAACCTTAGTCTTAATTGAAACCTGCAGAAACTCTGAGCTAGTGTGATCAGTAATACACTGATTATCACAGAAAATAACATTTAATATCTAAAGTGTCACAAAATACCTGCAAGAATAGTTTATACAGATAATTGTCCAACAAAGGCATTTGGAGAGTGGATACAAGATTCCTGTCAATATGTTTACAGTCACAGATCTGTCGCTTAAACTATCTGCTAGGTATCAGTAGGGGGTTGCTACTGGCAACAGAATGTTAAACTGAAATCAATAATATAATTGCATTCAGCCATTCATATGTGACTTTTATATAATCCCCAAGAGACCTACCTAGTGAAATAGCTAAATAGAGACAGACATACATTACAGAGTTTATCACAATCCCACATTCCCTCTGCTGTTGTTTTGCAGATGTTCTGTACGTGGCCACGTGTAACCCAGTGGCCCTGTACTCCATGAAGGAGCACGGGGAGACAATTCAGTGTGTGGAGCTTTACGACGTCTTCCCCAGGACCATCAGTGGCGTCTGGCAGCCCTTTGTGACCGTCGCTGCACTTGGGAGTCCTCTGGATGGACAAGTGGTGCTGCATGAGGAGCAGGTTGGCACACACACAGACACAAGCACACTCACAGAGCTTGTACGACTACATGATCACACTGATGAGATTATGTAAGATTAGATTTTTTTTTTCTTGATCCCCATTGAAAAAATGCTGCTGTCTCTCAGGAGAGTCAGTGATCACTTTTTAAACGTGTTTAAACATGTATTTTTCACCAAAACTCACGTTTGTTTAAGAATAAGGACCCTGCAGTTACTACCCATTTAAAAATCAAACCCAAAATCAAAAATATTTTGCTCTTACATGCAGTGCTATGTCTCCATCCAGATTGCTTTGGTGTGAGTTTTGGTGACAAATAGTTCCTACACAAAACTGCTCACAACAAGATCTACAGCCAGTATCTTTAAACTCACACACAACAAACAATTTAGATGGATAAATAGCACTACAGGTAAGAAGAGAAATATGTATTTTTGATTTTGGGAGAGAGCTGTCCCTTTAAATTGGGTCGGAGCTGTGTCAGGGGACATGGCTTAGTGCTAGCATGTAAGTCTTTGCTATCACATCATCAAAGAGGGTGGAGTCAGCTTTGCAGCAGATGTTAGATTTTTAAATAACTCCAGTTTTAACCTCAAAAACTGAATTTATTTGTCTGCTTTTTATTGCATGTGACAATATTTACCCTACTGAAAGAATTCTCTATATAAGGTTGGGATAATATACAATATTATGGTGTATTGTGATAAAAGCTCATTTATCATGGTGAATTTAGATCATTGTGATAATCATGAATATTCTCACATGGCTTGACCTGAAGAATCTGTCTAGCTCTCCAGCATACAGTCATATAATGATTTCCTGCTTAACTTTGAACAAGTGGACAAGAGGGAGCCCACATCTTCCCAGTCATTCCAAAAACCTAATCCTGTCACCATGGCTGAAGGCTCGGCTTGCCCGTTTTATCCCCCACCAATCTAATGCCTATCTGTGATGCAATAAATATATATTAGAATATATATTCTGGTTTGAGCAGCTTTAAAAGTAGTGTTTATTTTGTGTTTACAGCCTAATAATCTTCCTTTTAAGACAGTAGAGAGAACAAGTTTTTACCACAGCAAAGATACTGAAAAGAAAATATGGTTGCAGTGGTGGTGGTGGTTGTGTTTGTGTCATTACCTTTTC